AAATTAAAGCACGTGCCGTTTTTAAATTTCTTATAATTGTACAGAGTATTTTTCTTCCGTTTTTAACAATTTTGATGAGAAGACAATATAACATAATCAATACAAAATTATCAGTGGAGACTTTCGTACCATTGGTAACGATTTTTTTTTAAATTTATGCATTATTCATGGAAGTCATTTTTTGAAATTCTTAGTAGGCATTTTTTTTAACAGCTAATTTTTAATAAAAATTATTGATTATAGAATATTTGGCGAATAAAATATTACAGTAATGCGAGTTCCCGAGTTATAATATATTGTGTATAATTTATTAACAACGAACCGTTAGATAATTTGAAGTTTAGTTAGAAGTGAATATACTTAATATTTTATAATCATAATTATAATTATATGCTTACACAGCTAGAAAATGAAAATCAGTTACGACCTTTTCATATAATAATAATTAAATAATATACAATGCGAACATATTCATTTAAATTTTAAATGAAGATATTTCAAAGAGAATATAATTATTAATGTCTAGGATTAATAATTACTTTACATAAAAGAAAAAGATAAGACATATAAAAGGTCACGATGATCTTCTATAAACTCGTGTATCGGCTTTTAAAATACATCTTATTTTATATTGTAAAATACAATGTACCGCAGAGTCCCATGTAACCCGTGATTATTTACCGCGGGAAATTGGACCGCCCTGTAAAATATTCAGGGAATAAAATATCACTAGCGAATATTTAACCCGGTAAAATTTCACTAGACAATATTTACTGGGAGTAAAATTTCACTAGAAAATATTTATCGGGAGTAAAATTTCACTGGATATAATTTACTGGGGATAAAATTTCACTAATTATTTTTGTTTAATAATTTTAATATTTCTCAAAAATGTCCATCATTTAGTTTGGAAGATAAATTAGATTCATTATTTCTCAAAAAAGGTCCGCCATCCCGATTGTTATATTTTTATGTAAATGATTAGATGACTCTTCTTACAATAGTAAAATATTTTATGAAACTTGTTAATAATTATTTCTCCACACAAACATAATCTTTTTTTTGATGTATACATTTATGCATAATCAGTTATGAAAAACTTAACTTTTAACAAACAAATTTATAATTATCAAATTATATACTTCTTCACATTATTTATTTAATTTAACTTATTCGTCTTTATATTATTTATACAGCCTATAAGTTTCATCAAGGTTTCAAAAAGTTCCAAAAATAATTATTGAAAGGTTTAATTTGAGAGATAAATAAATAAATTTAACATAGTTATTACTTATGTTATAACTGTCCTAACCAAAACAAAATCATTAAAAAAAAAACATCGTGAAATTTCACTAGAGAATATTTACCTTTCTGTAAAATATTCGGGGGGGGGGTGTAAAATATTCATTAGTGAATATTTACTCCTAGTAAAATTTTACCAGGGTATATTAACCGGCAGTAAAATTTCACCAATAAAAATTTACCGAAGGTAAATAATTTCAGCTACACCGGTGTCAAGCACTAGTTTTTTTGTTTTTTTACCGCGTTTGTCTAAGTGTACAATATGATTGTATATTATTATTGATTATAGATAAATAACGTTTTTCAGTAAAAGTTAAAAATCGATATTTAAAATTTAAAAAAGAAGTTACGTTTAAATAGCAAAGTACCGTTTTCTCGTTTAATTATCTGATGTTTTACGAAAATTATTGAGCATGTTTAATACATATTCTCCCTTCCCAATATAAATCAGTGTTTTCATGTAATTTGACTGATGGTATTAGTCTGCAAATACGTTGAGCATCTATGCACTAACATCATTTTTTTTTTATTCTGACTACAATTGAGTACATAAATAGTCCAAAAATGTGTAACAATGATATGGTGGCATATCAATTCGTATTTTATAATGAAGATTTTACAGAAAAAATAATTTTTAGATTTACTCCAATATTATATAAGAATATAAAAAAGGTAAAAAAAAAATTAAAATTTAGAAGTAGAAAAAAAATGTTCTTATCGTACCTATCACTTTACAGAGTATGGCAATGGTAGCGTACTAATATTCAGAAACACGTTGTACGATTGTTTAATCGTATGCTTAATACGCATTAAAACTATTATATTTTGATTTAAGTGAAGTAAATTACATATACCTAATATTCCATTGAAGTTGACACATTGATAATAATTAAATTAGAAAACTAATTTAATATTCCTTCCTTCCGAAAATTTCACGTCTAGTAATTAAAACGATGGAAACTCGTTAACATGGGCAAACTCTTATGTCCTATACAATAGAGTATTCAACGGGTACCCGTCTAAAAATTATTTTGCAAGTTCGAAGTTTCATACAAGTTCAAAAAGTAACTTAATTAACACCTTAAATTTATTAGACTACATGTGAAAAATAAAAATGAAGGCCTTTTATTTCATACAAGTTACAAGATCTTATATGGATTTTCAAACAAAAACGGATTGTCGTATTTTATTCGACAATCCGTTAATTATTTTACGCGAACCAGGTGTTTTACAGAATCAAATAATTATTGAAATATTGTGTAGCGAAATTATAATGTTTATTGGAAATATTATATTAGACGGAACAGGCAACTGTTGGAATTACATAACTCTGAATAGACATTTATTAGAAATCTGAAATTCCGTTAAGGGGACGTTATACCCGCATCTACAGTCTTAGTCTAACCATCGGGTAACATGCATAAATAATGCTTACGCAGAATAAGTAAAACTAGATTGATTTTGATTTTTAAAGTTAAAGTACCTATTATGAAACTTATAGGGAACAATATTTTGTAGTGAATGTTATTGGTGTTTTGTACTCTATTAAAAAAGTCATAGTTATTTTTAAAAAAAAAACAAAAAAATATAATGCTTTTGTATCTTTTATATCGAGTTGTATATTTTGAATAGTGCAAAATCCCTATCACGTTCCCTCCGAAATATTGTTCTCTATAAATAATTTCATAATAAGTACCACAACTCTAAAATCAAAATTAGGCTAGTTTTACTTATTCTGCGTTAGAAATTGTTTATACATGTTACCGGTAGTTGGGCTGAGACAGCAGATGCGGTTATAACGTCCTCTTATATGTCGGTTCTAAGCAATGTCTGTTCAGCACTGTGTAATTCAATTCATTGTGTGTTCAAAACCGTCTCGTTTTATAAAGTGTCTGTTTCAAATGCTTTTCAACACTTTGCTAATTTGAACACACAATATATTATATTCCATAAAAAATGTCTGTTCCGATGCATATTTTTCAAAGTTATACGATTCCGCATTATAATTTCCCGGCATACACCATTCGAAAAATAATAATTCCATACATTCTAATTACGTGAAATGTACAATGTTCCAGCTAAAATAATTCCAATACAATATAGGCGTCCATAAAACCATTATTACCTATAGGTACCTATAATAATTGTACCTTTACTGTTTAGTTCAAATTATCGTCCTTTGTTATATTAATTGTATTTTACGTTCGACCATACTAATAATATTGCGTCGAAACCAATACAATATACACAATATAATTCCCTTATTACACGTAAGATATATTGCGATAAACGGATCGCGTAAAAATTAAATCTAATTAAAGTGTAAATGTGACATGTCGGTTTCGTCGCATTTAACGGCGTGCGGTTTAACGCAATCAGTGCCGTTAAATACCTTTTTATTATAGAATTTTCAATTCCAAAAACAATATCGTGTGTAATATTTTTCGCGCTCGCGGCGCATTAATATCTATCTGTATCGTAGTACTTACATATCTTACAGAATACACCCGAAGAGCCGTTCGCCGTAATAAGTTCTAACTGTGCGAGATTCGTTTGTATACGTGAGTATAATAACATAGCGGGTAATGATATTGCAGTTGGATGGAACTTCTTAAAGGAACCGCTTTCGTACAGTCGGATTTTCAGGTATATTCTCATACTCTTTGGTTGTATTCGCTCGACGGCTTGTGATATATTATTATTATTATGTTTATGACAAGATAAGAACAAAGCGAATGTGAATGCAGACGGTTAAGTATTGAAATAGAGTGTAAAGTTTATACGGATAGGGCGTACTATCATGTTCACTATTATTGAAATCTATTTATATACGTCTATATCACGTCTATCTAGTTTATCGTCTGATTAGGGTTACGCACATTGTTTAGCGAGAGTGTATAGAGGTAGGATTTTTTTTTTTTTTTTTTTCAAAATCCCTACATATTTTTCGATGGTCGAACAAAAAACCCGCGAAATAAAATTACTTTTCTACTATAATGATATTGTTTAAACAAATTCTCTGTTTTATAGATTTAAAGGAATTACCGTGCAGAGATTGTGATTATTATTGGATATTAATTGTTTTAAAATTTTTTTTTCTGAAAATTAAAAAGAAACTGTTTATCGGATATAAATGTGTGATAAATTAAAATTTTTAGAATAATATCTATTACAAAATGGCTATTTTGGAAATTTTATAAAGTAAATAGATAAAAAATTAATATTTTTTTTTTGTATTTAAGGGATGAAAATAAAAATGTAATTTTTTTCCAAATCGATGTCCCTCTTGAGGACAAACCGATTGAAAAAAAAAAAAAAAAAAAAAAAAAAAAAAATCCGTCGAACATGATGGGACACACTGTATAATGCCTATTTAATTATTTTACTGTAATAATATACTGTTGACAAAGCATCATTATCAACTGAACTCCGTTTAGAATCGTATTTTCGTTAGCAATAGTTTATCGTTGCTTACAGGTAATACATTACAGGTTACATTAATTAAATTACCCATAACAGTGGCTGCACCGGTCCCTATTATCCTAAGACCGCTTTTTTCTTTTATATCAATGCCAATTATTCCGTTTTAATTATTATTTAGTTTAATTAGATATACATAATTTATAGTTTTAGTATTTAGATTAAAATTCTATTTTAATTTTGAAGAAAACAGATTTGTTGACAAAAATATTCGTTATAGATTATGACAGTGATTGCGGTTGTATTCACGAAATTCGTACCACAGTCTCGACCGGCTGCTGGAGATTATAATATTTTAGTTACTATATTATGCAGTTGTACCACACGGATTTCCCAGTGCACAGTATTGAATGAAAAACTAAATCATAAACATTTTAAACGTGTCTCCTAGCGATTCTCCGTTTCTATGTTGACCGTTGTTGGCTCAGAAATTAATTTTTTTAAACGGGTATTTCCGTGGACATGAAAACCAAATTAACTACATTAATAACGGTTTTTTTTTCATCTGTGTTATCATAGTGTAATCCGTAAACGAACAAATTTAATTCAATTCCTGTATCAAAAACAGAAAAAAAAAACACGTGTCTTCCTGCCTTTAGGTGTTGAATTTCGAAAATCTCACTTCAAGGTTAACACGAGCCCGTTCATCCGGTTTTATACATTTTCAGATTTCTTCTTTTGTGTATGATTTGGCTGCAGATCGTGTACCGACAAATATTTGTTTTTATCAATTGAACCAGAGGCCCGACATTATTTCAGTATTATTTTTGCCATTTATTTATACCCTTGCGCAGTAAAAATGACAATCGCATTTATAATTTTTAATTTTAATTTTTTTTTTTTTTTAAGATTTGTTTTTTGTGAATAATATTATTTTGGACTACAGTATAAACATGTTGACGATATTTCAGGCTTTAATAAATCACAACTATTTTCCGGAAACTAATTTCGAAAATTTAACACTACGTTAATGTCGCATAATGCCTACAAAATAATATATTGTCTAAGTTTTAGTTTTATTGTTTTTGGCCGAAATAATAATAATAATAATAATAATAATAATGTGTACGCAAAGTTTACGTACAACAATATTATTAAGAACATATTTTATATTAATCATTATTCACGACTGCAGAGCGCTACCGTAAATTAAAAACGTTAAGGAAACGTTATTCCAAATTTTCTCTGATTACATAAATTCTGAAAATTATTTTTTATTTTTTATTGACTAGTGATTAGGTTGATAATTTTACCAACATTATGATACGATTTATCTACTAATCTGCTGCCAGACATCCATCTGAGGGTGAGGGAGGTACGACCGTTTTTCCGCATGGAGGACTTTTTAGACTGATAAACTGTGGACAATTGGACATACTTGTAATATCCAAAATTGTTATAGGATCTAAGGAATTTTCTCGACAGATTTTCCAGGCTATTTAAGCTAATAAATACACTTGTCATGTTGGTATTCGCGGAATTTTCAAAAATATCCTTTTTTAATTTTGGAATTATTTCAAAACGGAAAATATAAAATCGAATTCTTACATAATCAAGAAAATGTATTAACAAATATATATATATACTTTAAAAATTAAAATTAAATAACCCTTTTAACACGATATTTTTCTTAACCACATGTATTTTTGTGACGATAACAAAATAAAAAAAATTAATACATTGAAAATTGAAAAAAAAATACTTATAGGTAGAGCTAGGAATATAATGCATTATAAAACCCTAAACAATGCCCTTAAAAAAATTCTTTAGTGCCCTAAAATGTCTAAATAATAAACTAAAAAAATGCAGGTGAATGGTTTTTATTTTTAATAAATTAAGTATAAATTTTAAATGGCAGTGATTAAAATAATTTTTCTATAGACTAAAGTTCAATTTGTACACTCTGTAGACTCTGTATACTTTGAATTGTTACACTGGATAACCAGAGATTGTTTAAGATTTTCGAATAAAAACGATCTTCTGTTATCCGCCAGTAATTTTTTATAGATAAAGAAGCTCCTTTCATCGACTTCTAAAGTGATGGGTGAATATTTAAAGAATGCCAAATCATTTACTGTTATATCATCCGGAAATTCATTTGTTGAGCCTTCTTGCCTATTCAAAATATCTGATATATCGGAAAAGATTTTAAAATCTTTATTTTGATTTAAAACCTGGGTCACTTTTTTGTAAATGGTTTTTCTGATTTCGACCACAGGCGTCCGTCATTTCGTCGATAGAAACCCAAATATTTTTGTTGTCTACGTACGACCTTATCTTTTGTATAGTTTCATCGTAACAAATACTGATGTAATTTTTACGTAATGTATATATTTCCAAAAATTTACAAAACATAGGATTTTCGAGTTCTTTTAATGGAATATTACACGACAATAATATACGAGTTAAATCTGACCGGTTTGGTGTGTATAACTTTGTGTAAGTTTATTTTTTCTTCTTACCCAACAATACCGTTCTATCGGTAGAAAAAAGTAGTTTGGCTAAACTCTTCAATAAACATACACAATCGATTCGCCGATTAACATTTTACTTTCAGCATTTTAAATGAAATAATTGAAACTAAATGCATGCGTGTTACAACTTACGACAGCAAACTTGTAATGAACGATATCGTCAGATGTCAGTATCGATTCTATTGCTCTGACAGATTATTAAACAGATTAATATATTACAGTATTTCTAAATATACTTTGCCACGCCGCCAATCGCAAATTCATTATCTAAGTTTTTTACGATACTAAATACGAGTATGTACCTACTTTATTGTTTGCTATGCAAAATAAATATATAAATTTATATAAGACTCGCATAAAATCTTAAAATAAAATTTCAAGTTGAATTTTGCACCTAAAATCTTCAATAATGCCATAGAAATGAAGAAAATGACATTAAAATCAAAAATTGTCAAAAAATCCATGTTATGGATTTATGACCAGGCGACCATCGTACAGTAACCACTGGAAAAAAATGAAAAGTGCATTGAAATTCCAGCCCTACTTTTAGGTATATTTTGTACTGATTTTTCCCTGATTTTATTGGAAAATTTTACTCAAAAATTAAATTAACTCGGTACATATATAATAAAGTATTGTGTTAATAAGGCGTCACAATAATATTTGTCTTCCTATTCTATCTAAAAGATAATATTATAAAAAAAATATGTTTTTGTACTTTGAATAATACTATCAAGGATCTGGGAAAAAATAGACACAAAACAAAAATTATTTCACCGAATTTAAAACGATGCTTTCGCATTATTTGATATCGATTTCACAGATTTTATATTCGTAGGTACTTATAACTTTTTAAAAAAATTATTCATGTTTCATTCGTTTTTATCTTAGTATAAAACCATTTTATTTAAATACATAAAAAAAATAGTAAACTTCTTTGATTTGATAAAATAATTTTTGTTTTGGGTGAATATTAGATTATGAGTACCTACTCAGCAAACAGAATTTTGCTATATTGTTAGATAGACGGGGACGGAAAATGTTACTGTGACGCCCGTTTAAAATTGTACAGTCCGTACCTACTTGTATGTGTTATTTTCTTTGAGCTAACAATACATAATTTCATCCGAATGAATATAATATTTTAATTTGCCCGTATTATAAATGTTTCGTATAAAAAAAAAAAATTCGTACTCACGAAAATCATGTATTTATAGAAAACGAATTCAATTTTTAAAACTGTCATCTGATATTATATGAGGTTAAAAAAAATATTGTAAAATATATTATGATATTTATCGAGTCGAGAAAAGTTAACGAATATATTACGTATTTTGTTTTCCCAGAAGTAAGTCTAATATATCAATTCTACAATTTAGTACTATATAATATTATGTAAAATCTATTTATTTTTTTTTTTTTTTTTGACGAAATATAATGGTATTTATATAATTTATCTAACTAATGCGTTCGCGTAGATCAACGTTATACCGAAATATAAGGCTCCAACGTACAAAACCAATAAAATCATTTTCGTACGCATGGAGGACATTAATGTTCGCAATTTATTAGACTATATTGCCGAACAAAAGGGGACAAGGGGTAATATAATACAGAATCTTCGATATCGAAAAATAATGTCGTCTATACAATGTGCATTTTGAATATTTCGCGATATTATTGTTGTTGTAGTGGATGCGGGTATAATTTGTATGCCATACGATCACAGCCAGCACGATAAATTATTGTAATTGTAAATTGCGGATAAATAGTTTGAACGGCATTATTGGTCAACAGTTGTTTACCTAGACATTCTGTGTAGAAAAAGATGCTATAGGTGATGAAATATTTATTATAAACGATTATTGTGTAGAACTGGAATTATAGCCGTCTTACGAATCACGATGAAACCGTGTTGAATCTATAATACAGGTTAATACAAGTTAACATGCTTGGACGAAAATGTCTGAAGTAAAAAAAAATGTCCGAAAATTGGAAAGCTGGTTATATTCTAATCGTTAAATTTGACAGTACAGCCTATCCATGGTGTGAAGTATGTTATATTAATACGGAATACAACATAAATGTAAATTACGCGGTACAGTGGCGTATTTACATTGGGAGATTTGGAAGATATATCTCCTTTTTTTTTTTTTGTATCTATTTATAATTAATATAAATACTTATTTTAAAATTCAAATTAGTTTACTTTGAAGACAGAAAAAAACAAAAATTTCATGTGTTGGTTGTATTCATTTTAATATATTAAAAAACCTAAACGTATACATTTCCAGATTAAATTGAAATTTATTTACAAAAATATATCAATTTATTAAACATTGATCTTATTTCTTAGACTAGATACATGTTATACAATACGACAAAATGTGCAAACTTAATATATTTCTCCTTGACAATATACTAAATACCTACGCCATTGATGTAGCATAATATATTATTGTTGTCAGTTACCATATACACCGAGTTTTCGAATAGTATAGGTAATGTAGTAGAAAAAATGATAATGATAAAATAGGTAATAAGGTAATTTTTTTTCACAGGCATTTTTTAACTTAGACCTTATTCCTCCGACATTCTTGGTAGAATACATATATAACGTGAGTGGTTTTTCATAAATAATAAGCAACATTTTTTTTAAAATTTCTTTCTGGGAAATTATGATAAAAATGATACGAACATACTATTTGCACGATGAGTGGGCCATTATTTGTAGGTACGAAGTTGAGAAGGTAAAGGGGAAATTTATTGTATATATGTGTGTAACGATTGACCATTGCTTATGAAAAACGATTCTGAGTGGAGTTTGGTAATAGTGTTTCTTTTTAATATTTATAAACTAGGCCGTAATATTTACGAATGTCATCAATATTTGATATCAAAATTCTTATAAAAAAAAAAACTACACTAAACTCAATATTTTTTGACAAAAAAGTATGAATTATAAACCTTTGTTAAATTTTCTAGCATTTCTGTTTGGGCTAACAATTTTATTTACAGAATACCTACTGAACAAAAATTACATAAAAGCAAACTTCGTAAAATTAAAATGTTTATAAATAGCTAGCAAATGGATACAATGTTTTGAAATTTTACGTCTAGAAATAGCAAATATGAGATTTCTGTCCAAACTTCAAGTTTTTACAAATATTTTTAACTAAATCAAATAAATAAAACAAAACAAAATAAAAGAATTGAAAACAATACATTTCATACATTTTCCCAGTCTTTCCTTTGTTTTCCCGGTTTTTTTTTATTTATTATGAAAACAGCTAAGAAAAATAAAGAATTGACCTCCTTAAAAGACTACCCCAGTCAGATTTTCTTTCAGAAAAGTGTAATACTTAAAATTTGGAGCAAATTTGTTGGTAGAATAGATGTTCACAGAAAAATTCCTTGCTTCATTCAGAATCTAAAATGTGAAAATGACTGAACAATATTATCATCAAAAGAATTTATAAGTTTACAAACATAAATCCTATGATAATTGATAATATAATAGAATATGATAATTATCTTGTGTGTTTAAACTTATTCTTTATAAAATTCGATTTTATGAGGTGTTCATAAAGAATCCATCACAGGTGCGAAAATTAGAAAATTTTATTCAATTTTGTTTTTATACTGTGAAAATTAGATTTTGTTCTGTTGGTTTCTGGGTTTTATTGGTTAAACGAATGAGAAAACATGCTGTGTTAAAGATCCTTTGTTTGTAAATGTTTTTGTATTATATAATAACAAGAAATAGGATTTGACATTATTTAGATCATTGAAAATAATATGATCCATTAAAAATTATTATAATACACTACCAATCACTAATGCGTATACCCTGCTAGTTTAAACCCACACTTGAAAACTACGTGATTCTCGAAACCTAAAAAAAAAAAATATATTACTGAAATTGATGCAAATAGTGTGTCTATTACTGAGCAAATGTTGTTTATTAGACAATACTTCAATAATACTGTATATATACATATACTAGGTAAAAATAGCTTACCTAATTAAATCGTACACATTTCATAATACAACCTTTCAGGAAAACCTGTACCCGAGCCAGGTATCCGGCTTATTATAATTTATTATAAAAATAATAAAAAAAACTAAATTATAATTTATAATATGTTAGGCAATGTTTTATGAATGGAATTTATCATTCTTATGACAAGAAAAATTTTAACATATATCTCTAGAAAATCGCAAATGTATGTAAACAAAAAAATGTAATTATTTTTTCTTACTGAACGGTTTTAGCATGATATTTCTCATCGTACACTATGTATTTGTCTGATCAGAAAATATTGACGGTAGAACAAGAGTCGAACACAGAATTTGTTTATCAATATGGCATTATTTTCACTCATTTCACGTTAAGAGCAAGACCGAACACATACGATTAAGTAGCTTAGAGCTATGTTTCTCCACCGGGGAGTACGCTTGCCCAGCGTGGTAACAGTCAAAATATACTTTACACGTCGATACTGCATTGAACGAAACATGTAGAATAATATCAGGATGCCTCAGACCAATACCAATAAGTAATATCTATCCTCTAATTAGAATAGCACCACCAGAAATAAGAAGACATGCAATAATTCGAATACAACGATGGAACGAAGTACTGCAAGCGGAGACGCCTATTCTTCAAACGGAACAATTACCACTTGGAAGGAATCTGCCGTGGCCCTTATGGAAAACACTAAATAGACTGAAAGCATGGACGACTTAGCTTTAGCCAACGATCAAGCAGTAGAAATAGCAACCTACTGGCTCACATATACGATTTGAATATGACATAATCAGCACCGGACACGAGAAGCAGAAGTTAGAATGTTAGTTTAAAAAAATATGCTTAGGTACCGGACAACTTCAGTTTTTAAAACACTTTTTCTTCGTTTTCGATAGATTGAAAAAATTTGTTGTCAAACTATACAAATACTGTGTTTTTTTTAAATTTACGTTTTATGTTTCAACTATTTTTCCTGGAACTTTTTTTAAATAATAGAAAACAAAACATTAGTAGAAGAATTCCAAAAACTATATATCGATGTTTTTGTTACAACACTCGAGATCATAAAATTATTTTGATATAAGTGTAAAATTGTCGAAACTTTTGTCGAATTTTCTTGGAAAACAGAGATTGATGCTCTTTATTGCATCTGATGTAAGATCCAATACATATATACAGTGTCCCACGATGATCACTTGAAATAACTTTTTTTTCTATTCAATATTTTTAATATATTTTTTGTTAAATAATTATTATACATCTGCGTTACAGTTAATATGTTTGTATACCTAATTTTTAGGTAGGAGATCTTAAAATAAAACATTTAAAATACTCATTTTGTAAAGTAGATTATTAAACAATTTCCGATGCTTACAATTTTTGTTTGGTCTTTTATTTTTTGAAACGTATTAAAGTTTTTACAAATGTAAATATTATTGTGGTTTTTAACATTATTATAACTGTATGATATCAAATCATGTAAAATAAAATTCTTGTCATTTGATATGCTCTGAATAAATATTTTAATAAACCACTATAATATTCTTATTCAAAAAAACTTCAATTAGTTGTAGAAAATAAAAAAAAATACCTAAACAAAAATTTCAACCATCAATATTATTCTAAACAAATTTTTTTTAAATATATTAACTGCAGCACAGAGTCATACTAATAAATTAAAAAATATTAAACAGAACAAAAGTTATTTCAAGTGGCATATCATCATAGAATACCTGTATATGTTTACATGTCTTTTCCCATTTACTTTTGGACATTCTTAGTAGCTGCCTCTAAATCAAATTCGTTTAAATGGACATTGTAGTCGTTTTATAGGCCCTAATTTAAATATAAATCTAATCATGTCTTTGGTTTTAATCATTTAATCATGTATTTTTAAATTTAAACACCGCTACAGACTTCTAAAATGAAGCTATGGAGATGAAATTGTATATATGATCGATGTTAACATCAAAGATGTGCATTTTGGATATTTAAAGTTTTATTCCCTACCTTTATAAAGTCTATGATCAAATTCCATCGTTTTTTTTTTTTTTTTTTAAGTACTTTAGTTCTAACAAATAATAGGTATAATATTTTATTATTAAAGCCTTCAATTATTTATTATTTCGCAAATAATATTTCTGTTATCAAGAAAAGTGGTGAACAATTTGACTTTATAGTGACGGAGCTCTGCAGCTCATGAGTATTTGTTTTTCTTAAATATTTTTTTATGTAACATCAAAAGTAACTCGGATATTCAATTTTTCCAAAATAGATTATAACCTCGTGTTTATTATATTGTTGTTAAAATTTCCCTTGATTATTTCCAAACAAGGTATTTTATGTTATACATGGTCACCTCATAGGCATTATACATATTTCACGATACGCCAAACTAATCTGTAATTTAGATTCTTTAGATTATAATTTACGTTGACATTGCTTTTGCATTTTCCCTGATTTTGGTTTTTTTTTTTTATGTATCCATATTTCGATTTTCTTTGTAGTTTTCTTAATTAATTGGAAGAAATCAAAATTTCTAGAATAATTGTTATTAATATCTGAGGTACCTTGTCAATAAGATAAGAAATATGACTGATAATACACTGTTAAGTATCAATTGTCATTAGTAATGGTGTATTATTGCGTACATATATAATACATAAATAAATACTCTATATACCCTCTTTTCCTACTTTTTTTTTCTAAAACAATTTCAGGCCAACCAGTCTTTTTTTTTTAAATTAATTTTTATACGATATATTTTTACGAATTTCTAGTTTCTTTATTTTTTTTTATTAATTATATTATTATAATATGAATAGTTACTATAGTAGTTGTCCCAAAGGACTTTACCAAATAAAATTATAAAACTAAAAATATGTCTCTTCTAGTGACTCCCCGTTTTTCTGTTAACCATTGATGTCCGGTAATTTACTTTTTTAAATGGATCCTTGTTCGTAGCAACCAAATTAATTAATTATAATATTAATAGGTATTTCACCCGTATCACCAAGGTAACTCGTAAATAAATAAACACAAATTACATTTTCTTTCTAAAAATACAAACAAACCTGTAAGAGCCCCCTTTAAGGATTGAATATCGGACGCTCATTTTTCTACCAAAAATCGTAGGTATTCCAATTAAAAACATTATAGAAATATTTTTGTAAACATTTTGATCTAATTAATGCCCCAAGGATATCATTTTTTGATTTATTTTGTCGTTCTTGTTTACCGACCACAATGGAAGAAATACTCTGCTGAAAATTGATTTCATTTGGCAAAGGGTTATCGTATAAATTAAATTACTCTATATAGGTATCCTTTTTTTAAACTTTCCTCCTAAAACAATGGCACACTCATCGTCTACAGTATCAGTTTTTTTTCTCTCTTCTCTGTGTTAGCATAAATATTATATTTTATCCAGCAACGGATTTATAAAAAAAAAAAAAGGGCGTTACAATTGATATGTACCTACGTCATCTACTTAATGTTGTCATAATAATAGTGTTCCGAACAATCAAATATTCGGCGCTGCAGACCGCAAAACGATACTATTATTGTATCGTTTTAGCTCGTGAGAGGAAAAGGAAAACCAGCCGGGTTCTGCCGCCGCCGCATTTGAAATCGCCGGGACCGATGCTAGTTCCGGTTTCCTGTTTCCTTATATTATTGTCGGCGACGAGAAAAATCGATAAATTTCGTTCGTGGATAACTTTGCCGACAATTCGCCGTCCGTTATTCATCTACGTTTATATACGGAAAGAACGGCTAGAAAAAAAAAACTGGGCTCATTTTTTCAAAGAGTCAATGCGCAGCAAGTATAGGGTGGGAGGCACGAGAATACGTAATTTAATTTACTTCTCGAGTAAAGTTATGGAACGCTCGCGTATATATATAATATATATACCATCCACTCCTTAAAGACGCTTCCACCCCATCGAGTAATTTGAAAGAGCGTATAACGACGTTTTATATATACGTTAAACGTTATAAAATATATAATACGAACAAAAAGCATTTGGACGGGCAATAATAATCTCTATTCATCTCCATAACGAATTTGATGTTTGAATATAAAGTCAACATAATAATAATATTATTATTATCGTGTTTGAAATCGTTTAAAGAAAAAGCAGCGGTCTGTTAATAATTTATAGGACTTCCGGTTCTAGATAAATGTACCTACGTACAAGATTTCGTGTGTCGCGAACAATTTGGCAGTTTTACGTTTACGCGATTGCATATATATAAATAACTATAAAATAAATGTTCTCGAGATATCATCAGTGTTATCAGTGTTATATTATATAAATATGCAGTTAGGAATTGCACCAAAATTAGCTATGTTACAATTTAAAACCCGTGCTCGAATATAATGATGAGGAGGGGGTGAAGGTAGACTGGACTCTATATTTTTTTTTTTTATAACGTCTTACTAATTATTTTTATTGAAACGAGGGTTCGTCTTTTTTTCTATTTTTATAAATAACGATTTCTCTCAAAATAATGTAGGTTTTATAAACACGAATTATTGCGAAATAGAAAATTTTATTTTGATTAACATAACATTTAGTTATCTCTGATTTCAAATTACAGAATATATAGATTTCAGATTCCATGCATCATATAGTAGGTACATATATGTTACACATACACATGTAAATATACATATCATATATGTATATGATAGCAAAGAAAATTTCTAAAATAAACGACATAAAATAAAAAGTATTTTTTTGCTGCCAACAATTTTCATAAAATAGATTCTATTGTATTTAATGTTTTGAATTGCTCAAACAAGTTTATACTTGTGTGTTTTTTTTACGTTGACTGGCTAATATGGTGTGATAATATTATGTTTATCGGTATAAAAAAACACCGACTGAAATTACTGAGAATTAAATATGATTCTTTTGTTATATCTAAATACTAAGTAAATTGTTGCACTTCCAATACAGTGAAATTCGACCGGAATGTTAACCCTGAAACACTACGCGGTCACTCAAGTCTCTATAGGTATCGTGTTAACCAAAGAATTCAAATTGTTTAACATCATGCTAATTTCATAATAGCGTAATTTGTCTAAGACTCTAAGGAAATCTTCTTCTTCTCCTTTGACTTCATCCCAACTATTTGGATTAAATTACCCTCGTCCTACACTTCACTTGACACGATCTCCCACTACGCATACAACGCAGCCGTCCTCATATTCCAACCACCTTTTTTTGGTTATTCTCTCTTCCTCTTACCTCCTAATTTTATTTTTATTACAATTCTCACTACCTACTTCAGATTTTCTTTTCTTCATGCCCATATATGCCATATATTTCATATGCCCATCTCAATCTCTTTTCTCTAATTTTGTAGTCGAAGCCACATCTATGGTATCTCTTATGTACTCATTAGTAATTCCTTATCCTATCTTCTTTCATCAGTCTACTTATCCACCTAATCATTCTCATCTCTACTACACTAATATTTTACAACACAACCATACAACATAGCAGGTATCACTACAAGTTTGAAGAACTTCTTTTTAGTCTCATTGGAATTCCAGGGCTCTAATAATTCTCGGACCACAGGTAAATACGAATATTATTATATTTTAATATATTTTACTATACAAATATTATTATAACAGTAATAAAAATAAGCATTGGTGTGTGTAGGTACCCTCCAGATAATTTTTTACAATATATTTTAAATAAGATATTTTTGTTATAAAATAACGGACGTCTACCATGATGGAAAACAAACGAGAATATAAATATATTGTGACGTAAATGGAAATTTTGACATTCTTACGTTGAACGTTCATATAATCAAATCAGTCCTATAAGGCCTTATTTACTACAAGGGTGTTTTGAAATATATTTTCAGTTGGTGAACAGAAAAAAAAAAATCGACTGAAATCTGTAAAGAGACGTGTAATAATTGTTGTCCGTATAGAAAACAAACAGTATAGAAATGATATTTGATCAGTGATCGATGCTTTTTTACCTATGATCTGAAGTTTGAAACTCCGAGTTACGTTTGTAATATTTGAGTTAAGAAAATGTCAAGCAATCTAGGTCTGGTATAGGTATAGGCACAACTGGATCATCAACTTTGAGGGTGCAAAAATAATAAACACATTACAGACCCATAAGGACAATGCTCCTACAATATCCTTTACACGCACTTATAACAAGTAACTAAATATTTGATTTACAATTTTTTATATAAAAACATATCATAACTCATAACGTTTTTAACTTTAATTTTTATACACACATGCATTACCGTATTGGTAATCTGTATTTTATTTTGATTATTAACCATGAGATACATGGATATTGGATATACACGGATGCTAAAGACATCCTAGCATCTAGACTCTAGTTACGCCTATGAGTATACTGTATAAGGTACTCATATACCATAAACAGTTTAAAATAAAATTAGTTTAAACTTGAATAGCAATGTATATAAATAAATATTAGTTAACTACGTTCTACTACCAACTGGACAACATTTGTAGACATTTTGGGTAATAACGAGTTAAAACAATTTACCCGATTAAAAAAAAAAATAAATATTTTCTGTATAATTATATCACTGAATATTATTGAATTTATTATTCGGTATAGAGACAATTTAATTTTGTTAAGAGTACTCATTAAATTGTAATTCAAATAAATGATTCAAAATCTGTGCATCTATATAACTAGGTGATATTGAATACGTCTATTTCTGTTTATACCAATAAATTGTTTCTGCTCTAAACCAACATGTTTTTGTAAGGTAAATAGTTGTTTCTGTCTGTTTTTAGAGTTTTCGTCTCTTTTTAGACGGTATAGGTGAGTACTTTAATTAATTATTTTTGGAATACCATGTCCAGTTGTCGGACGATGTAACCGTTTATGTTAGGTGTGTATGGAGATTAGAGGTATTATAATGTTACAATATAAACCTTACATCAGTAGATGTTTATATAAGTGAAGGAAAAGACGTGATACATGATGGTCTACTGGCTTGCGTTTACTTAATAAAACCGAAAAATCCGAGAGAAAAGTTCATATATGTGTATGTAAAAGTGTCAGTAGTTATTGTAAAATGTGTCGGGGAGGTCACCCGTTAAAAGGTTTTCGTGCCACTAGGTTATAACGATTTCCGTATTTTATTCAAAACTACTACCTATACCCGTTAATTTCTATCAAGATACTTAGATTATTAAGATCGAGTTTGAGGGTCTAACCACTCATATTATATTACGAAATTTGGCAAATAAGTATATCAATATAGGTAGGTACTAAAAAAAAAAAAAAACAAAAAATAAAATATTAAAAAGTACAAAAAAAATAATTTTGAATCCAAATTACTACCATGATCTAGTTATAAAGATTATTAATATTAAATATTTTAAAATGTGTAATTATAATTTTAAAAGAACCAAAAATTCACTCAAAGATAAAAAAAAAAAATAATTGTCTGTAATATTTACGTTAAAAATAGTTTATGTCCTTTCCTGGAGTTCAAGCTACTCCATACAGAATTTCACCAAGAATCAAAATGATTTCAGTCGTTTAGCGGTGAAATCATCAATGGTAACAAAGTTAAGTAAAGTTACACGATGTATGGCTATTTAATAATGAGGCTATACAAATAATTAGCGATAAGACGAGGAATTATTTTAGTACATATAGGTACCAACATTATTCCTTTATTCATAATTATATATAAACTATAAATATCATTGCATAAAAGAATATCATTGTACTCGGTCTCTGTTCTGTTGTTTACACGTGGGCATCTTTTAAAGAGACCTTAATACGTTTTTATGTAAAGTTATACAAAATCGAGCCACATAATAATTTATCATTTCTAGTGAAACTTAAAAAACCTAAACTTTTGAAAATTTGTATTTATTTTGTTTGCAGCTGTCTATAATAGAGATATTGTAATATATTTCGACCACGTGTTTTTGAGTGACTCCAACGATTTCGTCTTCGTCAGGGTTATGAGAGAGTTGAAGATGCAGAACGTGTGATGGGTAATCTATGCTCTTTAAAAATGACGATAAAATTGGAAATATTGGTGAATAAGCATTCAAATGACAGCTTAAATAGTAAATATAGAAAAGGAGAATGGACTGTACGATTATATTTTAGTAAATTAAAACAAAAAAAAAAACCCCAATTAAAAATAATGAAATCATTGATGACTAAACTTTCCCGTTTTCTTATGTTTTCTTAATTATATAAAAAAACTATATAAAATCAAAAAAATAACCTTATTCACCAGTTAGACAATATTTTTTTATAGAAAAGATGCTATACTTTTGAAATTCGAAGTAAGATTTCTTGATGAAAAATTATGAAACTTTTATTACCTGATTTTTAAATATGTTTTTTCTCGAGTTTTCCGAATTATTATGAAAACAGCAAGGAAAATAAATAAACTACTAGTTGCCCACCAACAAGATCGAAAATACTACGAAAAAACTTTCTGGTTTATTTTTAATTAGAGCAAGATTTCTGGTAAAAAAAGTTGTTTACAGAAACTAAAAAAAAAAAATCGCACACATCATAGTGAAACAGGAAAATACATTCCCCGTTTCGTTAAGAATTTAATATAATAATTCGGACTTAAAAATGTTAGCACAGTGAAAAAAAATACTGAGTAGAGTTCTTTAAATTTCCATTTTCAATTACAATGAATTATTTTGATTAATTTTCAATGTTTACTCGCTATACAACTATAAAAACAAAATATAAATTGTTTACTATTTATTTAAATTAATAAATTATAATATATTCAATTTTTTAAGGATGTACACACTGAAAATAATTTCTATCCTAAATTTATATTTAATATACCTACAAAACTGTGCACTTAAAACTTAACAAATGATAATTCAGTGTACTGTTTTATCTAGATAGGTATATTTGTATCTTTCATCATATCCAGATAATTGAGAAGCATATTATCTAAGTCATGATATGTGCCTGCATCCAGATTCGATATCTGTCATATTTGCTGCATTTATTTTTATGATAGGTTTCTATAACTAATTATCTTAATTTACAATAATAATTAAATCTATATTTTGTATCTTAGATCTTTTTCTAGATTATAAATTATTCGTTCTATATTTATAAAATTTGAAATTGTATCCTTATGCAAAACATATTATTATCAAAATGAAACAAAATTGCATTAGCATCGGATTTTTAAAACTCGCCAATAATAAAATAGTCTAAATAATACATTAAAGTTAAGCGTGACCTACTTAGACACGATGAGTTATAATATTATGCAATATGTATAAAAGCCATTATCAGCGACGAGATTTTTAAATTAAGTATTATTTGTTTGTAAACTTATAAAGTTGGTACCCACTGGAAAAATTATGCTTTTATAACGAAAAATAATAAATTGAATGTCTTAATTTCGATTCCCTTTTTGGTTGGTTTTTGTTTTTTTAAATTTTGTATCACGTCTTATAATATTATAATGAAGCTTTAAGAATAAATGTTTGAACCGCGAATGGATTATATGCAGAGGATAATTGGTTCATCATTCATAAATATAAAATTCTCTATCCGATTTTCATTGAACAACTTTGTGGTAGTATTTTTACGGTAGATATATGAGCGTACTTTAGCGATATGGTTTGAAATAACTGAAACGGACGATGGTGCGTGGATATAGACTATTATTAGAAACGGTGGTAAAAAGAGAAGTACCGAAATAAAGGTTGAAGAATTCCAATTTAGATATTAGAGTATTAGAAAATTAGAAACCTATACGTTGTTCTCCCCGCAGACAGTGCATATGTCATATAGTAAAACAACGGATTTGTACAGGTTTAACCGCGAAATTCTAACTGCCACGTCGTCCGCCCGAATTGACGAAAAGATTTTCCGTTTAACTATCTATTTAAAATATATTATTTTTGTAAAAACTGAAAATGATCAATAATTTTCGTTTTTCTTCGATAAATAAGAGAAAAAAAAACATCAATTTTAACGTAATAATGTTGTATATTTCCAAGTCTGAAAGTTGTGTAATTCGTTTTCATTCTTTTCATCTGACCACAGTGGTATTTTTTTATAGGTGATTAAAACTGACATATTTTGCAAGTAGATGTTCACTGTTTTAGGTGAGAAGTTGAAAAGATAGTACAAGGGGAACTTAATGTATATCTGTAAGCAATGATGAACCATTGTTAACGAAAAAACGATTCTGAACGGAGTTCAGTTGATAGTGTTGCTTTCTCAACAATATATATGTTATATTATTGTAAAACGATTAATTAGGCATTATGTATTTCCTTTAATAATATTTGTTTAATATTGAACCTATTTTCCTATTTTTCTATGTATTGACAAAATTTCTGGAGAAATAAAAAAATGACGTTCCTAAAGGACCTCCCCAGTCAGAATTTCTTTCAGGATAAGTGCTAGACTTTAAAATTGAAGAAAGTTTTTGGTAGAAAAGTTGACTAGAAAAAAAAAACATCATTTCAAACTCATAATTTTCTTCGCTTCACTCAGAATTTAAAAAAAAAGCCAACAACACTAAAAATTTACTCATAGACAAATTATTTTCTGTGTTCTGGTCGATATTTAACGAAGTATACCTTATCATCAATAATTACAAGTGTCCGATAATACAAAAATAATTGCCTAGTTTTAAATTCGAATTTTTAAGACTAATCATTTGAAAGGGTAGAAAGCAATAGTAAATTTGAATTTTCTCGAAATATTATTCTTTGAACCGTATTGACGGTCCGGTATCAAAAAGCAACGCGTACACGAGCCTGAAGGTGGCTTAGTGAATTATCATGGTCGTGAAATACAATGTTTTTAAAACCAAGGCGAGCCGACCCGTTTAAATTAATATTATTATTATTGTTTCAGTAATGCACACCAGTAAAATAATTATTGTTTGGTAAACCGAATTGAACGCGATGTTGTTTCCAACATTATTATAGTTATTGTGGCTGGCCGGCATTGAACATTATCGTGTTACCAGTGTAAAATCATAATATTTGTTTATAGTGTGCCTAGTTATAACGATTTTTGCATTTTTACGGAGGGAGACGCGAACATAATATATTAGGCTTAATGAGGGGAAAAATAATTAATTACATTCTACGTAGGTGTAATATTAAACAAACAAAAATATTCACATATCTATTATATTATGTAGCGTGTTCACATTAATACAATTTTACTCCACTTATTTTCAAAATATATTTTGTTATCATCAATTTTGTTAATTAAAAAAAAAGTACACATTGATTACGTCGAACAAAGAAAATGTTTGGTCATGATGGACCGAGTGATTAATACGGGTCGTGTATATTATGTATGTGTATGATAATTATTAGGGCAGAAATTTACATGCTTTTCCGTGGTATTATTGATTGATCAAACAAATCCAAAATTGGGTTTCATAATCTAGTGATTTTTTATTAAAATATATTTTATTTTGTATAATTTGGCGTTTTTGGATATTAGGGGATATTTTAAGAACTTGTTTAAGAATATAAAATCACAGTCGGTATTATTCGTTTTCCGTAAATAACAAAATACGAAAAGACGAAAATTAGAAGTAAAAATGGAGTTAACAAAAAATGAGTAAAGTTTCTAGTTGGTAATATATTATTGTATCATTATCCTCGGTGCCGTCTTAAATTTACGGCATCAAAATGACTGTGGCGCGAACTTTTCTATTTCTGAGACAACAAAATGTCTGATAAACAACTCCTCCAAATATTATTCTCTGATTCCGCATATTCCATTTTCAACTTTTAAAATAACATAAGTATTCACACTTAAATGTACTTATAGTTTATATGCACACGTATAGAATACGTGGAATTATTATTTAAATATGATATCCGTATTGATTATCTCTCCCGTCTTTGCTTTCTACTCCTCGAAAATTAGCGGGGCCAGCTAATTTTATTCTCGCTCTTCACATCTTCCTGATATATCCAACAACATTTTTACACCGCATGCTCTCATATTTCCGATAAATAGTTTCCTTTAGAACAATTTTTTGTAAACCAGGATAAATTAGTCTTGGCTTCTATCTACGCACTTATATTTCTCTCAACAACACTATTCCATATCAGTCTTTTCTTCAAACTTGTTTAGAAAACCGTTTGGTTGGTGAAATCAAAACTTACCGATTTATTTCCTTCGATTTTAACAATACATAGCTCTGCAATTTGAATTGCTTATTACACGATGCCCCGACGAATCAGGCTTTAAATTTTGCCAGAAGTGTTACATCACAGGTATTTTATCAAAGTTTTATTAAACGTTGCCATATTTCTTTGTTTAACTGGAACACCATTTTGTGTGTCTATTGATTTATGTGGAGTACCTGTGGACGTATTCGGAATTTATATTATTTAGCATATACTTGACTATATTTAGTATCTTTAGGTATAATAACAATAATACCTTTATCCATTGAACAATCGAATTATAATCTATTTGTGGTATCTCCCTTATACATATAACGTTTGCAGCGCGTAATGGTTAATATTTAATTAAACTTAATATTTAATTGAAATGTTCGACCACGCGTATGTTGGTTTCCGTAAGTTGATCTATACATAAATTTAACGCAATCTCAATTTTCAACGAGTTCTTATTGAACAATATATATAAAAAGAAACTTCGAAAATGTATAGGTAGTGGAAATCCGAACGAAAAGTCTCTCACAAACGATCAATAAAATACATATTTTGTTGATGTTTAAATTAAAATTTAATTGAAAACTTATTATTATTTTATTTATACTTTAAAATTATTTCATCGCAATTTGTTTAATATTATATAGTACAAAAAATTATTATTATACTATACTCGTATATTTAAGATTCTGAGCACATCCATGGTGCGAAGTACATGCGGTTTTTTTTCTGTTTATTCTATTATTTATATTTTTGTCGTCGATCATTTAATTTGTCGTTTTATAAATTTTCATCGTTCATAACGTTAAATGCTTAAATGTTGTTAATAGTTCTATGATTAGTTCGTTGCGTTTCTATGTACACTTCACATGTTGTAACTTAGTTCATTTATATCCTTGTACTTTTCCCTACGCACGTAGGTATCCTTTAAAATATCCTTCAATTATTGACTTTAGTAACCTTTACCATGCCTTTCATCTCATCATCTCGTATCTTCAGGATTGCCATAGTTTCATTAAATGTATCCGATTGGCACGAGCTTTGCCCGTGTTACTATAGAATGAAAATAAAAACAAGACGAGAAGACAATACATGACACATTTCTATTATTAGCAAATCAATATTTTAGTTTTTCGTACAATTATGACTGGTGTAAAAACTATTTAAAAAAAAAAAAAAAAGGTTTATTTCAGAATAGTATCCATTTGTTATTACTTATAACTTTAAATAGTTGAAACGCCAAAACTACTTTATACGTTCGGTATATGTAAATACGAAAAGGTACCTACTAAAATCGATTTTCATGATGCTTACGGTGTAAGTAACTACCTAAATATATATACCTCCTGGCTATTTTCAAAAGTTGAGGACTAAGTTAAGTCTATCGTTAGTGTATATAGGTATCTATAGTACGAAATTTACACGATAATTTTAAACAATCGCTCTCGATGGGATTGTTTAATATATTTTGTTTAACATGAAATACTTTCGCAGTCATTTATCCTAAATAATTTGATTACCATTTATAAATATAAATATAATACGATGTGACCACGCTGCCTTTGAAATAAATGCAATATAAAGAAAACAAAAACAGAACTTATGAAAATTTCGTGGTTTCAACGAGATTCATTGAAATTTGAACATTAAACGCTTGTAATAAAAAAAATTACATTCGTTATATAAAACGAGTCTGAAGAACGTTCAATTAAACATTTGTTGAAAAGCTGTAATTTCGCCGTTTTTCATAAAAATATGAGCTTTAAACTACTATAAAACAAATAATTGCATTATAACGTTTTTTTACCATCAAATGAACACCTCGTGTTTAATATCCGGGCATTTTTGATGGACCAAAACAATTTTGTTCGTATAAAACAAAATAAATTTAACAATTTAAAATAGCAATACATAACACAAAAAACATCAGAATGTTTTAAAAATTGTACCAACACCAAATGCTAATAAGATTATTAATAAAACTATTTAATCCGATTTTAAAAATTTTGCGAATAATTTATACAAATATTTCTAACTGAATTAAAAGAAAATAATAATACATATTACAAAAACCAATATTGCGTACATATTCTCGTTTTTCGATATTTTTTCTAATTTTTAAGAAAACCACAAGGAACATCAAAAAATGACTTTCTCGGTGCATCAACTAAACAAACAAATTGCTACACTAGAAACCACTCCTAATATTTATGATCGGAGCAAGATATCTGCAGGTAAAAAAGTTATTTACAAGACGAGTAATTATTACTTTTATCATTATTATTTATCATATATCGATATTTTCTATATTTATTAAAATGAAATGTTTATAGAGAACATCCTTTTTACTCGAAGAACTCGCATTGCTAACAAAACAGTCTGTGCATTGGTATGTTATTATTTAATATATATTCAATAGCAACTTTTTGTTCATTAAATAATAGGTTAATTAGTTTTTTTCATTTTTGAACAGTCAATATGATACTGATTTTCAAATCGTATACACAAAAAATATGTTAAAATAGAATTAGTGTAAAATTAGTAAATGGGGAAGTATTCTATTTTACCACGGCGGTAAACAATTTATTTTAATAGCATCTTGGCTGTTCCAGAGAGTTGGATCTTTAAACGATTTCCATTATGTAATATATTATAATTCCTAGATATGTTATTATGTTCAATGTATAAAATAATTTTGTAATTAATTATGTGTTTAGTTATTTTTCTTCGTGTTTTAGATTTTTTTTAAATTCTTTTAAAAACGTATTGATTTCTACACTCCACAAGACGTACGTATACTATGAAAAAGCGCTTTTGATCATCTAAAAAAGTTTATTATAATTTAATTTCTAGTTGATTTGATATTGTGCATAGGTATTAAAATTGCATGAAGTCTGCAAAAAAAAAAAAAAATCAAGAAAAAACAAAATTGCCTTTATATTAAATTTCTTTAACATATTTTATATGTTCAAAGCTTTAAAGAATTTTACAGTGCAATGTTTATTTCCTTAAAAAATACTCTTAGACCATCATACAGTTTCTTTAATTATTTTGTTGTGCTTGTTGATCGAAACTACTATTTGGTCTTCATCTACCCCTCTTTCCTTCTACATCAAGTTTCATTAAAATTTTTACTGCTTCTGGTTCCTCTCTCCTTATAACGTCACCAAACATTTTCAATCTATTTTTTCTTATTATTATTATTATTATTATCTTATTATTATTATTATTATTATTTTTTCATCTACCTAAGCAATCTCGTCTTTGCTACACATATTCTCTGTTCCACTGTGAACCATAAAACATAGTCGGTCTCACCATACTTTTGTAGAATTTTCCTTAAGTATAATTGTAATTCTCTTATCACATACATATACCTGACGCATCTTTCCACTTTATCCAACTATTCTTAATTATATGTTTCACATCATCATCAAAAACGTCGTTCTTTTGTACAATATACTTAAGGTACTTAAAATTCTCAACCGCACCTATTACGTCACTGCTTATTGCCGTTAGCTATTTTATCCTGATTTTACTCAGTATAATCTATTTTAGTTCGACTTATTCTTAGTCCATTCTGTTCCTGTGCTACTTTTCATTTCTCAAATCTATTGTTAACTTATTCTAGATTGTCTTCTATTAAAACCATATTATCTGCATGTATCCTGGTACCTCCTCTCATCTGTTTCCCCCACACATATACGATAAGTAGATGTGCCGTATTAATGTATGTATTAAAATAAATTAGTGTTTAAATATCTTACAATTATACTCGCCATTATGAAAAAAAAATAGGTAGTAAAATATATACTTTTTAAGAATTTTAAAAATGTCCTGTCAACTATTTACAAATTAAGATATTTAATATAATTAGGTTTCTACATATATATATATATATATATATATATACATATTATACTAATTTAACAAATTCAATCAAAATTATTGTATATTATGATATACTAGTTTCTAAATTAAAACATGTATAAACAACGATAAATTAGCACGCTCACCGGATAGGTTTTTATAACTTGTTTATAATATGTGACACGTACTTTTATGTTGTTGTTATTGTTATTTATAGTTTCATATAAATGAGGAAAAAATAAAAAAAATAAACGACAAATGGATAATATTTTCGTGGATACGAGTAAACGTGCGAATTTACGGGCACCTGAAAAATTAATTGCTCTCTAAATATTAAGATGGTTTTGGAATAGAGTTAAATTTTAACAAAAAACTAAAAAATTATGGTTTCAAATGATCTTATATATAAATATATATAAAATTCTGAAACAATAGAGAGAAAAATATGATGTAACATAATATTATTATAATTTTCGGTGTAGTAGGATGAGTTATAAAAAGTTTCACAAAGGGATATTTTATACGATGGAAAATACGGATGATATAATTATTTTAATTATCCGCTGATAAAAAAAAAATTAATAAAGAGCTTGAAAAATGTGCACAATAAAAGAATCAAAAGCTACCTTTAACATTTAAAACAATATTTCAGTTTTGGGGTGAACGAAGCGAACGACAAGGGAAAGCCAAATAACGAAATAATTGCCATCTTTGTTCGTTTTTTTTTTTTTGTTTTTAATTATTAATTCATTTTTATTTTCATGAATATTTTCTTGCTTACGAGTAAAACAAAAAAAAAAAAGAAAGAAACTTTAACGTTTTCATTATTTAGAAAATGATTGTGTAAATACCTTTGAGACAAAATTTTGAATTCAAATGAATACAGTGTACGTATATAATATAATATTTTTAAAATAATTAAATTTGAATTACAAAATGAGAACAAAAACTATTTTCATAAATATTATCAGTATTTCAGTGTAGGAACGAATTGATATTATAATTGTAATATAACATTGTTAATACATAGAGAAGTACGAGTGAGGTACCTATCTATTATATTTAATATTATTTATGATGTATGAAATTTGTGTTTTGTTGAAAATATAATATACAACATACATAGATTATGTGTTTTAAAGAAAAAATTACGAGAAATATTTCGTTATATATGGTTAATTTAACGAACACAATAAAATAAAATATCCAGATTCAGATAAAAAACGAGAGTCAATAAGAAGTCAAAAATGTATAGAATAGAATAAAAAATTGTGTGTACCAGGAAAATAATACTCCTAATAATGCAATGTATACGATGGTACGTCAAGGTATTTTTTTCGAAAAAATGTATAGCATCGTTTTTAAATTGATTTCAATTTATTTTGTTGTTGTAAGACAGTAAAAGATATTAATTGAATTACCTAATATAACCTTATTTTATAATTTACTCTTTGATTGGACACTTTTTAACAAAACGTTTTCTTCTGACTCTTTTATTACGGAAATTTTTTATACGTTATGAATAAATCTATTAATAAGACATTGCCGATTAATACAACAAGATCCGAAAATTGGATGAACGGGATTTGAGAAACACTAAAGTAAATTACTCTTACATTAAAATAGTGAAAATCGATATACGAGTAAGTTAAAAAGTAAGTATATCTCATAGTTAAAATTATAATAGTAATAATACTAACAAACTGTATACGAAAAACATAAATTATTATCAATAAAATATTTTTGAAACTTCGACGATACAAACTAAATTACGAATAACAGTGTTTTATCCCGCATAGAAAACAATAACATAGTAATTTCAGGTAGAATGAAACATCGATGAGAAATACATTTTTCATCTACTTCATTATTAAAAAAATAATTGTTACTAATTTTTTCAGACTATTTTATACATCCAATTTAGTATCATGTAGGTTTTATTACGTCACATTAGCTGATTTCTAAAACACCTACAGTTGTTTCGGTTATACGTCCGCAAGGCTTAAGCATGTCGTGTTCGCGTCGGGTTTGGTTAAAGCGCTATGTTCATTATGCACGTCTCGTTTATAAAATGTATACCGGGGGGTATACCCGCCGCCGAAATCGACAGATATAATCGTTGTCGAATGTAGGATTTATCGTATATTACGTTCTACAATGGTACAAAACTGACTATAATATCAGCTTACGTTTACTATGGTATTATAATATTATTACCGTCTATGTTTAATGCATTCATATGTTTTTCTTGTATAACTGCGTATCAGAAAACCAAAATAATTCCGGTCAGTCCGGAAAACGTATTGCAAAACAGGAACCGACATTTTAAGCCTGACATTTGACATGTCTTACTATAAGGTATTATGTTATGTCAGCGTAAACGTGCCTAAACTCAATTTACAATAATATAATAACAATTTTTTGATGAAACTAAGATGTTTGTTATTTTTTTTATCCTGTGTACAAATATTTTACTAGACATATTGTTCATATATATACGCAAGGCACCATTTATGAAGGGAAATATGGTCTATATGGTACATTTGGGAGGTCATTTAATGATTTTCCAAGCGGTTTTCATAGTATTTGGGAAAAACCAGAATAAAACGTAAGAAAAACGGGAAATTTACGATAAAAATGCTTTTATTATTTTTCATTTTTTTTATTTATTATAATTCAATTAAAAATATTTATGTAGACTTTAAATTTGGACAAAAATCTTATATTTGTCTTTTCTAGAAGCAGTAAAATGTTTTAAAAAATTTAAGCTAATTTTGAGCTATGTATAGACACCTTAAATTTGCGAGTTTTGTAAGTAATTTTTATTCGTTAAATACTCTGTGGTAAAATTTTTAGACTTTTACAGAAATGCTTGAACATTTAACAAGAAGTTCATAAGGAGTCTTACTTTGTAGTAAAAAATAACAAATTGAGTTTTATGTAGTATTTTATTTTTATAAACGATTTTAATATTGAATTTCGACGAAAATCGTTTGAGTAAAAAATTATGTGTTATAAATCTAATTTATCATTTTTTTTTTTTGAACATATATATATATATTGCCAATTTAAAAAAGATGAAAAGTCAGAATTAAGCGGACTGACTAAGTTTCGAAATTATAGCTTTTTGAAATTGTGTTATTATGCGGATATTACAATATTATGTTAAATAATTCTATATTGTACTTATTCGAGCATATTCGTCGTGATCTAATGGTTAGTTTTGCCAATTATTAACCTAGGAATTCCGAGATCAAATCAGTGATTCTTAAAAAAAACTTTTACCTAAACAAGGAAAAAACAAATGCATTTTGTGTGTATATAGAGACCCTAGCCATCGCTCAGTCGGACTGTTTTAATCAAAAAATATCCCTAGATTTATTGTTGAAACTTTTCTACCGGCAATTTCTTTCTGATTTAAAACTATGGTAATTTTTCGATTTTTCAATGGGTTTTCCAATAAATAAGAAAAACCGGGAAAAAACATGGAAAAACTGAGAAAAACGGAAAAATCGTTAAATTACTGAACAAATATTATAAAAAAAAAATATAGAGAGTCTATTTAATTATTTTACTATAATATGACATATATATATATTGTTGACAAAGCATCACTCTCAACTTACCTATAACAGTGGCAGCAACTGTTACCATTATCCTAGGACTTTTTTATTATTATAATTAGTATATTTTTTTTTTTATTTTTTTTTTGTAATACCAATAAATTCCTCACTACGCTCTAAATCTAAAAAAAAAAAACCCGTAAAAATAATATGTATTTTATATCAGAGTACCATAAAGATCTCTCGGAAAGTATGTGTTAACTTTTTGCGTACCTTTTTTTTTTTACATTTCCAAAAACAAAATCTCTGAAATGTTAGGTATGAGTAGTATAGTATCATTTATGGGGTGGCACAGTCCGTGGCATTTAAATAGTGCTCCGTTACCATCTCACATTATTTATGTATACAAGTGGAATATCTCGTAAATGGTTTGACGGAAATCAAAAATTTCAACACTTAAATGTATTTAAACTATTACACCGTCTGTTTATGGAATTTTTAATATAAGTAACCATTCGGAAATAAAAAGTAGGATGTCGGTTAACTCATAAAAATAAAGGTGGGTGACAAAAAATACTGGTAATGTTTATAAAACATTTAAAAAGCTACTTGTTTCTTAAATTGTGAAAAAAAAACTCAAGAAAATTCCATACTTTCTTATTCTTCGAATAATCGTGAAATAACATTGATAATAATGGAAATTATGCGAATATATTTTACGAAATTTTTAAATAATAATGGCGTAGTTGTATATATTTATTTTTTGTTTCGCTTAATTCATATTTCATGCCCGGTAGGCCGGTTCTACTACGCCTCTCTGTGCATTTCTGTCTAACGTGACATTACACTATATTAGTGATCATGGCTATATGTTCATGTTCTCTATTGTTTATTATCATAAGCTTGAGGTCTTCCTGACTTGATCACTTCATTGCATTGTCTTGGTCGTCCTAACGGTTTTTTCTCGTCTGCTGGTTTATACATTGTGATCTCATGTCAGTTAGTTGATTGTCAACCCTCCAAATGTGCTAAGCATTAAACATTGCCATAAGTTCTGTATTTGTCCATTGTTTATCCCTTTTGTTTCTTTTGGGACAACATTTATGAATATGTTCTATACGTGTAATCTTCCTCTCAAACAAATTGTTAATCTCTTTTCGTTTAACTTTATTCATGCCAATGGTCCGGATACGTAAATTGTATTATTTTAATAAATATTATGTGAAGATATTAATATTATGCACCTATAGTCTATACGTTATATTATATTCATAATTGTAATCTTTAGGACAGTTAAATTTTGACTTAAATAATGGCACAAGTAAAAATTAGCATCTTTTCCCAGCCATTATTCTACTAGGTTAATCTCCTCTAAGCTGTTGGTTTCTTGGTTGATTTCAACTCAATATTATTTAAAATTTTGGTATCTTTTCAAAGATTAAACCCCCGAGTTTCCAGAGAATCGTGTACCTACGTGTTCTATTCGAGGTATATTTTAATTTATGCATACTTATACGGAAGTGTAATTTTAAATATTGATGGATAGTTATTAATTTTTTTAAACAAATTTAAATATATTCATTAGTTATTCAAGCTATGTCAAATATTATAGTATGTATGCACGTAATGTTTTGGTTATAGTTTTGGTTTATCAAAAAAATCTATTTCTTCGCCGTAATATTATTATAATGATTTATAATTGTATTTATTAATGTACATGTAAACATGTACATTTTTTATTCATATATTTAGTTACTATAATTTTTAAATTTATTGAACCAATATTCTCGGAGAACATATGACAGTGACGTCTTGTAAAACTTAAAAAAGATTTATTATTCAAATAATATGACTTGAAATGTACTTCAATAAGCGCTATCGAAAAATAGTAATAAATATTCACTGAAATGTTTCATTTGTTATTATATACTTTATTTCCGCTCGCATCACGTAATAGAATGAATAATATAATACAAATACATGGACAACTATTTATCTCGAAAGTACTTTAAACACAGTGATCTAGAATTTCTGAAATTAAAAAACCAACCGTAGCATGTAAAAAATAATATTCTTATATTTTGCATTAAAGAAATGAAAAAAATAGAACTATAAATCTAAAAAAAAAATCTATTATTTTATAATATACTGTTTTTTTTTTTATATAAAAAATAAAAGACTTAGAATTAAAATCTTTTCAGGATAAAATACTTTTCAATAAAAATAATTTTTTAAAATGATGGATAAATTATACCTAATTTTTATATTTTATATGAATCCACAAATTACAATGCAACATTAAAAATATCCAATGTGTACCAATTATATTACGATCTAAGCTAGATCGCCTGGTAAAGAAATATCTGCACAAGAGATTTAAATATTAATATGTGGTAATTGTTCAAGCCGATGTGTATATACTCGTAGATACCTATTTAATAAAGACTTTAAACGGCTCGATATGTTTTGTACTTTAAATAGTTAAGTCGTAAACAGAAATATTGTTTCATAATTTTAATAATTTGGTACTACGAGTATGTTCTTCGTATATAAGTATATTGTACATATTACACGATTTCAATACGAGTACCAATGTAGGTACCTACCAAACTTTATAGTTTCAAGACATCTGCAGTGTAAAACCTAATTACTCTATCTTAGACATAGAGCGAAATTATAATCTCCTTTTGAATTCAGAATTAATGCATGATAAATGCGTTTTGTGCGCAATATTGTTACGAATAAAATATATTAGATACAATTAAATATATTAACTTCCAATTTCCAACTATAAAACATTTTAAACATTTTTAGACTTCACATATAACATGCATTATGAGATAAACCATCATGACCGACAACTGTACAATCTTTAAAAATAAATATATTACTAATATTTATTATTATTATTTTTTTTTTTTGAAAATACGAAGTTTCTTATCGTAATCCTTGTCTCTCATAGAATTTAGTAATATTGATCTCTCAAATCGTAAACCTACTCGCGGTGAAGTAATAACCTCATATTTTTGTCCATTACAAAACGTAAAATTGTATTCGTTGTTTTCATACAAATTATTAATTTTACTATGAAGGTATAATGGAATATGTTGCGCATGACAAATCCAAGCGTTATGATAATGATGCATTTTCTCCACTTAGGTACAACAAAAGGGGTACTGAAGAAAAAATATTTCAAATACAGAAAATAGGTATTTTTCAAAATATTCTGTATAATGCAGTAATTCAGCTCATTAAAAAAAAGTGCAGAAAATTAAACAATACTACAATTGATTTTTACACACGGTGGTTTATCGATGTTTTAAATGTTTAAATGAAAAAAACTTTCTAATCCCATTGACACATATCGACATTAAAAATTCTCATTAGACAGAAAATATAAGCTATAAAGTATATATTAGGTCTTATAAGAATGTGTTTTATTCTGTTTATGCATAATATACTCGTATTATTATTATTATAAATATTTTTTTGTAGAAAGTATACTCTATAATAGTTTAATATGGAATAATAATCGTTTGAAAATTGTTCACAGTGATACTGTTCGTACTTGATGTTATTTTTAATTTCCATATAGTTTGAGGAGAAAATAATGTAAAGCCAAAAGTTACCGAAATTGAACAAAATGTGTTGAGCGAGCGTTGAAAAAAAAAAAAAAGTACCAGATCCAAATTGTTTTAAGCTTTCCACTGCTTCCATCATTTTTCAGAGTTTAACATAATTATTCTTTGGAGTTATAACCAGAAAACTTGTTCCAATCAACAGTTTCATAAGAAGTTATCCTATAGCCTTTTTAACTACCCATCAACTAGTATTAGCATTTTTTTATTTATTTTTTTTTCGTAATTAAGAAAAGTACTGCAGTTTTACTCGTGCAATGATGTATGTTTTTTACGGAAAACACTTTTAGAGGCAGTACAAAATGCTCAATTAATTCTAAATGGCTACTATAGTTTTAGATATGTAATACAATACTGTAAAAGGTAAGTTTAAAAAAGACATATGCTAAATATCCGAAAATATCGACATGTACGGAAAACAAACCACAGAATTCTGCCCAAAATTGTCTTCCGAACGAATCGATATAAGAAAATGGTACTTTGGTGCATTTAAATAAAATTAAAAACACTCACATGTCCCATAATCGAGGTATAATTCTGTAAATAAATCTGTAGAGCATGAAGTAGATATTATATATTGTAATTATTAATCTTTCAAATAATATCTCTGAATGATATTGTTATATGAATTTATTTACTTAATTTATTTTTTCCTTCAGTTAGACATACCTACCTACAATTCACATAATCTTATGGCGAAATAACAAAATATACGTAAATATATGTATTTTGTAATAGGTACTAATGGTATAATAAATAATATATACATATATACATATATATATATATATATATATATGTGTGTGTATAAGGTTGGTATTAGTTTCATTTGGTTCACGGTGTTCTAAATGAGAATACAAACAATTTTAAAGTAATGTTTCGTTTGATTTTGATTTCAATAGAAAAGCAGCAATGAACAAAATGAATAAACGAAATTTAATTTATACAATAATAACATTATTTATACCAAGTAGATGTGATTGAGAGGGTTGTTTTAAAATGCAAATATATTGCGCACAATTAATTTGTTGTCTGCTATCTAATTGTTTTTTTATACTTTTATTAATAATTTAGTTGACAAATTCAAATTGAACAATAATATAAATATACAAATGCAATCTTAACAAAGACAATATCATGCTAAAAAATAAAACCAACTTGTAAAAAAACAAAAGAAAAAGAATTTGAACACTATACAAATTATCGATTTAATTCAAAATCAAAATAGAAACACCGTGAGTGTACTAAAATCCCGATTTCTAAACGTATTTTAAACAATAAACGTTTATAATATTCTATACTCAATATTTGATAGAATTTATAAATAATTAACAGGACCATTTTTTAAAATTTTTAACCAATTTTATATTTATCGATATTGGCTTGTTTGAATTTTATTTAATACTCATACTGTTGAGTATATACTCATACATAGTATACTGTTATTATAATAATAACGTTACGAATTTATATTTAAACTAGCTGTTCTGCGTGGTTCTGCCTATATCAGTGTTGAATGAAAAATTAAAACGTGTTTCGTCGTATTGGCTTTATAGTGCAATGAAGTTTCATATGAAATTTTGATCCAAATACCAATAATCAAACAATGAACCACTGTTCATTGTGCGTAACCTCGCAATAACTATTACGGCCTTTCTACGGACTTCCTTTTAATTTATTGTTTTATTTTGTTTATTATAACTTTTTTAAATACCATTCATATCACCATAAATTAACAAAAATGATTATATTTCCATATTAAAAACACCAATGAATTCTGTCATTCCCCCTTAGGACCTTCCCATAGGAGAGGGATAGCAAAGCAACCTTTATGTTATTTTTGGTCTAGAACTACATTTAGGCGCAAAGTTTTAGTTGCGTACGTTTTAGTCCGTTCAGTAGTTCGGGCGAGAAATTGTAACACACATATATTCATACATCAAAAAAACGTTTGTATTTATAATAATAGGAAGGAAAATAATAATAATGGTACAAATAAAAATATATTATACCTCATTGTTACCTAAATCGATAACCGTAACTATGTATGGACGAACGTACACAATGAGGATATAAGATGAAAGTATAGAACTGTGGTGCAATTCATCAGAGGGACAAGAGTAGAATGGGCAGGTCATACATGGTGGGCCAATAGAAGTATGTTGAAAAGAGAATTGACATATATGGTGAGGGAAAAGAGACCAAGGGAAAGACCGTGGAAAAGATAGAAGGACAGTGTCGAGAAATTATTAGAAAAAACTGGAGTAGACTGAGAGCAGGCATAAGATAGAGAGCGATGGATGAGAGTAGTTTTGGAAACTAAGAGTCTAAATAAATTTTGGACCATATGTTTAGATTGCATTGTTTATAAATAATTTAATAGCTATTTAAAATAAACATAACAATATGTTCAACAGTCTCCTTTGGACCGTTCAATTCGGACGATTTCCGAATCCGATGATAAATTAAATCCGATAATATGTTTGTAAATTTGCATTCCACATTACTGTGACGATTAATGCGCATGTTTACAACATATAATAATTATGACCAATCGTTATAACATGAAATACAAGTTGTATACCTACGCGAAATAATAGTTACACGTTAAATCGATATAACGGAGAGTAATAATTATTATTTATTACAATCCTTTACATAGAGGTGTCTAAATCGAAATATTATGCTATTACGGTCAAATAATAGAGTAATTTCGAAATTTAAAATTTAAAATCTGTATCCAAATCTGCCACTAACTTTAAATTAGAGAGTTAGAATTAAGTTAAAAAGTTAATTTTAGATTCTGAGTGGAGCGAAGGAGCTTATGGTTTTACAAAGGTGTGTATTTTATTTTTTTATCTATTCGCCACTTTTCTACCAGCAATTATGTTCTAATTTACAATGATACTTTTCCTAAAATGAAATCCAACGACTGGGGGGGGGGGTTATTTTAGGGATGTAATTTTTCGATTTTCTCAGGAGTTTTCTCATCAAATGTGAAAAGTCACTAAAATATTTGTATTCGTAATATATTTGTGATTATAATATTAATGATTTTGCTACCATAAATGGTATGGTAATCTAAGGCAAGAAAATAAGCTGCAAAAAAAAAAATAAATAAAAACAACAATGCTGGTATATTTTACATCGTCACCACGTTTCACGTATATGGGGTTACTGTGTATGGGCAGACGAATGAAGAAGGGTGGAACAGTGGGAAGCCCATACATAATATGGGAAATATATTTTTATGGCTGTATAGTGTAGGTAGACAAAAATAAATTATATTGAATACATAAAAATGTCTCTAAATTCAGTTAAACACGAATTTATCAATTTAAATTTAAAATTTAATAAATTAGTAATTACAAAATAATTTGCAATTGTTTTTTAATAAACTTAAATATTCGCTTGATCTTGAAATACTCAATAATTTCCTACGGTTTTGTATCCACATAAAATAAAAACAAAACCTAGACAATTTTGAAAATTGTACCGGGTATATAAATAGTGATAATATATTATGTATCCACTGAAAATTTCAAATAACTATGATTATTTTTTATCGCTTATTAAAACAAAAAAAAAAAAAAAACAAAATCGAAAATAACATTGATTGACGTGAAAATTCTAGTTTTTCCGATGATGCACTAACAAAATTGCAGTCTACCAAAAAACATTTCTTAAGTGCATGATAGAACCTAGAATCGTAAGAACAGAATAGAATCGAAAGAATACAATCAAATATACGTTTGGGGTTATTTACAGACATAAAAAAAAAAAAATAAATAAAAACACATATCACAAAATAACGCATCATTGGTACATTTAGAATCTAAAATAAACAGACAAACATTATACAAAACACTAAAGAAAAATGAAAGCGTATTTTTTTTTTAAATAACGTATGTTTATACAATAAAAATATAAGGTTATTTTTTGTTTGTATTATTATTTATTAGCTCTCGTTAAATAACAAAACACAATTTTGTTATTACGAGAGATTTACGACGTGAAAAAATTATCAAAAAAAAAACACGTGATGTGAGAAATGAACGAAAGATAACTGCATTATTCATCAGTGTGGATACATAGAAAATAATAATAAAAGCGAGTCCTGGGTATATAATATTACCATATAGTGATGTCGATTAATGTTATTTTCACTATTTTTAACAGTCCGATGAGAGTAAACATTTACAAAAAAAATACAAAATAAGAACAACATCCTTCAGATCCTCATCATACTTATAATAATATAGTATAGTTTCCGGATAAACTTTAGCCGTATATGATTTGTTTTTGCATAATAATATATTATACACGTAAAAACGAAAACATTAAAACAGAGAGGAATATTAATCGAGAGGTTTGTTACGAAACGCAACAAATGATGCAAATATGATATTATACAGGGATTTTGTTATTTATTTATTTTTATATCATAAACCGTCGTATTTGTATACATATTTTATGTTCATAACTAGAGTTCGGATTTTTAAAATGATCATCGCAAATTTATTCAAATTAGTATTTAATAATTTTATTGTAAACAAAATGCAGCTATACTGTGCATACATACTATACTGTACACGTCCATGCATTAATTACACTGAATGTACTGTATAATAACATTGAAAGGCCGGACATATTTAACACCACAGTTAGGTTGTATGAGCAAATGATTAGGGAATTATAGGGAATTGGGTGATCTAGTTTGTATACTGAAATCAATGATAAATAATTGCAATTAAAAAACGATTTTGAGTTATTGAGTAATGAAGAAGCGCTGAAAAAAATGCATGTAAATATACGAACCTTTAAATAATATGGTCTAGAGAAATTTATAAAATCATAAATTATAATGGAAAAAGCAAAAACATACAAAATTAAATTATATGCTCATACAGAATTATCATAAATCTAAATTCCGTATACACTACCTATTTGTTTGAAATACTATTTTAAATACAATAACAGTATTTAAATCATTCGGGATATTAAAAAATTGGCTTAAAAAAGTAACACCGTCAAAAATTATATTTTTTATGGCGTGTTGAGAATAAGTTGAATCATTTTTATGAATCGAAAAAGTGATTTCCAAGAATAAGTACCATACAAAAGATCTTTAGGGCGAACTGTTGGAAATTAAGAACCACCGGGTGTCACGTTTGATTTTCACGTCATTGTATGCTTAAAAAAAAATAGGTTATAATACGATGACTAGTTCTACAGAACAAAATTTTTAAGCATATTATCACCAACTTAACTTATTTTTGTAAACGAAGGTGGTCTCATTTAAACGTCCTTTTTAGTACATTAGACACTGAAACGAGCATGACACACATTTTATGTACGTACGCATAATCGTAAATTGCACATTAAAAAATCAGTAAGTACCTAGTTATACATATTAAACTATTCAAAAAAAATAATTATTTTCATCTTAAATAATATCATTTATCATATAGTAGCTTTTCCAATACGTTTTTAATGTAAAATTATATCAACAGAATAATATTCACGTGTAAAATATGACGTCGGATTAATAAAAAAAAAAAACGTATTGTCGATGCAATAAACGAGGAATGACTAAAAAAAAAAAAAAAAATGTTTATTGTATATAATATATATATTTCATATATATATTATAATATACATATGAATGTATGTATGATTGCACATATTATGATAATGTGATATTATGTATATAATATATCTTTTTTGACAGACTGAACTCGAAGTTATCCATATTAAAAGTTGTGAGGTACATGTAGAACGTAGTAAGTTATTAACGAGATTATAATTGCATTGGATATAGTGTTTTTAAAAAAGAATATAGCATTCTTATCATCTAGTTTATCATCCGTAGGTAAGTTATGGGTATGTATAATACAATGAATATATAATTATACCGAACTCGAATATGGAATCAGTTTCATTCGTGTTGAAACATAATTTTCTACGAATCGCAATGTAACCAAAACAAGAAATAATAATAATTCAGTTTAAATTTATTGATAAAAATTTTAAAAATTTATAGTAAACAAGGTATCGTTTTAAAAATACTGTAAGATCGTCTTACATTAGATTAAAAGAATAAAGCAAACAATCCGTTTTTAGATTCTCAGTAGGTCAAAAAAGTATTTTTTGTCCAACCATCAGAGATGATTTGTGATATAAAATTTCGTCTATTTGATGCACCAAAAAAGTAATATCTCAATTATTCCAGCAGTTTTCTCAATAATGGAGAAAATACGGGAAATTGTCGAAGAACCTAGAATTGTATTTACATATTATAATGGTTTTCATATTTTTGTTGAAATTTGGTCAAAAATAATCATAGAGACCTTAAACATTCACCGATTTTGCATGAGTCATTAGGTGCTTTCTAGACGTGGTACATTGGCACCTATACCAATATGAAATAGCAGATAGAGTGTCAACATTTTTATTTATACGTGTTTAAAGTCCTAATACTTCCATTTATCAACATAGCTTAAGGGTAGGCCTCTATTATATGGAATGGTAGGAATATACAGGGTAATTTAATTAATATAGGCATTGCAAGCAAATCAACGGTTCTGAGTAGATTTATTGTAGTAGTGTGTTTATCGTATTGTCAAGATAATTTAAAATTTAAAAAAAAAAGAACAAAAGAGGTGAACTTTGGAAAATTTCGATAAATGTTTGAAATAAATTACTTCCGGCCAGAAATCCTGCATGTATGTACGTATGCCATTGAATGAATAAATTGGAGCATTTTCCTAACCGAAAAAGTGTTTTCCGTGGAGAAAAAAAATCTTTGTAAAACTATAATTGCGTTTACTATTCCATTATACTAAAACTGGTAAATTTTTTATTTTTATAAATATAACTTCTTTGGCTCTACACAAATATTAGAAAATGTTAATATTTATGGGTATGTCACTATAATATGATGTGCACTGTCAATGAGTTAAACAATTTTATTACTATAATAAATAAGTACAGCCGATAATAGATTTTTAGACACATGTAAATATGTTTTTGATCGACTTGTAATCAAGATGTCGTTTAAATTTCATAGCCATAACTTATATTCAGATAAATCGTCGTGCAATTAGATATTATGCTCTCGGACAGATGGGTTATTTTTGTATTTTGTTTTAAATTAGAGAAATTAAAGAAAAAAATAATAATAATCCATTGACATCAAAAAATTCAGTTTTTAATATATAAGTAAAGTTAAAAAAAAAAAAATTGATTTGTTTTCCACACAACTCGTTTAAATACAACCAATTAATTAGGTTACTATATGTTTTTGGTTAAACAGTCAGCCAGGACATGTTATTTTATTTTATATCTGTATTATATATTTATAAACAGATTGGTACTTATTGTATAAAGATACATTTTATAATATTTACATAAAGATCTGATTTAAGTTGTAAAAGTGTACCAGATTTGGTATACATCTAGATTTGGACTTGGATTTCTGGAAATTCCATTTCTAAACGATAGACATATTAATAAATGTATACATATGAACAATTTTCTATGTAGCTTTTGGTAACATGATCAAAAATTTAAGTTTAATGCCTTTCACTTTTTCAAAAAAAAAAAAAAAAAATTATAAATAAATAAAACGTTATAATTGTGATCATTTTATTAAACAAATTATTCTGTTAGGTATGTTTTGAGGAAAAAATTGTTTAAGAATTTGTGAAAAAAAACCATGATTCCAAATATACTATTATACAGTGTGTTGATTAACGTTTAATGCATGAGTTTAACCAATGGTATTATCTCGTGATACATTATATTAAAGAAAATTAAACTTTAATTAAATACAATTGATCTTTAATTTCTCTGTTAATTTTCGTACGGCATCCTCTCACTATTCACTAGTTATACAAATGTAGGGTTTATAAACTTTCTTTAAATTTTATACCTATACTATTATTATGTAGGTATTTACCAGTCTAATATTGTATGCATTCGGGCATTCCATTTACTGCACGTAAACGTAACAGCAGCATAATAATGTAGTCAAATTAGTATTTGCACTACGTGCATTTTACTAAACGACGTGGATTAGAATACTATAGGTACAGCTGGTATTAAAACATTGAGTATAATAATAACATAGTCGCAATATTATAATATCGTAATAAACTAAATTACTAATTTAGCCGTATTGTATTAAGTTTATTTAATATTTAATTAACGGTAATTGTGAGTTTTATAAACGTGTAAATATTTGGTCGGCCGAATAACTTAACAAAAAAAAAATCCAGACACCCTTCGTACAATATACTCATGGGTATGCTACTGTTGCAGTTGGATTGCTAGGAATCTAAATAGGATGTGAACGATAATTTATGTTAAATAGATACTGTATACAACGAAAAATCTTTAAAACGAAAAACAATTCTGAGCTGAGAAGTAGTAGTCATGTTCCAAAGTATAAATAAGAGAGCAAAAGAAATAAAACCGCCAATATATTGACATTTTTTTGTAGAAAAACTATTGGAAATCTAGATATTTTGTTAAAATAAAGGGTACCGCCTTTCGAGCAATCCGCACGTGAATAGTGTAGATTGAAATGTAGATGTGAATAATTCGGAATATTTTTACTTATCAAAAAAAGGTTAAAAAGAAAAAAAAAACGAAATGACCTTTACGGGCGAACTGTAGACATTTTAAATACATTTTTTAATTGAAATACCGTTATAGTTTTGCATTACTTTTAAACAGTGCTCAGCAGTTTTATGTAAGAAAAAATAAAAGTGAATAGATTTCGGGGTTATATAGTTGTCGATATTTATGAGACTTTATAATACAATTTCTTCATATACAGAGTGTCCTACAATGTTATATTTAAACTAATAATTCCGTCAATATTTATATTTTTTATCCAATCGAGTTTTGTGTGAAAAGGATACATATCTAGAGAAAAGTTAAATTTTTAATTTCTTGAAAATCGGCGTGATGCATGACACGTTATGCTTTAAGGAATCATAATCAGTGCGGTAATTCCTTATCTTCTAATGAATATTAATTGTTTTTACGCCAATTTCCTATACATTAAAGTCACTATACATAGAAACTATTAATCGCATACGAATGTTTGCCAAATGAAAATGTTTAGAATAATATGTTTTATAAAATGGCTATTTTAAAAATTTTAACCAGTGGAAAAATATAAAGTTATTTTGTCCAGTAATTTAAGGATAAAATAAAAATGTAAGTTTTCTCTACATATGTGTCCCCCTTGTACAAAACTCGATTGAAAAAAATGAATATTGACCGAGTTATTAGCAAAAGGATAACATTATAGGATATGACTTGTTTAGTTATTTCTGCGTCCTATGAAGGTTCAGACAAATCTGAAACTGATAATCAATGAACAATACTGTTTGTTTAACTTTAGTATCACACATAAGTTTTTATGTTTTCACATCGAGAAGCATCGAGATCAATAGGATTCTGATTTTTAAAATTGTTCCAGACACATTGAAACTTTTGTTTTCGAATCCAATTTTATCTCATCGAGTTTATTGAGATTTGATAAATAACACGTGGTGCGTGAAATTACGTTTTGCCAAAAAGTATTAAAAAACAAGTAACATTATAATGATATAACGTAAGTCGAGCACAGTGAGGCGTCTCGTATGTTACACAAATATAAATATTACCAATTTATATATAGATACTGTATTCATATAGGTTATTGATATCACATCAAACATATTTTAAAATATAGAAATTTTGTTAGGTTTCGTATATATAATTATACAAACTATAAAATATAATATAAAAAACACCTGTTTACAATTGAGTTCTGTCACTAGAGTAGAATATTCCTAAAATTATTTCGTATAATGCAGAAATATTCTTTAAAAAATTAAAAAATCCGAATACTATAATGCTGCCGTCCTAANGAGGTACGGAATAGAGGTACGGAATAAAAAAAAACACCTGTTTACAATTGAATTCTGTCACTAGAGTAGAATATTCCTAAAATGTAGAATATTCCTAAAATTATTTCGTATAATGCAGAAATATTCTTTAAAAAATTAAAAAATCCGAATACTATAATGCTGCCGTCCTAAGAAAAAAAAAATGTTTAATTTTATAATATTAAATGTAATACAGGGTAATCTCATTTCATTTTTCGATTTACGACGTGTTTTCTTAGGACGGCAGATTAGGTATGAAATATACTGTAACTACTGCAGCAATTATACTACTTATAGAAAATACTGAAATTTGTTCGTAAAAGAGGAGGGGGTTAAAAGGAAAAACCTCTAAATAGCAATTCCTTTTGATACTAGTGCCACGCGTATACAATATTTCACCAACTTGACTTCGTTCGGGTAATTGAGTAAGAGGGTATAAACCTAAAAAAACGACATCCACCCACAACAACGTGGTTATATTCATAATGAAAATCAATCAAACTATGATCACTTTAATTCACAAGCATTTATAATCCCCGAGTTTGGGCCGCTACTTGTGTCCAAAATTATCCATATACAGTAAAATATTATTTATAATCTATATAGGTATATCTTCGGTGAAAATTCTACAAAAATAAAAATACGATATAGCGGCGGCGGCGGTAGGTAATCCGGCAATTCAAAATTTATAGTATGTGACAACGGATACTGCAGGGATAGTCGTGTATCTCCAATTATTATGCTTCGAAACGTTTACCTCGTGTGATGAATAATTACGCGTTGCGCCCGTTATTTATTCATTTCGCCTGCGATTATACCTATATTAAACAGCACGCGAACATTATACCTAATGTTATAAAATTTAATACCGAGTGCGTGTACACATCTATAATAAATAATATATGCTTTTACATTATTATGATACTATTTGAGCGTATTGTTCGTGAAATATTGACACCCGGAATAATAACAGGTTACGGATCGCGAATAATATATTATATTATAATAATTTAAACGAGTGAAGCCGGATCACGGAGGCCGGACGACAGCGGTTTTATTCCGAGATAAAACTCAATAATGACGCACGAACGCGATATCACCGAACATTCTATCTATAGGTATAGTTATACAATCGATTCGGATAATTTTTCTCGGCTCGTCAATTCACGGTCCAAACGGGCGGGCCAATCTAATCCTCGGGAACAAACATATAATGATTGTACAACAGACCTGCACGAAATGGCCTAACGTGTTATTACGCGCGTATGATACGGCCACCACACGGGACGTCCGAGTCGTCTGCGCGAGAACCGATGACAAAGTCTCTGGTGCTTCATAGCCGCAGAATTTCGCGGGCGATAGTTAAATATTAACGTTGCACGGGCCGTCTACGCGCGGCTATTGCATGGTCAACACAGCTATAAAATAAAATCAATCGCTCGTATATATATAGGGAAGAATAATCGTAATAATCCGTAATTTATACACGGGATTCGTTAAAACAAAAGCGAATGAAAATCAATTCACTCAAAATCGTATTTTGGTACCGCGGGAATCCGGTCGTCGTTAAAGCACTTGATCCGCACGATCATTGTGGCGGAATTCGCCACCGCGCGATGGAAACATTTACGATATCATATCACGAACAATGATTATAGTCGTGTGTGAACATGGTGATAGTAACTTTAACGGACTACAGCGAAATCAAAAATCACAATATCGAGCAAGTACAATAGTTAACGGAAAATATCGTAAAACTACTATCTGTGACAGCGACAGTAAATATCGTACCGTGCAAATACATACTGTCGTTCTACGTTACTAGCGGTCGTGTCGCACTTTTACGGATGTTTCTATCGAAATTTACTCCATTTGCAACTGTCTCGATAGTAATTATTACTAATTAGGTAACTGCCAGTTGATAGGACTTGATCCCGCTCGGTTTTATGACGGCGACCATGATATTTGTACATTATAATCATATATAATTATTATTTAAATTAATTTTTTTTCCGGAGTGATAATATGATGATAACAGTGATCAAAATAAAATCGATTACGCGCACACCGTCATAAATTTATTTCTACCCGATCGTAAAACATTCATTCCATTTAATCGTTTTCAAAACCGATTTTAATTGTCGTTTATTAACGTTTATTTGCTTAATATTATTTCGATATGTTTTTCGGTCGTATCACCCGAAATTAAATCACGTTAATTTTTAACCCTATGCAAATTGTGCACGCAAACTAATCTATAGTTTTAAACTATGATACCTAGTTTCTAATTGTTATTACTATTGGTCCGTTGCATAGCTTTGCAAATAGTTCGCGTGTTTTCATCGCCAAAATAATTATTGATAATGTTCTTTGGAATATTGGTTCATAACATTTCCATCCGTGGCTAAAACGGTATGAATAAATAATATTATAATAATACGATACGTACGAAATAATATCATTTTTATATACTACTTTCCTAGTTACAAACATTTGTTTGTTATTGCTGTCAGTTATCGAATGTTTTTATTAAAAATATATTTCTTTACGTAATTGCGCAATCGTTTATAAAGGCACTCGCATTCGATTTTGTATATATATTATTTTGTTTATATACTATCCACAAACTAGTACTACAACTTGAAAATATTGAACGGGTGCTGCGAGTTTCAATTTGGAATTTCAAATAATATTGGCATACAATTATTTGTTCTGTAAGTATATAATTATTTATGTATCACAACTATTGCTATATTAATATTTTTGCCAAAACGGTTTAACGTGATCGATACAAGTGGGAAAATATTGACAAAAGTCAAAACTTTCAACCTATGAAATAATCAATTATTTTGTATTTTATTAATATTTTGTATTTTTTTACTTTTAGTTTTGCCACATTTATTCTGTCATACATTATGATGTTTTCGATAAATCCTCGAGAAAACCTTGGGGTAGGTTATTTAAAAATGTGTAATTTCAGACTTCTTTTGACGTAAAAAAAAAAAAAAACCTCGTATTCTATATAATTACGAATAGAACACATAAATTAAGGTACCTACCTTAAATATTACGAAACAATTAAAATAATAAAATTGAATATAGATATTACATTTTAGCTTTAAACGATATTACTAAAATCAAGGTTTTCTAATGGGATATTTGAGTAAATATATTATAATTCACTATTAGGGGATTTTTTTTTTTATAAAACTTCAATAAAACTATGTATATTATATTTTATACATAAGAAATTATTTTATTTTTTAACAACTCACAACTCATCCCTTATAATTTATGTTTTACGAAAATACAAATTTAAAAGTAAATTATTTTTATATATTAGGTAATTAATTGTCTTTTAGATTTTAAGTGGAGGGAGGAATGTATTGGTTTTACAATGATATTTATTTGTATTTTTTTTTTCTGGAGAAAATTTGTGTACTAGAAATTTTACTCCAATTTTCAAGTGTAGCACATTTTCTGAAAGGAAATCTTACTGGGATAGTACAATAAGCAGGTAATTTTTTGATTTTCCCAGGAGTTTTCCCAATAAATAAGAAAAACCGGAAAATGTACGAAATGTATTGTTTACTAATCGTAAATATAAGTACGGCCTTTTAGAACATGTATAACCAAACCCCGCTCAGAATTGTTTTTTGTTTAACGAAGATTAGACGTTGCGTACATATATACATTAAATTTCTTTCTATGTCCTATCTTTCAAACTTCTCACTTATAATAGTGGCCCACTCTTCGTGCGAAGTATGTTCGTACCTTTTTATATTATTTTATATTTAATATTATAGGTAGAGATTCTTTATAATTTTATCACGCGTGTACAAATCGAATACTAAATTTCATATTTCGGTTTGATCAGTTTTCATATTCTAATAATTATATAATTATTACAGGTACATTAATTGTATTATTAGATTATAATGGACATTTCCCGAACGAAAATGATTCGATCTCAAGACAATGTATATTTGGTACACAACTTAATCGGCAAAGGTCGTTTTTCACGCGTTTACCAGGCCACGGACACGACTACGGAAGACAGGGTGGTGATAAAAAAGCTGAACAAAAAAATTATCAACGAAAATTACGTTGACTGGTATTTATATCTGAAAGAGCTACATCTATTGACTAAATTGAAAAGCAGTCCACTGCGAGTCCGATTTGTCGATCTGAGGGACGCGATGCGATTGGATACGGGTGCAATATGTTTTGTCATGGAAAGATTGGGGACCACTTTGCACGCCGTGTTATACAATATCGGTGGAATGTCGATCTCCATGTGCCGTATGATTGTCAGGCAAATAGCCCAAGGTACCCGTTAAGATTTTATCAATATTATATGGTTATATATTATACATTATTATTATATTATCAAGTAGGATTTTTTTTTTTTTTTTAATTATTACTATAAATCGCATGTATTATTAGAGTCCCGACCGAAACAGATAGTTCCGCAGTAGGAATTTTTGCCATTTTTTTCTCTGGCATTAAAAATAATAAAACGAATTTCATAACGCTAACACAAAATTGTTTTATTTGTATAAAGGAATTGTTCGCGCCATAGAGTAAAATAATTGTTTTACAGTTTTGTACTCTATGTCTATACTTTGCCTGTGGCGTATGTACAGCCACCAATTCTATGGCATCGTGCAATGGTCAAATATTATTAAAATGCGGAATTTCATGTGGCCTGAGACTTGCAAAGTAGAATTTTAAAATGTTAATTAGTATTCAATATACATTGTTCATACTTGAATTTCGGAGTCAAACATTTTTTTTTCATTATTTATGTCTGGTTTCCCCTTGGGTTATATGGATTTAAAAAAAAGAAAAAAATAATTATAAATAGGAAAATTTCTCTCATATAAAACGAGGAACAATTATTAATTTTAATTTATAATAATATCTTTACGTTAAATAGCGACGATCATAGTTTATCTTAAATTTAAGGCCACATTTTCGTTAAAACTGGTAAATTTTTTTTTTAAAATATCCTACAAGAAGAAGAAATTTGAACGAGCGTCGTCTAAACTTTAAAATTCCACTCATTTTTCTTTTGTCGGGTTTAATGATTTACAGTTCTTTTCGATGCACTTATATAAATCGATATACGTATTACAGATAACCCTAGTAAAATCTACTATCTAGCCACGGCTTGTGGAATTATATCAATATTGTAATATATATGCTACAATATATACAGTAATAAATCGTAATAATTTGTTAAAATCAAACGTGGTTCAAAAGTAATACATTAATTATGTAATACAAAAAATACTGATACTGCAAATGGGTATACCTCTATTTTACAAAAAAAATTCAAAGGTTGGGTATATAGACTAATTTAATTTTTATCTGTGTGTGGTGATTATGAGCAGAGTGTTTTATTAACCGTATTTTTTCCCATGTTGTTAAAGTTGTTGTTAAACAGAAATTAACAAAAATTAATATTTTCCCAACATTCTAACTTCAAATCCTCTACCTGTGGTCTAGGTAAATATTTCTAAAAGAAAAATTCTATACAATTATTTATGGGAACACGATTTCTGGTAGGAGATTTGTACACAGACATAAAAAAAAAACACATAGTAAAACACTAAAACCAGATAGGCATATGTACATTAATCACTTCGCTCAGAATCCAATTGTTTGCTGTTCAATGTTAATCAGCCACAAAATTTGGGATTAATATAGTATTTGCTCATTTGATAACATAAAATCATCAAGTAGAGCAAATTTATGTTATGTTACAAGTTCAAATTTGAAAAATGTTTTTTTTCCTATATCTATATTTAAAAAAATAATATTTCTAATATGCCTATTTTAGTGGTTATAATGAGGATTTTATGCGTTTTATCTTTATTTTAACTACTATAAGTTCCAAAAATTGATCATTAATAAATTCTTAAAATTGACAAATGAAAAACAAACATTTCGTGAACCACGTTTGTGATTTAATGGTTCGTAAAAACTAATAAATCCTTTTTTGACTCTACCAAGGCTATCTAATGCTCTACTTTAAAAATATGATTAATAATACATCGACAATTTTGCTTGCTTTATGGATACATTTTGAAGATTAAACACAGACTTTTTTATTATTTTATTTCTAGTTATATAAATTAAAATAAAAACTTATTACTAAAAAAAAAAAAAATTCCTCCCATATCCTTTCCATCTAAATCAATGTGACTGTTTATCTACGCTGTCTATTTATGATATCCTAACCTTAAAAAATATATATAAATATAGAATAATTTAACTCATTACGTGCAGATATATTTACGCACAATACCATGAGCTAACACAAACCTATGGGAATAAGAATTTTTAAATCTTTATACTAAGTTTCAAAAAACATTTATTTTTTTTTTTTTTACCTAATAATATATTTATTGATAAATGATGCATTTTTATATGCTAATATAACGATGGTTATATAATATTTTACTAAAAAAATAAACCCTACCGAAGAAGCTATTCGTTTTATCGACATTTTATTAACTATCATTGCATTGTCTACATTGTCAGTTGAAATTTAAATATTGGGGGGTAGGGTGAATTAATCGCCTTCTATGCACCATACATCTCGGGCTCTCAGAATACTGATACATAATCTTACCCGAACGTTTTGTAAGGTCTTGCGGGTCTCAAGTGCATGGGAATCGTACACGCCGATCTCAAACCGGACAATATAATGTTTTGCGAGGGCGTCGGGAACAATCATCTGGTGAAGATCATCGATTTCGGTTGGGCTTTTTACATCAAGGACGCTCACGCCATGCACTGTACGAAAATGCAAGCCGTCCCGTACCGGGCTCCCGAGGTGTGCTTCCGGGGAAACCCTGACCACGGCCTGGACCTATGGGCATTGGGCTGTATAATGCCGGAAATCATCACCGGCGCGAAATTATTTGATGTGAATACGGAAGAGCTATTGGTCAAACTCGTGATCCGCACGTTGTACGTACCCGAAACCTTAATATCCGTTATCCGGGCAAAGAACAATATGGGTGAAATAAAACTTTCCTCCGGTTGGGTACAGTTTCAGGTAACTTGTACTTTAAATAAAAAAGGTCTCAATAATTATAATACGAGTCCATTTCCAATAATTGCAAGAAGTGCCTTTCAAAAAAGTATAATAAATATAGTAATAACAAATGCAATAACCATTTTTAAGGTGAATCTCAAAGTGGATTTTGAACAAAAAATTTCCATAGTATTTATTAATATCCGTTGAAAACATTATTTTTAATAAACTCATTCAGCTATTTGCATAATAACAACTGCAGAAATGATTCAAAATTATTATTAAATGTTGTATTTAAAAACTACACTGTCAAAAATTTTGAACAGCCACCCAAATATTTTATCGGTAACCCAATTATGGAACGTGTCGATTTTCAGGGGGTGGTTACAGTAAAACTTGATTTTGTATTTTAATACAATTTTTCGTTCAATAAATAGTTGGTAATAGTTGGTCCTTTTGACAAAAGGATTACTATAATTATCTGGAAAGTATTTCCCGGAACGCATATTGTTGAAAAGCATTTTTCTAGATCGTATTTATCCAGAAAGTATAATTCCAGAAATCAAAAAAAAAAAAAAATTAATCTCTGGATTTAGGATAATTTGTACGTGGCAGTTTTGGCGGGATATTTTTTTATAGGAGAAGTTTTGGGGTAGCTCTTTTGAAAGTGAAAAAAAACTGTTATTGAATTTATAGATAAAATATGTGTTAATATATTAATTTAATAACTGAACATTATTATTTAACAATGTTGTATTATTTATTGATAGTATTTTATCTAAATGTTAACTTTTTACTTTCCAAAATTCATACATTTGGCCCATTTATTTTCTAGATGAATATCGGCCAATATGGACATAATTATTATAATAATTATAACATAGAGTTATAAGCATGAAAAATTTTTAAATAATACTTCTGAAAATACTATAATATAGGTACCACAAAATATGCTTTTAACATTTTATGTGGTTGAAAAAATTTTATTTTATTAGATAACACATTATCTAATAGTGGACAAAATTATATTTCGTCGTCTTCATTACATTCTTCACAATTAACATTATTAGTTCTTAACAAAAATATTCTCTAAGTACAATATATTAGTCCACATTAAAAAAAAAAAAAATTTCGTCATTGAATTCATATTTATCTTATTGCCCTGGATTATTATTTTCACAAGTAATTTTACAAAAACTTGAAAATATAAGATAAAACAAAAATAGGTACTATACAATTAAAAATGCGCTTTAAATATGAAAAGTGAGGTAAAAACGTCAAAATATATAAAATACAGTTGGCGTTTTTTTACTAAAAATGATCTAAATCGGGGATATTTACAGTCATATTATTTCAAATAGCTTAGTTTAATAAATATAATATGTATTTACATATAAATCCGTTTTCTAATTATAATTCTGTAGTTCTGATCAAAATGGACAATTTGTCGATTCCCTATAGGACACGAGTATTAGAGCCGCACTTCTAAAATAGACGTTAATTATACGAGACCGGTAATAACACCAAGTATCATATGTTTTGGTTTTGGGGACTAACTTAATTGTATGTTCTCACTTTTGATGTAGAAAAAGCATAGCCGTATTGATACATCTATATTTCGTGTTCTGTATTTAAATGTTATTATGTTATTATAATCTATGCATTTTGTACATACTTATGACGAAAAAAACCAACGTTGTATTTTAACTGAAATCCATTTTATCTCTGAGCTTATAAAAATAAATATGAAAGTTAGTTGGCCTCGATAAATTATTTAACTGTTTATAAAAAATATTGAGTGAGATATTTAGTTTATATTCATTTACCTAGCTTAATAAATAAATTAAGAAATTACATCAATCACATATACTTCTTGAAATCCAGATACGTATACAAAATCTGATACTACTTTTGGCACATAGTATTAAAAAGGTTGTAAACAAAATTATTATTATTTTTTTTTTTTTTGAATCTAAATAGAACGTTGTTGATTATTTATCTTTATCTAGATAGCTAATACGTTGTTATATATTATTTACTTTCATCTAGATAATTATTCAAAAAATTACATCATATCTTTATCTAAATATTTTAAAATATATCTTTATACAACACCATTTATACCTAGTTATCTAGTTCTATGGCTGAATAATATAATATTATAGTAATATATTTTATAAAATTATTAAAATATTAAATGAAAAAACAAGTGATTTTAAAAATACATTTTAAAAGTAACCTTATGTTGTTCCTCAAAAATACGAAATTCTTAAAATGTTATAATATTTGTAGCAAAGTTTATATACAAGTAGCATATAATAAAAGTTGTATTAACTTTTCATAGATGAAAATAACCTTAAATAATGTATGTATCTACCTAAATACGGTTTTTAAATGAACGCAAAAACTGCGATGGTGTTTTAAAACAGTCAAGGTAAAATTAAATATTTAATCAACATTAAATTAAATATAATAATATGTTTATTAAAATTTCGACGAGTAGAGGAAAAATAATTATTAATATAACAGGTATAAATTGCACTCTGATGCGGCAATATTTAATTTAAAACTATAGGTATTTATTTTATTATTATAATATACAGCGCTTCGTTATAGAAACATCGAAAATACTTTGGCCGACATTTTATGCAATAATATAAATTCAAAACTATAGTAAGCCATATTTTGTTTATCGATAATTTTCTCAGTGTTGGTTTCATTAAAAACATATTAGCTTCATTGCTTTTACCGTCAAACATTTTTCAATTTTTTAAATATATAGTTGAAATATTATTAGGTACTAGAACTGCAATTTTCAATATTTTATTATTTTATTCCGTCATCTTTCAAAGCGTAACACTATCGAATTTTATTTAGAACAAAATTATAATATTACACAAAGAATATTTCCTTTTTTAGTTTCCGTTTATAGACGCGTTTGAACTCATGGCTGGAGAAACAAGCACCAATATTTTTCAAGTATCCTCGGTAAAGAAGTGAGAACTTACGGCACTCTAACCACTTATAAACTTAAAAATAGATTAATAAGTACCCGATAATTGTCTTATTAATTCAATATTTCTTATTAGTTAAGCGAAACATAATAAAAAATATTTTGAAATTATTCCAAAATACATTGGTAGATAGTTTTCCTGTAAACACTCATTTTTTCTTGAAAATTTTTTTTTTTTTTTGACGAGTGAAATGCTTCAAATCGTTCAGTGTTTGCAAATTAGAGTTAACCTAACCTAACTTTTATTATATTATAAGGTAAAATGTTATAGAATATGACTTTTTTGACCAGTGGTATTTTATATAAACAATGTTTAATTCAAATTTAAAATGTCATTTGTTTTTTTTTTTTTTTTTTTTTTTTTTTTTTTTTTTTTTTTTTTTTTTTTTTTTTGTTGCTTTCTGTGTAACCCCAGCTATACGGTGAGAAATTAACTAATAACACTAAGAATTACCTTATCAGTTACTAAGCTCTGTTCGGAAATGTTTTTTTTTTATCCCAATCGTTTATCGCTGCTTTCGGTATGCGATATTTGAACTAATTTATCCTGTATTCAATACCTTCCAAACTTCTTAACTACGACAGTGGTCTTACCTACGGTGTGAAGTATATTCGGCTTTTTAATAGTTATTGTATTAGCATGACTAATATATAATCATGCATGATTGCTAGTAAATTTTTCACCGATTTGGCAGATATAATAATGACAGTATAATTTATCAATATGTAATCTCATTATAAATAGTTTTTCTTTCAAGTCAGTGCAGTAATTTATAATCTAGAGATCGCGTTTGTTTATTATTTAGTCGTGGGTATCGGTAATATTTTTCAATTTTCCATGGGAAATATTCGATTCAGGGTACCTATTATTTTTTCACAAACGAACCACGTCCAATTTCAAAGACATATATTATTGTTTTAGTATCACTAAACAAAACTAAGAACATATATGCTAATTGACCAGGACTGCTTTCAAAGGTAGATGAATATAACAAATGTATAACATTATTATTACATACTGCACAGTATATTTACACGAAGATTAGGTAAATCTTTTAACTTGAACGTACGGGATATATCATACAATAGTTATCTACACAGCCCACGGCATTTTGTTAGGTATATATACATATATGTAAAAGATAATACGTGAGGGGACGATAAAATCTGAAAACGAATTCGTCGTACATTTCCGGAATGGTAGGTAAACTGTTCAAAAACTAGTGCAGTGTTGACCATTATCTAACCGACAACAAACAATTATTTAAAACGGCTTTGACGGTCGTAATAATATTATTATTATGCAGTAGACAATGTCCGCTAATTTTCATTTTAATCCACTTTTACTTCAGACATTTTTTCTTTGGCTTTCCGGTTAAATAACATTATTTATACAATTATTGATCATTATTTAGTTTGACAAACAATAATTACTTACCGTTTCTCGTAACAAACGTGTAAATTGTATTTTTTTTTTTTTTACATATTTTTAAATATTTTGAACCAAAAGATATCACCTCCTTATTTCAATATCTCCAATAAGTAATATATACATTATTAACATATTATTTGTAGAACGAACATTGAACTTAATTTAACGGGCATCAGAACTTTTATTTATAGGTACCTATTTAAATAAATATATATTGTAATGATTAAATCGTTTTTGGACATCTCCGAGGCCATTACTGAATAATTTTTGATTTTATCTACATTTTTATGTTTATAAAAACTTAAAATTATATATACAGAATGATTCGTTTAAGTGACCACGCTCGATATTTCACTTTTAACTTTGGGTATGGGAGAAGTAGTGGATCATTGTTAAAACACTGCACGCCGAGCCGTCACATGAATGATGTTCCACTATTTTCCTCCTATCCGAACTTATAAATGGAATATATTTTCAACTAGTTGACCGAAATTAAAAATATCAACAGCAATCTAACTAAAACTAATAATATCTATTTACAACATTTTTAATATCGGTTGTCCTTTGAAAAATTAAAGTACGTAGTCGTTTTACCCCCAAAAATAAAGGTAACAAAATATAATGTTATTGAGAAATTGTAAAGCTGTCTGTTTCTTAAACTATCAAAAAAATACTTGTCGGGATATTGAGTATAAGTACTTAAATGGATCACTCTGTAAGTATAAACTTAATCGATCCTTAATGGTTTGCATCGAAATGAGGCACCACAATTTCAGGATGAACAAAAGAACACTTTTAAGTGCGGCGTTTTAAAATAAATACAGAACAAAACATATATCAGTACATTTTTGTACATTAAAAGCTTAAACTCAAAGTATACAATTATAATGCCTATATAATAATTTTTAATTTAGTTAAAAATGTCAAATGAAAATCTCAAAACTTAATGTATTCTCACATTATTAAAATGCCTGTAAAAAGAAACTATGCATTTATATATATATCTTATAGTTATATTTAAAGTGTCTATAATATAAATTTTATGGATGCATAATACAATGATTAAAATTAATTATCATTATTATATTGTTTTTAAAGTCAGTTTTTTTTATGACTTATTTATGTATTTATTTTACGAATCGAGACCATGTTTGACTGCGAAAAACTATTGGTTTTAGAGATATATTTTTTTTATGGAAAACACTTGTTTGGTGTTACCAATAATCAAAATTGTTTATACGGTGCTATAACAGATGAGAAATTTTCGGCCGGTTGGTGGTACTTTGTTTGGAACATTTATCGAAATTTATATATAATATAAAGACAATTGACTAATAGCTATTTCTCTACACTCGGTATTTAAACACTAAATCGTCGTAATGGTGCATATGTATGTTTTAATTGTATCTGTAACTCATCAATAATAATATAATGATATGTTATTAAATTGATATCATCTTTTTCTCGTGCAACATATCTTATTGATATTATAACCCTCTTAGTTAGATGTCTTATTTCACGATAAAATGTATGGGAGTTCGAAAAAAAAAAAAAATGTGATTATCTTAATAAAGTGGTGTAACGATGATTATGCACTTTGGTAGGTTTTGTAACTACATTTTGTTTTTAATCTCTCATTTTGGACAATAATTCGAAGTTTTTGATGATATTTTTTTTCAATTTTCTGTTTAAACAAGCAGAAATTTAAGTCGACCGACAGTGCTGATCCGCAAAAAAATGAGGACGTTCGTTGGTTCGTGGATTTGGTGTACAAAATGCTGTCAGTAATACCGAAAAGTCGAATCACTGCCATCGACGCGCTCGCCCATCCGTTCTTGACAATGGCGCACTTCGTCAAGTACCCGAGCACCGAAATGACCAAGACGAACGCCAAACTGATGAAGAAATGCGTGCTAGACTTCTAGCTATTACCGTCATTGGCCAAACGTCTGCAGAAATGTTACGTTTGGTTAGGAACTTAACATTGCCGCAGCAGTAAAAAAAAAAAAAAAAAAGCTGATGTACTATATCTGTTCTTAAACGCGAATGATCAAAGAAACGCAAAAAAAAAAAAAAAAAAGAAAACAATAGCAAATGGAAAGAGAGAGAGGTTCAGGGGAAATATTAATCTATTTCCCCTAAATGTTAGGTAGGAATATACATTAGAAATATATATTTTAATTTTTTTTTTTGTTGATGAGTGTTATATATATATATATATATATATACATACATAAATTATAGCCACATAAAATGATAAATGATACCAACGTGATATTATATTAAAATCACACACCGATCGCACATGCTTGGAGTGATGACGGACAATTAGTTTTTTTTTTTTTTTTTTATGAAAACAAATTAATCCAGCTTAATATTTATTATATACGATGATAAATAAAATAATAAAATAATTTATTATAAATTATAGTATATAGTAGACATTTATATTGATGGTCAATAGACACGGTTTTTAAATTCCAGACAAATTATATATTTTTACTTAGTTTATTTTCCGAAAATAAACCAGTATATATTCTATACCAAAATCAAAATTGATACCAAACAAATGATACCTGTTCACCAAAATCGAAAAATACTGATATTTAAAATTGAAACCTAAATCGACACTGTAACCATAACATTTGTAATACCAGAATGCCAGTGATTATTATTAATCCTCCTCATAGTTGATTGAGAAGATTAAATGTGACTAATACTTTCTTAATAAATTAACAGGAGTAAAATTTTACTAGATTAATTTGATCGGGATATACAATATCAGTCAAGTCACTAACGAAATTTTAATCCCCTAACAAATATCACGGGGTTTAATAATTACTGGTACACCAGTATTTTAATAATTCAAATTAACAACGGAAAAAACTAGTTGGTGTATTGAGAGTCATATTTTGATTTGCTAAGTTATTTTAATAATATTTGGAAAAAAATGGGAAATTTACAAAATGTAGTTTTTTCAATTTTGTTATTGCCATTTTTGAGCTATTTATACACGCTTTAATTTTGCGAGTTCTTATTCGATAGGTATTGTGTGAATACAATTTTTGAAATAAACAGAATTGCTTGGAATTTTAACATAAGGTTCAATTTAAGTTGAACTTTCTGGTAAGAAAAAAAAATAATTTTAATATAGAATTTTTTTTTTTAAGAATTTAATTATCAAAGTTTGACAAAAATTGTAAATATTACGGCCTTTCAAAAAATATAACCGAACTTCACTTAGAATAGTTTTTCATCAGCAATGATTCATTGTTGCGTACAGAATAGAGATACCCATTAAATTCTCCTCTATACCCCACCTTTCCAATTTCTCACCTACAACAGTGGCCCATCCATTGAGAGAAGTATGTTTATCTTTTTTATTTCTTATCCATGTAAATATCGGATTGAATCGTTATTCAAAATGTATTATTTTAGATACTTGTCTAATCTAAGTGCATTTATTCAAATCGGTAATTTCCTCCCTCCCATCATCAAATAAATTGCATTACTCGATGCATAAATTGTGAGATAACATGTGTTTTTTTGAGAGAACAAGTGCATATTTAGGATTATTTATTTTTCAAATATTGAAACCCATATGCAGATTTATAAATTTTATTTTATTTAAATTTCAAAGTATTTAATTTTCATAAATAATAATCTAAGCGTATTTTTGTGCCTCTACTTTTTCGTCGGTTACATTATTGTAATGTAAATTTTTTTCGTGTACGATCAAAAACATGAACACCGGTTTTTTTTTTTTTTTTTGGGAGGGTCTCGTATATTCGTACATTTCTTGATGACGATCTACACGAAGGATCTATGCGTCCGAACCCCGAGCCCTTCTCGCCGCTTGCTGTATTCCTGTATACGATGGTCTGGCTCGAAAAATCGTTAACGGTCGGTCAGCCCGCCTAAAACGCTGGCGGTAGAATAGTCTGCACACAGGCAGCATGTGTGCGCTTTCGGTTAAGGTTAGGTAAGGTTAGATATATAAAACACACACACACACACACAATGTACACACTATACACAGCCGGATAATAATCTACTTAACCTCAACGAAACGGAGAAACGAGAAACGGCGGCGACAAAAGAGAGTCCGTCCGGGATACTTTTAATAAACAGACCTGAGGGGGTCGTGTGTAAATTACCGTCGCCGTAGTCGTGCAAAACTGATTATTACCGCCACTTCCACCACCACTATCACCATCTTCACCATCGCCACCACCACAACCATCACTACCACCGCAACCACTGCACTGGTGTAACGACGCTCTATAATCGCCCCCAGAGGCTCTGTTTTTGACTATATTTATATAGGTTTACCTACCTAAGCAAAATTGGTAATTTTTTTGTATCACGCTGCAGCGATTTTTTCACAGGATTTTAAGTAAATGTTTTATTTCTGTTGATTATTTCTCATGTGATAAAATTAGTTAAACTTTATTTAAACACTATTTTCTAATCCGAGCTGTTACAAACTGTTACAAACTCATAATGGAAAATCGAATATTAATGTTATGCATACAAACATGATTTTGTATTCGATTTAAAAATGGTGGGAGTTAAAATTTGAAAATCGAAAGTTAACAAATTGTTATAATTTTAAGTGTAAAAGCAAGATTATTAAACAATTTTTTATGCCTTAAAATAAACCAAAAATTGTTTAGATTGTAATATTAACAGAACGTGATATAAAAATCGTCCTGTTTAATATCACAGAGACTATCGTACACATACTTCGGCTTTAATGTATTAATGAATGAATTTTCTTTATTCTTTTCAATTATATATTGCAATATAATTATAGATACCTTTGACCTACACCTTAACATACCTACCTGTTTGATGTTTTTCACGGCAATTCTCTAATAATGATGTTTTCTCTAGAGAGTTAAATCTCTCCTTTGGTGCTCTTTAAATACGGACCGTATTCGCCGGATAACGAAAAGTTTTTGAAAAACTTACACAGTTAAATAATACTTTAACCGTTTGCTCCAGCTAGATGTGTATTTTGTAGACTTAGATATATCGACGCACTGTATACTACGTGTCTAAGTTCATTCATTTATTAAATCCGGTACTGATATAATTGAAATTTATTTACTTCCTTTTAGTAAAATTATTTTCGTGAATAGATTAAATATTATATAATTGCTTGAAATTAAAATATCGGGAATTTCATTAAATCTTAGGGATTTATTATTACGTCTGTACTCTGTTCTAAATCTGACAAAAATAATTAATCAATAATTTACCTATAAAGAATATGTAATACTTTTGTAAAGTCGGGGTACATTAAACTAAATATCCTACAGTAACCAAACAAAATATTGCGGGCAAAAGAGATATACCATACAACTTATACAAATATATTACTAAAATGATTTGATTTTTTGTTTTTTTAATATTTGAATGAAAACTAATTAACAAGTAAATGAACAAACGACATGAAAAAATGTTTGATATTGTAGAAATATAAAATTACTTTAGGTATCTGACTAATTATTATAAATTATATCTTGTCTGTTGGCCGGTGTTCAAGATATTTCAAAATTAATATCGAGATCAACGGTTTCAATTTTTGAACCGCTGATCTAGACACATAATACTTTGATTTTTAGTACCCAAATATAAGATATAATAAAATAAATGTATAGCCATACTTATATTTTATGTATTTAAATAAAGATCTATTAGATTAGAGATTTTCACTTGATATATTTTGGATGGAAAAATTTGTTTCATTACATATTTTCGACTTGAGATGTTTGGTTAGATAGATTTTGATTAATGATCTATTATTTCAGGATATAAATTAATATTTCATTGGTATATCATTTGTAACATTGATAACATTTGCCCTAACTTGGCTTCAATCGATTTATAAATTAATCAGATTGACTTATAGAATATCAGCTATCTTAGTTTTTTGTACAAATTTATATGTAATTCACTATAGTGATATTATGTATATAGGTCATGAATGCGTTTAAAATTTAATTTTGACAAAAAATCCACTGGAGTAAAAAAAAAAAATCGCCAACACGTTAAATCAAATTCACTTGCATATTATATAAATTGCGTGAATAGATTTCAATTGCAGTAGTGCGTATTGGGAAGTATAAATTAACAGACATTTTTTTACAATACAGTTTTTTGTCACGTATTGGGTGGCACTGCGGTGGTTCACGCGAAGGTAAAGTTGTTTTTTTTTAACTTGAAAACAATTAATCAATGGTATCCCGAACAGAAAATAAATATAAAAACCGAGTTTGAGTCCGGTGCGTGTTTTGTATTTTCGATGATTTATTCTTATTTTTCTAATTTTTTTTCTCTAGTTATCATTGATTTTCACGCAAAGAAAAAAATATGGATATTCGTGATTTATATTCATGCTAGTCCAAAAATACAATCTGCATCTAATTTTCGACCATCTGTACCATGGTTTACGTGAAAATGTCAGACTACATGCTTACTATAATACCTATACGTAGGCATTATAAGTAGGCAACTACCTGATCTAATATTATTTTTATCCTATATTCGTATGTATATGTAATAAAAATCGATGAACTTAACTTTGTTCAGCTATATACAATATTATTCAGAATATATAAATGATTTTAAAAAAACCGGATTAACGAAGTGAAAATTCCCAGAAACCCCGAAAATATTCTCAAAATCGAGAATTTATCGAGAAAATTATAAAAAAAGAAAATAACGACTTTTTGATGGTTCCAAAAATATATATAATAAATTTGAATAACTCATGTAGTGCACTTAAATATCAAGTTATCTGCGTAAAAATTAAAACATCTGAAACACATTTCATAGTACACAATCCCAAAAAAATTATGAAAAATAAAAAAAAAAACTTACAATTTGTCATTAGTTTTTCAAAAATATCAATATTAATAACTATTTACTTTTTTTTTTTATAAAGAATAATCCGTAAAAGTAGAGACAATATTCTTAGTGATGCTGTCATAGTTTTTTTTGGGACACCATACATTAATCGGCGCACAAGTTGTTTTCTAAATTGAACCTCGTTTAAAACACTATACGGCCTGACTATCAATTATTGCTGTTTTGAATTTCGTAATGGTCATTCTTTGATTGGAGCCAGATTTCTTATAGAAAAGTTGCTCACAGTGACGCATACACACACAAAAGTGTTTATTATATTGGAACTATTAAATTCCTCGCTCAGAATTTATAAAAAGTAATTAATATATTCTATATAACTAGTACCTGTATGCACATTTATATAGGCACACCTTTTTATACGACTCTATTCCCTTTGAAATATTGTAAGTTCTTTCGTACCATCGGCTTCAAGACCCGTATCGAAAACGTCATCAGCGTAGTGTAATATAAAACTAATTAATCCGTTGATACAAAACAGTAGTTTTTAAATAAAAAAAAAAAAATGTCGGTTTTCCATAAATAGATAATGAATATTTACAGACTCCTAGTCTACTGCAAGCAAAAAAAAACCATTTACATCGTAAAACGTGTAGTGTAATCTGCACCCGGAAGGTCGTAAATAATAATAGTAACAAAACAAAATCTGGACATATTTCGTTCCATAGGTAGTTTACTATCAGAGGTTAGGTGTTAGGAAGGTCTATATGAATATGAAAAAGAATATGAATTAATTTAATTTTCCATTAAAAGCAACGATAAGGTTAATCATTCGATTTTGAACAGTGTCAGGCAAACTGTTCATAAGAATTTAATATTAATTTGTATTTCTCTTTGCAGCTTAGAAATACCAATGTATCGTTATTCATCAATATTTATTTATTTATTATTTTTTTAGCAAAAAAAGTCTAGTCCTTTAGAAAATTTGTTTTAAAGTACTACCGAACAGGAATTTTGTTTTTTTAGGGTACAGCAGAAAACAATTTAATTAAATTTGCTAACAGAAAATGTATTTTTCATGAAAGAACACAGGTGATATTGTGATCTATTGAGAATTTCAAAAAATGTTTCAAGTAAAGTATTATTGGGTTGAAACTTCACATCTTTAATGGCATAAACAAATCTAAGCATTTTTACTACGTAATTGGAAAAGTGCTTTCCGGGATAAACAAACACATTTTAGTAAAACGTATAGCATTTTCGTTACATTCTGAGAATCTAAAATAGAAAGCGGCTCGAATGCCAGAAGGTATTCAAAACACTTTGTCGTGTATTGGAATGGTCAGGTGCAAGGCGAAGTTATGATATGTTATGTATTTTTATGTTTTTTTTTTTTGTAAAGATCTTATATTGAAATTGTTTGGACGATGATTTACATCAAAGATCGATTCAAACAATGTTACTTTTTTTATAGAATTACATGCATTTATAAATTATTTTCAAAAAAGCTCACCGGATTAAAATAATATAACAATATAGTTTGAGATCGGTGAACATATTCGATTTTATAGTTAATATACGTTATTCTTCTTCTTAATAATGTTATTAACTAAATTGAATTCACTAAAGTGAATTTATTCTATACCGAAGATTTTCACTTTTTCAATGTTAAAAAATCCCGGTTTGCGCAAAACAGTAATAGTACCTTTTTAAAAAATGTTAGAGATTAATCACCAAATAACAAAATAATTCAAAGAACGATGTTTCGAAGGGACCTCATTTAAGTGTTTTTCAAAATATCATTAAGAAAAAATTAGTAAATATAGAGATTGAAAACAAATGTATTTATTTGTATTTTAATATTTAATATTATATAGCTGATACCTAAATTGTTGTAATAATACAAACACATATGAAATTCCCAAACGATCCGATGTTAATATTAATGTTAGTATATATATTCATCAATAAATTTATTTATTTATACGTATTTTATCAGCACACACATTTTTGTTATTTTGAGGTACATTTTTTCTGTTTTGGCGAGCATCATGATTTTTTGAATGCATTTCACGACTATACAATAAAATTAAAAACAAAATAACACAAAATTCACTGTTTATTAAGAATATAAATTTGAAATGTGTGCATAGTTTCTTTTCGAAAATATCATTAAGACTTAAACACCGGTGTGCGACCGACTTCTTCTAATAATTATAAACAAACATTTTGAATTTGTTTTTAATTCACTTCCATATATGTCCATATACATTCAAATAGATGTACATCATCTCCCATAAAAATGTTGTTACTCAGCCACCGGCAATATTCTTATGGTAACAGATAACGATGGTTGGCTACCTTATTTTGCAGCTTCAAGATACTATATCTTATAGTTCAACTAGGTATTGTAATTATTATATTGTCGTGATCGGCTAATAGTAGAAAACTTATACTTACGGACATAGGATTAATTAACAACTTTATCTAAAGTGCATTTGAGTATAAAAACGCCTGTGAGCAAAAGAGCTTCGTCACCAGAGTAAATAATCGAATATTATAGAAATTTAATACAATACAATACTGCAATAAATTATACTATTGAATACAAATTTTGAAATTGTATCATATAAATGGTTGGGGTGAAAGATAAAGATTAAACATCGACAATTCCCATCCTCGATACTAACGCCATACATATATATAATATATATATATATATAAAATGTCATCTTCTTGTCTTCATTCGGCGATTTTATAGGGATGTTTAAAGCAAAAAAAACCTTTCCGCATCAACATAATGAAATTGATATTGAAACCTAAGCCAGACCTTAAAAATAACTTTCTTCACTACAATCCGTTCAAAAAACAAGTTTGATTTCCCAATATTAGTTCACTTGTTCTCGAAAGAGCCGCTAAAATTATCCAAAAGTAACAGGAAAACGAAATATAATATAATAATATGCATTATATCGGTCGCAGTACAATGCTTTAGTCTATATTTGCAGGGAAAATTTGATAAAAAGCATACAAAGAAAATATTTTTGAATTTTTTTTTTTTGTTATTTAGATACTGAACGGAGCTTCGGTAAACTAAAAGTTTTCTATTGTGATATTTTTTTTATGATTTTTATACTAATAATATCTAAATGCCGAATTTTTTTGTAGAACAGGGGGAAATTTCAAAGGAAGTTAAACTTAACCTAATCTATCGAAGAGTAGGAACGCTCGACAGTAGGAAAGCACGTGTACCGTATTATAATAGTCGTCGTTCGGTCCGGTGTTCCTTTATACCCTTATGTTCGTATTTGCAGGAAATTTATATTATTAATATAATATGAATAACTCAATTGTTAACCCGTATATAGGTATGTATTCAAACGAATTGATATTATGTTGGTTACACCATGATTTCAATACTATCCAAATTTCCATCTTTTCCAGTAAATTTTCTAAACATTTACTTTCATACACACTTTTCGTTTTATTTATTATCAATTTGCTGTTGTTATGGAAACATATGACAGCAGAAATTAACGTTATTTTTGTTGATTTACGGATTATTTTAGCAATACGATTGAAATTTAAAAAAAGTATTGAGATTTTTACACAAAAATGGCAGATTTCCAAAAAGTTTCTTTCATAAAAACCTTGTCATGACAATATTACGAACACAGCAAAAACAAATTAGGTTGTTTTTAAATTATGGTGTCCCCAAAAAAATATAGATTTATTTTTAAATCCATATATATATATATATAAATTAAGAAATTATTATTATTATTAAATTTGATTATAAAATTATTAATTTAAAAACATTATAATACATTATTTTTAATATTTGTTCGCCAATTTTAGATAAAAAAACTAAAACATCTGTCGAAAATTCTTTTCAAAATATAAAACGAAACTATATTTTGTTTTTGTTAAACAAAAACGAAAATTACAAACGTTTTTAATCTGTGGAAAAGTCATAACGGCTCAATTATACTTGTTATCTTCTTAATCTTCTTCTTGTTTTCCGTGATCCCAACTTTTTATTCAGCCTACTATTTATTATTTAATCAATTTATACAAGCAGTATAAATATATAATATTATATATAAATATAACATATATTGTATAATGTGTCAATGAAATTGTAGTTGTAGCCACGTGAAAACGGTCGAACATTTGGTACAACGAAGGTTCGAAAAAAATAACTTCAGGCCAAAAAAATATTTTCTCTTACCACGTTAAATAATAATCTAATAATCTCTGAAATCGCTTGGAAAGAGGTGAATTTACCGAAGGGGAAAAAAATGTGCAAAATAGCGAATAATGTATGAAAATATAAAACAACTTATTTTTTTTTTTTGTGGTCAGAAACTTTATTATTTTGCATTTGACGGCTTGTTTCGATTTGGTGTCGTATGAAAGGAAATTGTTAAATTCGTGAATTGTCGAGAAGTTTTCTAATAAAAGAGTACTACTCTCGCATTTGCGTCTACAGAATGTTTCGGGAGGAAAAAAAAAAAGGAAAACTGGAAATCACTCGAAACATTTAAAGGATATACTTATCGTAAGGTACCTCTCTACAGCTATAATATTATATTCGAGTGCAGCATACATTTTCACTCGGGTTTTTTCTCCGTAAGTACACCATACTATTATTATTTATCAGATTACACAAATAACGAATTGTAGATCACAATATTACAACAACAATAGACGTTTAACGAACTTCGGAAATAAAATCTGAATAAACAGTCAAAACTATACACCTATGCCAGTGTACGCCCTGAAGCATATTGCTGCTGTTCCAATATAGAAAACATTTTAGTGAACCGACATAAAAAAATGAAGTCTGCTTTTCAAATATTTACAATTTATTATTTGTGAGTTGGTAATACAGGTACGAATCGTGTCATTGTGTCTATCGTGGTTTTTTAATTCAATTTTAATTCAGGCTTTTAGTTAACATACACTATTATTGTCATATCACGTATCGAGTACAACCATTAACGTAGAATACATAATATTACCTAAAGTAGAATAAATTTAGTAAACTGTGATAAATGTTTTTATTGCTTGGTATTTAAACCTCGATCATTATCTAAAGAATTAAAAAAAATGTATTATATATTATTTTGATTTATAGTTTAACTTGTACAGGGAGGGAACATGGTTTATAAAATAAATTAGACTAGAAAATTTCTTAGCATTGAAAAGAAAAATTGTCTACCCATTAAAGGATAATTGTGAACAATAGAGAAGGAGCAAAAATGCAGTACCAGAGTCTTTATTCCAGAATACAAATATAATGAATGTCGGAATGCAATAAGAAAGTGAAAACTACATTGGGCGGGGCATGCTTGGAGAATTTAGCGATAGATCAAAATTCACGTGGAAAAAAACCACTGGGTAGACGATAAACAAGAAGGGAAGATTTAATATAGAAATATGTGGAATTACTGTTTGAAAAAGGAAGAAAAGACAGCATATAGAGAAATATGGAGAACAGGGTGTGAAAAGGAATGGTCCTGTGAGGTTTCATAAATAAGATGAAGTATAATACAATAAATTAGTAAAAAAAACACTGGCCTTGCTGTCCACTTATAACCTTTAATTGAAATCACTGATACGAGGAAAACTTAATTTTTTCCGTATTTTTATATATACTTTAATATTTCCTAATAAAATATTACTCATCATGCAGGCGGTATAATTTATTATTCGTCCTCTGAAAAATCTTAAAAAATATTAATACAGCATTATATTAAAAAAATAATGTATAAATAGATCGAGTAAACATATGAATTGCAAGACATTGGCACAACCACAGTGACTTTTAGGATGCTCTAGTGTCAAATGATACTGTGTTCTAAAAAAAAAATATAGAATCTGAGTGCAACTTATAACCTATCGGTTTTGCTACAGTGTTTTTTTTTTTTTTTGTCTATAATTAACTGCATTGATATAAATCTGGAAATCTACGGTTCTGTAAAACTACTTTCTTTGATTAAATTATTGGACTTTATATTTTCTGTTCATTTTGCTTTCAGGATTTCTAACGTTATAGCTTATTTTTTTCTAAAAATCAATAGCTATAAGACTCGTAAGTGTGCGATATGATGAATCGTATATTAAGAATAAACAGTTTAAAAGTTAACCAATCGTCTTAATAATATACTTAATATTATATATTGATTGTACTCGACGTGATAGAATACTTTATTGTCGACTCGAATAGCTCTATATACCCGATGACGAGCGACGCTAGGCACCGTCTATATTATCCCCATCATCATGTCTTCAAGGTGGAGAAAGTTCTTATAATAGGATTTCATCCCTCGGAACAATGTGTGGATCTCATTTTCTTTTATATTCGAATAAAACGACAGCTTGAGTTAGTTTTACAAAAAGGAATTAAAACACAAAAGAAAAAGGTATTTTATATATTGTATACGGAAAATCCAGGAAGTCATACATTTACACTATACAGTCGATTTTAATAAGCTCTGACGAAGACAATACATGATCCGTCGTCGTTGAGGTTATCTGCACCATCCCCATTCTGCAATGTACACAACAATATGTCTTTAAATATCCCACGTGAATTTCACATTAATCGTCGTATAATAATGCGTGAATATATGCACGACTATGTTGTTTTAATTCGTAAAGATAAACCCTACGATGAAAATTTTCCAAGTAACAGTGTTGTACGTAAATAAGTTCCACGCTTAAATCCGTTAAAATAATTTCAACTTTGACCAGAATATTATATTATACTTAGTGCTTTGATCCAAAAACAACAGGTTGGGCTTCTGGTAGGGTTTTGGTGATTCATTGGGAAAGTAATTATTTTGAAATTTCTAGTATATAGTACTTACTTATTACACATTAATAAATACGCATAGCTACCGTAATACGATCCTTCCCAGGTTAAGTTTAATTATTCAATTATCTAAAATAAAAATAATCCGGCTATAAATCGCACCATGGATTGGCCACTGTTGTTGATTGGAACTCTGGAAGACAGGTAATTTGAATAATTCAATTTATATCTGTACGTAATATTAAAAAACGAAAAAAAAGTCAAAGAAAATCCGATTAAATCATGATTTAATAAATTAAAATTAAATACTTTATTAATTCGTTACTACAAAATAAAATTTAGTTTAAAATTGTATTAATTTGTAACTTTAAAATAAATTACCATTTTCCATGGTTTTAACGAATTTTTATGTAAATTTAAAATAAACCTGATATCAATAAATTATACAATTGTTTTTGTCTACATTAAAAAAAAAAAAAAAAAAAACTCGACAATTTTCAATAAATTCTCCATTATTAATAAAACTAGAGGAAAAATTAAATAAATTATGTCCTCATTTCACCAACTAACTTTGCTTTCAAAATTAATTTTTGAACTACGTGACCGCAAGATTTTTGCAAGAATAATCGTCGACAAATTTCCTACTTATAATAAAACCGATACATTCTTTAAAATCCAAAAATTACACATGAATGAATAAGATTATTCTTTTTTAAAGGAGAATTCCTTGCCCATAGCAACTAAACCAAAAAAATATAACACTATTTTTTCATCCAGATCACTGAGGTAACTCAAATAATAATAATAATAATAAATATAGTGTATTTACACACTGTATTTATTTTAAAATAGTGTCTATAAAATGTCTGAAAAAATAGTCCACGTTTTAAAAGTTCCATTGAAACCTATTAACCCTTTCCAAAATTAGGGGGAAAAAGAAAACAGCCATTAAATGATAACGTCAATTTAATTTATATAGAAGAATAGAAGATAACTTACAAAAAAATGAGGAGTGACGCGCATTTTTTGTTATGGTTTTTTTTTACCAATAGGGCTGAAAATATTATTGAAGCTGTTCGTGCCAATAAGCCTATAAGTGCAGCGGAGAACTAAAAAAATTTGACCCGCGGGGTTTGCAGGATATCTACACTCGGTTGTGGGAACTTTTAAAGCGTAAAAATGTCGTCGAGGATAAGTCTACGCCCGTGGGGAGATATTATATTATAACAGCCATGGTAAACTACGACTGTCGTGGTCGTAAAAATTGTCGGTCGTACCGGGACGAAAAAAAAATGCCTTAAAATATTCAACCACTGAAAAACGGTTATGAAAACAAATGGCCATTTGTGTTGAGTTATAATACATTTATGTACCTACTTACAGATATAATATACGAGTGTGTTTAAAATATGTATATTATATAGAAGATACGGACCATTTTTATTATTTTGATTTTGGAACAACAACTTAATTTAACTTTATTTTCGCAAAAAGAATAAAAAAAACCGGGATATACATCGCACTATTGGTAAGCCCAATGATATAGGTGGATAGTCGGTAAAAGGGAGGATAGATATGTAGGGATATTTAGTTTATATTATAATGTACCCATATGCAACGACAAATCATTCCAAACAAAAACTATTCTAAGATGAGTGCTACAAGTAGTGTATTTCTTTTGTTACCAAGATAATTTAAGAATTAACAAAAATTAAAACTCCTTAAACAAAATGTTGATGCCAACTGTTCACAGTTTCAGTATACATTTTAAATAAAGTATCACTGATCAGAATCTGTTTGTTTAAAAGTATTGTGAAAATAAATCAGAACGTTTTTTATTAACTGATAAAGTGAATAAGTGAATCTTAGTATACTAATCTACGATTATTTTTCACTGAATTATATATATAAAAAAAAAAGAGCTGATGCTGGGGATTGGAGTGACCCCTGTTTTAGGTGAAAAGTTGGGATAGTAAGATACATAAAGTTATTTGATTTATATCTGTAAGCAATGATAAATCATTGTTGGACGAAAGACGATTCCAAGGGCAGTACGGTAATACATAATTTTTGCGATTTTCGTTTATATTTGATTTCAAAACGCTTATGCGTAAACATCGGAGGAAGTTTAGTAAGAAAAAGCAGATCCACAGACTAGAAGAAGAAGAAAAAGAAAACAAACATCTTAGTAAAACCAATAGTTCCCTCGCTATTTTTTGTAAACGGAAGGTGGACAATTGCCCATATTTTTCCACCCCTCCCTTGTATCCGCTTGATTCTGTTGGATAATCAACTAGATACGTAAGGACGATTTATATGGCTTAACTGAGAAAAATCATCATAAAAAACGATTTTCGTTTCTAAATAAAATTTTTTTTTTTATAAAGATATAGGTAATATTGTACCTATAGTTAGTTTTACCGACCAATAAAATCATGTAACTGTGTATAAGAAATGCTTTAGAAAATAAATTATTTCACATAAATGTCATGTAGCGTAATGTAATTAATTTAAGACACAATTTGAATGTATAGGTTGTATAATATATAAAAGTATTAATAATTATTTTATTTTGATTAAATCAATAATACCTTTGTAGAGATTATTTTTCTAAAATAAAATTAATATCATACTACATCGAACCTTTTGAATTTGTTTTTTTTTTTTATATCAGTTGTTGAGCTCGCGTGTCTTTTATCATAATTATTGTATAAATTAAATAATACGAGTAAATAACATTCATTACCTGAGATTTCCGGTTGACACTAAACCTAAGTAATACCAATGTTATGTAATAGAACACGTATTATGATTAAAAAAAAAACTATTTATTTTTTAATTAATTATGTTTTAAATGTGGTTTTTTTTAATATATTTATATCTATATATATATTTTATATTTTTTAAAAATTATACGAATTTCAATTTTAAACCGAAAATCTATTTATATTATACCTGTATAAATAACAACAAGTTTCCATTGATAAAATACCTCCGGGCGGAGATGGGAGTAATGTGAAAGTTTATTAAAGATATCGTAATTATATTTAACTATATCATAAAGTTTTATTTTAATATTTATAATTCAACATTAATAATTAACGAATAAATATTGAAAAATACTATATAGTAATAATGACGTGATATGTTTCACAATTGATATTTCATATTTTGTATTCTATGTACAATTTACCTGAAAATGTATTACAAAAGAAAAAATAAAATAAAAATATGATTCTATAATCTGGGCTCTTTTTTGGGGGGAAAGAAGCGAGAGGGATACACATTTCCCACCTTGAGTAGTTATGCGTATACGCTACTGAGTGTACCTATTAAAAATGGCTCCACAGACTACATAGAACAAATAAAAAAAAATAAACAGCATTGTAAAACAAATACCTCCCTCGCTACGCTCGGAATCTAAAAAACCCAAATTGAAATACACATGATGGCATTTTTGATGTATTATTAAGATATTATATCTAAAAAAAAACGGATATATTTTACTCGACGGGTGAGCTTCTAATGTAGTTAAGAAGTTCGGAAGATAGGATAATTCATTGCTAACGAAAAACGATTCGGAGTGATTATATACTGTGATTATATAATATGTTTTAAAAGGCCGTAATATTTAACTCAAAAATGACTTAAATGTTTTGAAAATGTTATCACATTTATAAAAGGCAAACATCAATTTTCTCTTCAAATTCCTAAATGATAGCTGATACAGGGTTTTTAGTAATCTTGGAACGAAATTAATTTTTAATTTTTATTTTATGGATTCAGTGCCTTGGTGACACAGATAAAGAAAAATACCTACAGTTAAATAAGTTTTCATGGTAAGGATGTAGCCATTTAAAAAAAAAATTATCGGAATACAGTTAATTGTGATGACGACAAAACCACGGGAGGGGGGGTGAGTCACGGGAAAACATATTTTTATTTAATATAGTTTTTGTTTCGTTTGATGCTGAGTACGCGTCAAACCACGCGAGATAATTTGATATGATTTTAATCTTTCTACGATACCTAACGTTATCATTATAATGTCCCGGTCGATCGATTTCCACTACGCGTTTATCGTAAAATTAGTCGGTAGTTCGGCCTGTTTTTCGGCGCCAGACGATTCTGGCCCGATGGGATTATATCGTCTCGCGACCTATCGACCGTATACGCTGTGTATATAGGCCATACGTTCGAATCGCAGTAAATTTTCAATCCGTGAATAACGTTCATATGTTATATATATATTATATATATCAGGATGGCATGAACTACTAATACCAAATCTCTGGTACGAAGCGATCTAAAGTGTTTAACATAATATGCTAGGCGATGGTAGTCGAACTAAATTTTTGATGGTGATTCACGAATAGTTTTGGAATTCATCGATTCTGTTTTATGGCTATACACTAATAAAAAAAACTGATTTTATTCGTTAAACTATAAGAAAATAAGCTCCTACAAGATTTTGCTCTTTTGGTTTTTGGCTTCTGCAAGTTGTCATTGTCACACATATACACACACACAAACCGAATTTAATTATATTACCGAAAACTCTTATGCATTATTTGATTGGAACAAGTAATCAATTAAAAATTTATTTTAAACCGTATCAGTCGTATAGACATATACAGTCGTACAGACAATAAGTTAGACTTGGGCAGATGCACATCGGTGTAACCACGAACATTTATCCCAGTAAAATTTTACCCAACGATAAAATATCAAAGGGGTCAATTATCGCTGGCATACCGGTAAGTTTTGTTGTTCACTAGTGTATCAGAGCTTGATTTTTCAATACAAAACTATTCGAAAAGAATAGAACGATTTTAAGGCGGTGGCAGAATTGAGTAAAATCGTTATTTAACTTTAGTTGTTTGAGAACACCGGACACGTATTTAATACTTAAGTTTTCGGTGAATTATATTACGCCTAATATAATAATATAACTTTTTCTACAAAATGTTGTGTAAGCTTCAGTGCCTCCAATGGCATCTCTCAAATCAAAACGAAATTTATTATTTTATTTTTTGTTTACTCACGACAATACACAAACGCGTATGCACTTGACGTGTCATGATCGACGATAGTTATTGATAACATTAACGTAGTATACAAACTATTCGGTAACTCGAGCAATTATAACGTCCGAATGAGTTTTCAATATATCCAGGCGTTAAAAGTAGTCTAAGTTTAACATTCCGATGACGACAACGGGCCTGTCGATTTTATTGATCGTTTACAAACTCGAGTTCTCCCGGGCTCATTTTCATATTATTTAAAATATTTCAAAATATTGTATTCAATATTGTATATTATACAGATAAACTGAAAAATCTCTGATCTGAAGATTGGTTATAATAGGTTTGATGGGTCATATAATAACTATTTATTATATTATTTGGTCTAATTTCGTACGTATTTATCTATGTATCCAATTGTCTTATAAAATCTCGAACATTTCAAATGGCTATAAATAACTCAAAAATGGCCAAAATCTTACGGAAATTGCACTGAAGTCGAAATAATTGGTGAAAATTTTATCAGTGATTCTATTTTTCATTGAGTAAAAAAAAAAAATTAAAAAAACAACCTGTTTGTTTACAAAAAATACCCTTCGATCACGTAAATGTTCCCGTTATTTTTCGATTTTCCCAAATTATTAAGTAACTAAATCGCAAAGAATATCGTAAAATAGCCTTTCCCAATACACCAATAACGAAACAAAATTGTTGTACTTGAAATCGTCTCCGATATTAATGATTTGAGCAATAGCACTTTGGTCCAATTCTTGTTTATGAAAAGAAAAATAAGACACATGTAGTATTAAAACTCACGTATTCCCCGAACTGCTTCAAATCTAGGATACAGATACTCGACAAGGTGTCATTTGTTTGAAATTTATATGTTTAAATTCTGTGTATTAGAAAGTGATTGATCGAAAATTGAAAATTTAAATTTAAAAAAAAAATAATATTAATAATAGGTAATACAACTTAAGAATTGCATAAAATTCTCTTCCTTTTAAAGACTCAATAATAAGTCTGGATTTTTAGTGAGATAAGATCAAGTTTTGTTCTAGTGGTGAAAATGTAAATCGTGTTATTATCGTTTTTTGAATGTATGATAATATTTCCGACGAATGAGCTTTTGAACAATTTGTCGTTCGAATAAAACATGGCACGCTCCTTGGATGATAAGATAGTAATTACGGAAATAGGCATTACGCTGGTTGTTGTTTATTGATTTTGATTATAACTGTTAGCGATATTTTCTAAATATAGCTAATCATATGCATCAATACACGGAAATTTACGTACACGTTGCAAGAGCTCAAATAGAATAATTTTGTCTTGAACCGAAAACTGAAATTATTATTTTAACGTGCGATTTTCTAAAATCATTAATTATACTATTCGATTTATTTGCAAACACTACATTAGGTTAGAAAATACTATATCAATTATAATATTATAGTGGATGAGAAGATTCACACGTGAAAAAATCGTATTAAAAAAATATGTATGCCTAAATAAAATTACTATCTAAAACGGTTTTTACGCGCGTCTGGTAAATATTTACGTTTTTCTCTATTGGCCGGCAAACGAACGACGACACGTACTATTTAGTAATAACATTGTGGTAAATCGAATTTTGTAAAATGACGACGACTGTCAACACTTATATTACATTTTCATTCCACGACGTGGACAAATTCACGGTTTTTTTTTTTTATTTTATATATTATTAGATTTACAGTTGTAAACGAACGGGTTTTTTTTTTTTTTTATAGCACATTGCTCTGAAGGAAGGGATGATAGGAGGCATAGTGTCTTAGTATAGTTTACTTTTTGCGTTCAGCTGCAGATGTTATGGCCGGTTAGAAATTCGCGTAAAGATCCTTTTACAACCGAAACGTGGTTAAATAAGTAGGTCCCACACTAAACCGACCGTAGCTTACGACCATAATATATATAATAATATAAACGCCCAGCAAACAAATCTAACTTTCGGACGGAACTGCTGTAGGGATCCAGAAGTGTACGTGATTGCAGACCACAGCCAGAGCCCGAAGACGCAGCCGACTTAGCGCCAAATTAGTTTTCTGTGTATACCTACCTAGAACATCAGTGATTTATCTGAAGCTCTTGAATATATATTATACAATATTATATATTAATAAATAATTGTTATTCAACATGCCATAATTCACATTCCATCTAATTACATCTCCCTCTCCCATACACACCCAGCCGCCATTGAGCACTCACCTCACGATTTCAACAGTGGCGAGCACTGATTTAGACAAGTGCAGCAGGTACTGGTTTCAATATAATAATTGACCGAATGGACAAAAGATTGATTAGGAAGAACTTTAGGTACCCATCGCCAAATGATGTCCCCCGATCTTAATTAATGATCACCGTGGTTCTAGATATATTTTTGAACAGATTACCACTATCCTCTTATAAATACACGAACTTGTCGATTTATGATTATACTTCTAAATATTATTCGGTATTGCATGCGGTGACCTCAATTTCTATTCTTATCCTATATAATGAACAATTTTATGAACTCTATAATAATTTAAAAGTAATTCATTATTGGGATTTAAAGAAGTTAAAAAGTTAAATTAATTTTAACTTTTAACTGGGTTTTAAACTTTGATTTTTTTTTAATTAACTAAATATATGATAAGTTTATTTTGAAAAATATCACGATAAGTAAACAATTAGTATATAATATTATACATTTACAATTTATATACATTTTTTTGAATAGCACCGCACAAATAATAAAACTTTGTTCCGAGCTTTTTTTCGTAGTGTGGGACTGAATTTCCATTCCACACGAGGCGTAACGAGGATTGATCATACTTATTTTCAAACAATTTTACGAAAAATAATTATAATTTATATTTGAATCAACATGTGTGAATGAAGTGATTTGGACTTAACTTATTAAACGTTAATAAGTCAATTAACTTTTAACAGAAACATTTGTTAACACTTTGTTTAGTTTACTGATGAGTAAATATATTATTATACGTTAACTTGCCCATTTTTTAACTATTCTTAATATATTATTGGATATTTCAGGAAAAAATATTTTTAAAACATTTAGAATACCTGATAATCATTCTGAATAAAACCCGTGTTTGGCTCTATTTTAATAATATATACGAGTAGGTGCATTACGGTTTTGTTAAATGTGTTTATAATATTATGTAAATCGAATTTCGCGACGATGAGAACTGTCAACATACTCTTCGTCTTTCACATAAATATAGGTACCTACTCGTATAGGCGACGTAGAAAAAATATTATTGTCGATTTAAATTGCAGTTACTGGCGTTTCGCATATATCGTTTGAGTATATTATGGATGTAAACGATTAAACGTGTGTCACAGACGTCATCACTTGTGTACCTGCGGGGGACGCGGAAGGAGGAGGTTAAAAAAGATTTCAATTTTACAACGTAATAATAATAATATCATCGCCTATGTATATATGTTTTTGTCACGCGACAGGTTTTATGATCGTATAATATTGTATTCTCGCACTACAGGGTAACACAAGTAATTGCTTTTTTAGTTTAAATACATTTTAGCTTTACAATTTTTAATTTCTGTTAACCAGTTAACAAGTTATTCCACTATTAAGTTCATAACATTGTAAATTTACCAAAATGTATTTAAACTAAAACTCCGTATATTTACGAATGAATTTAACATAGGCGGCCATTTTAAAATTAAAATTTAGTAGTGATGGCAGTAACGAGAAATAATTGTAATATTACAGAGGTGAACTGAGAAGATCCAGCACACGGTCCAGATATTACGGTTGCTGCGGTCAGATAAATTCCTGATAAATTATTAACTGAAATAATGATAAATTGATTTATAACTCTGAAATAAATTGCAATATTGCTCATGATTTTTACGAATTTTATCAAACATTTTAAATAAAAGACTTACATAGAAATAAATTCCAACATTACAAACAAATTTTTCATCGTCAAAATATAAAACAAATATTTTGACATATTTACGAATTAACAACATATCACAAACAAGTTTTCAAAAATTGTAAATAGTTATAAATAACTAAATGCCAGAATATTTCAAAAATTATACCTCGGCTAGATAATGTGAGTGATATTCAGTAAAAATCTCATATCTATGACATTATTTTTAACGAATTACAACAAAAAACTAATAAAAATATATGATACTGTAGTTATGTGCCATCATCCGGATGCAGGTGAGAAATTAGGATGGTAGGATATATAAAGTTATTTAATTTATATCTGTATGTAAATATAAATCATTGCTAACGAAAAACGGTTAGAAGCGGAGTTCAGTGAGACATATTTTCAAATGCCTTAATTTTTAAGATTTTGTTCAAAATTTGATCTTAAAATGCTTTTGAAAAAAAAACCTTATACATTAAACTCAAATTTCTTTTTTGAACCTCTAACATTTTGAAAATTGTACCACGTCTGCTAAAGGTTAATTTAAATATTTTATAAAAACTATAGTACTAAGTAAAATACTTTGTCGTATTAGGAAAACTATACGAAAATCAACCAACGAATTTCTTCCTCACGAAATAGACAACATTTTCTTTCATAAATATTTTATTCATTAAATTTTGACAAAGATTTCGGGTAAAAAATATAATTATAATTATATTAAATAATAAAATCGTTTCGCCGTAATTTGAAAAAAAAATTCGATTTTTCGTCCTTCTTGGCTTTTTCCAAATATTATGAATAAACTACTTTAGATATCGAAAAAAATAACTTTATTTGCCAATGACTATACATTAAATAGAAAAAATTGATCTTTCATTAGTTTTTGTTTTGAGTAATATTTTTGGTAGAAATCATAGTTTGCACAAATAAAAAACAATGAAATCGATAACGTTGCGGCGCTTCGTAAATATTTACCCTTTTACCGAAAATTTCTTTTGGGTTATTCCCTTATGAAATAAAAACATGACCTTCTCAATGCATGAATTATAGAAAATTAACTTTTAGAAATGATGACTCTACATGAAATGTCATGAAATGATGACTAGACTCTATACATTGGAGGAAGATCTGCCTGGTAAAAGTTGTTCACAGACAGAAAAAAAATTATAAGAAAAACACACAATCATATTTAAACCAATAGATTCCTAGCCACGTTTCGAGTTTAAAACAAAATAGTTTTTATCACATAGTATCCCTGTTTATTCGAAGTTAATCACCGGTTTGATCATTACGTAAGTACAACGGGAAAAATTATCTTATTCTCAATGCATCAACTAAACATAATTTTCTATCAGAAACGACCACTGAATTTAATGGGTAGAATGATTTTTATAATCAAAAACTCATTTAAAAATTACTGATATAAAAGTACAAATTTAGCACCGCGGATTACCATCTAAATACAGGGGAAGCTGCCCATTATCCTCTGGGATAGTAAACTGCGTGGCCAGCCCTTGTGAGTGCGATATTTTTGAATTTGCTCGTTTAATAAATTTTCCGAACAAAAAAAAATTGTGAAAAAGTTTACACGCTTTCCTAGATAATAATAACTGTCTTACGCGATCGCCCTGTATAATATTTTCAATAATATTATTGTGAGTCGTGTGCCGACAGTAATAATAATATAACGGTAATACGACGTGCACGGGAATATTATTATACGGTTCGTTTTCAAATTGAAAAATACTCCGTACTTACGCGTAGCTGCACAATAACACTACTGCCGCAGAAATGGGTAACTACATACAGGCAGGTTTATTGTAATATATTATTTGTACGTCATTTCGATAAGCTCTCTCGCTGCTGCTCTGTAGCGGTAGACATTTTATCGGTCTTTCGGGGTGTGATAGTAACCGCGGACGATGACCTTTATTGTATTATTATTATTATTATTATTATTGTACGGTCGTGTGAAACACCTGTAGTAGTATATATCCTAACCGTATATTCACCGATGACCAATAACTGCGATATTATACTATTAATTGTCCAGCGTCAGACTGTTTCGATCGTTTAATATTTCATTTTGGAAAATAAAAAAAACGATTATATATAGCGTACACATTTTATCGAACCGAAATTCGTGTTTACTCGTATAATATACGCGTACGGTACCGACGTGAAAGTACGGATCGCCCTCCTATCATTATCGTAAAAAAAAAAAAAAAAACTCCACTATAATAATTGTGTAGCAAGATACTGTATGTTACCGTATGAGACAAAGTACTAAAAACAGATATATAGAAAAATACCTGTACAAATGGTTTAACAGTGACGTGTTTACGACAGGCATGTTTCTGTATCCTTATCTGAGGAGATATTTCATTTTAGATTTCGAGCGTAGCCAGGGAGCTATTGGTTTTACTGAGATATTTATTTTTTTTTTCCTCGTTATTTGTTCTTTTTTTTTGATTTCTTTCTTTCTTTCTTTCTTCTAGACTGTGGGCACGATTTTTCCAAGTATACTTCCTCCGATTTTTACTTGTAGCAACTTTTCTAAAAGATCAAGTTATTTAGATGATACTTTAAAGAGATTATTTTGATTTTCGACTCCATTTTTTAAATAAAAACACTTAAATGGAAAAAAAACGTAGGAAAATCTACATTTTTATGATTTCATTAGTTTATAAAAACACGGATGACGTTTTCTATCAGAAAAAATGATATTATAAAAAAATCATAAAACACATTTTTTGTCGCCTTATTGATTTACTTTCTTAAGGTATTATGGTAAAACTTTTGATTCACTTTTGAGATAATATAGAAATTTTAATTTTTGGGAGATTTTTGCCTGTAATTTGGTTAAAAATACACGTAGAGACTTGAAACTTGGTAATAATACTTATATTGGACTTAGCTATATGTAGTAAAATTTCTAAAATCAAGGACAATTTTTTTTTTGTTATAATAAGCGTTTTGAAATCAAATTTAAACGAAAATCGCAAACAAAATTATGGCACTTCAAATTATGTATTACCTAACTGTGCTCAGAATCGACTTTCGTCAAGCAATAATTGCTTACAGATGTAAATAAAATAACTTTATGTATCCTACTTTCCCAATATTTCTGATTAATATACTGTGTTAATTATTATTGCATACGCCCCGTTTCCGTATTATATATGCATCTCGCAAACAAAGTTGGTATTATTGAAATAAGCATGATTTGTTGATAAAAAACGTAATTAAAGAAAACCTAAGAGAGAAGAGGTCTCTCTACATTTAAGGTAGGAAACCTGTTAAAAGAATTTCTAGGTGTATACAATACTAATTAATTTTTTTTAGATAACCTTAGTGGATACTATTTTATTTTATCTATATCTGACATAAAGAAATTTAAAGTCGTTTAAAAATTTGATTTTTTAAACAAAAGATGTGGAAGGTATGTTATTACGTATTGTAAAGTCTATTTTATGAATATTTTTTAAGTAATTTTTTAATTCATAGTTTTAATCCATTTTATTAGATGGCTGTATCTCAGATAATTTTTTAAGATTAAAAAAAAAAAACGCTCATTCGATTAGAATAATATTAATATTATTCTAACGGACGTTTTATTGATTGTGCGATTAGTTTATAAGTAATAGTATTTTTATTCACGGAAAAATTTTAATTTTTTATTCAACTATACAAACTATATCCCTTTGAAATTCTTACTTTTGTTTATTTAAAAAGTGTCCGCTTATCATGAATGCAAGTAAAAATGTATTAAAATTTCGGATGTAGGAAATGTTGAGTTTGTTTTTTCATAAAAATAATAATTTTTTAGAATGTCGTAAATTCGTAGAAGTTTATGTAGTTTTTACACGGTTTATGCATTATATAAAATCTTAAACTTAAATATCATAGTATAAATTCTTAAAAAAAATGTATTTACAAATAAATACGAAATATGATAAAGTGTTTTAGTTTCGTTGTTAGTATTATACTATATTTCCCAACAAGTATTCCTACCATATTTATGATGATAATTACTTTTTAAAATGTTTTCGAACCACAGACTTTTGATTCATATTAAATTTAAGTTAATATTAGTTGTATAGCTAAAACGTGCGATAAAATATCGGTAGGTAGGTATACGCGACGCTATCATTTAATTAAATATTTTTGAATAAAACCGTTTCGTTCACCCAAAGAAAAATTATTTAAATTGCGCAAATATTCAGAGACGGTACAACAAAATATAACAATAAAAACCAATTTTATCAGACTTTTGGCAATATTCATCGGTAGCTGTGAAACGTGCACTGTGCAGCACCGAATAACAGGCACAGAAAAAAACAGGAGCATTAATTTTAAAATATTTTTTTTATCCTAAAAATCGTATAAACTCGATCTGAATGACCTATAAGTATTTATAGTAATTTATATTTTACTTTAAAAATTATTAAAAAAAAAAAAATAGAAAACATATCCTTACATATAAATTTCCGTTTGACCGCAAGAGAAAAATACGGTAGAAAATGAAAAATAAAATTGTACTTTTAAATCACCTAAACAAGTAGCAAATATCAGGGAAATGAAACGGTTTAAGTCAGATTACTTGAATGATTAGCTACTAACGACCCGTAGATTTTATATAACATTTAAATATGCACTTTGAATAACTTAATAAATTGTTTATTCAAAAACACCGAAAAATCATCCAAACAAGTATGAAATAGTGAAAAATGTAAGATATAATATTTTATTATCACATATTTTACGTTCCGTTAATCAAATTTCTATAGATAATATACGAGCAACGCGTATTCGAGGAGAAAAATAAAATAAAAAATGCAAATAGTACATCAAGTCTGGGGCCCAGTGATTTTATTATACCCATTATTTATACAGTATAATATATAAATTAAAACGGATGGCGCGAAAATTCGATTTAAAAGCGTGAAATAATTTTAATGAACAATCAACTTCTGTTCAGCTATTTTATAATTTAATGTGAAATTTATGCAAATTTCAGTTCCACTTTTTAATTTTATAAATGCAGTGGAAACTATGCCGCTATTCTCGAAGAGCGACAAATTGTGTATATAGTACGAAACACAATGTTATAACATCAATAGTCCAGAAATGTATAATATGTTGTCTGTTACGTCTAATCGGAAATCTTTGACATACCGGACACTCTGTGACAAAGTTTTGTTCCTACACTAAAATGGTATGATTTGTTTTAGTATTTTTTTTTTTTTTATAATTGTTATAACTTTTAGTGTTGTATTTAATTTCGAAAATTATATTTCGAGAAATTTCTAAGGAGACGGTTAATGGAAATGTCTGTATAATTCAGAAATTATTCTTCCTTTAAATACCACTTTAATTCGTGCATAACAGTATGTCGGGAGTGAACCTGCTAAAAAAATCTGCTAGATGGATTAACTAAATTGTAAGAGAAAGAATGATAATTTCAAGAAATCCGATGATTAATTTTTACTGTGCTTTCTTATTCGACTAGTGAATATAACGTGTGAACGTTACATAAATCCGAATAGAAATGTCTACTTATTTTCACGGAAAATCGAGAAGGTTCTTTGTGCCTTATCAGTACGAACGTTCGGGAGATTGAAGGGTCAACTTGACGATTGAAGACAATTGTATTGAATTTAATCGGTGAAATTAAGAATAGGTTACTAAAACTATCGGGCTAGTCACGCATGAATGATTGCTGGAACTCTAGTACAATATAGTATTCCAAGAGTAAATAGACCGTTGGGACGTCCACCAATGGAATGGGAAGATCATAAGATAAAAAGTGATGTAGAAAGGTTGAAACCGGAAATCGATTAGCAGAATTCGGAGATGGACAGTATGAAGTTACAAGAAATATGTTTGATAATTAGATTTTAATGATCGTATATTAAGGAGTAGAAGAAGTATATTCGTTCACAACTTCCACAACGGCGAATCGCTGTAGCATTAACCACATTTGTTGGTTCACTGTTTAAATGATAGTAAAAAATTGTATTTGCAACGAAAAAATATTTATGTAGGTAAATATCATACATAAAAAGTAAAGAGTTAAAAGTTAAAAGATACTATGACTTTAAAAACTAAGTCGAGTGAAAAATTAGCATAAAACTCGAAATTGAATCGTCATTTATTATAATTTAGTACAAAATTAATGATTAAGTTAAGTTAAACTTTTAAACTTTAAATTTGTTATGAATATCCAACCTTAATAAAAATATTAATTGTATTAAATAACAATTTGTTTTTAGAAATGTCTAATATGGTAATCAACTAAAATCTCTTATTATTTATAATTAATCTGATGCCGCATGTGTACCGTTAACACGTTATAGTTTATACTGGTAATATTATTAGTTTAAACTCAATAGCACGAAACCTATTCATGTTATAGGGAACGTGAAAATTAGTTACAAACCGAGGAGAAAATTAATTATAGTCGTTCAATAATAATGTCGGTTAGATACTCTTACTCGCATAGGTCGTCGAATAATTTATCGATTATATACTAATCTGCAGCAAAAAAGACATTGCGCGTATTTTACTATCGTGTGCATTTTATTTAATTACGGGGGTGAACCGATGGAAGGCAAATAAATCCTAATTTTGATCCGGATACACGGATAGGGATACTATTTATTGTGTTTACAGTCGGTACATAATAATACATATAGACCGAAAATTAGGCCCGGAGACTGAAGTCGTGGGCGTGCCATACGGATTAAGAGAGATGGATAGATAATAGCTTGATAGTAGACTGAGGTATGGGATTGAACAACAATTTATTTCGAATTTATTTCCATCATCGAGTCATTGCAGGTACTCGTTATAAAAACTGAATGTTTTGTCTGGTTGTACAAGCCTGTATGCACCGATAATCTACCCGACTTGTTCGATCATAATATTATAGGTCACAGTAACGGCAAAAAAATATTACAATATTACGGGTTGATCTCTTTAGACATAACGGATTGGGATCAAAACAAATGTTAACATATTGAAAAACGTGTTTCATAGATACAGGATGTCCTACAGTGTTATTCTATATGCTAATTATTCTGTCGATATTCATTTTTATTTTTTTTTCAATCCGGTTTTGTACAAAGGAGACACATATGTAGAGAAAAAAAACTTTTTATTCCATCATTTTTCAACATTTTCAAAATAGTAACTTTGTAAAAGATAATATTATTCTAAACATTTGAATGTAACATGTATTTTTAGAAAATTGACGTAAAAAAAAAAAATAAATAATTTTCAATAAAATAACACGTTATGTGATAAAGAATCACAATCAGCACGGTTATTCCTTATCTTCTATTGAATATTAATTGTTTCCACGCCTAATTTCTATAAATTAAAGCTACTATAACTAAAAAACTATTAATCGTATATGAATGATGCATACATTAAAATATTTAGAATAATATATTTTAAAAAATGGCAACTTTGAATATTATAAATTTTTTTTTTCAAATGATTAAAAGACAAAAATAACAATTCTCTTTTTCCTTACATATATGTCTCCCTCTCGTACAAAACCTGATTGAAAAAAAAAATGAATATCAAAAGAGTTATTAGTATAAGGATAACACTCTGGGACACTTTGTATATATTATATATTAATAATAAGCAATCCGTGGTAAGGTTTTTCGAGGTCATTATTTTCTGCCCGCTTTCACGACTATAGTACCTGCGTAAACTCTGACAAAACACGTCGAAATATGAACCGTGATAATTGAAACCATTTTCATTATTTTAATCCTAAATCCAAAATTTAGAAATTAACTTGGCACAGAACACTAAACCTTGTTCGGCTTTAATGACATTGACGTATAGTGGAAAGTTTGTTTTAATTGTCTGTTCTATTAGTATTCCATTGAACGACACTCTCATTCGGCACATTTAGAGAGTGTGATATTATATATTTTACGGTCGGATCTCGATATCTCCTGTGGTATTCAAACATTAGATAATTAATCGAAACTCTAGTATTTATTCGTGTAGTAAATCGTCAACAACCCTCGAAAATCTTCTTATTGATTCAATAAAAACCACCTAAAGCATTTTGGTAAACTCTCCTTCAGGTTATTCCGCGGTATCGTCAAAATCGGTAGATTATTTTATTATGGGCTTATCGGCTATACTGATGTTTCTCATCGCTAGTTGGACTGTGTTCCCTAGCTATTTAACAATAATATTACTGTTAGTTGTTATAACGCCGATTACTGTGGTTTCATAAATATGTGATAATTATTTCAGATAGTAGTTTGTGATTTTTTGATTGCCGGCTGTTACGACCAAATCGATCGCGCAAATTATTATTTTTTGTCATTATGCTCGACGCATTAGAAACGTATATTGAATTTTTTTAAAAGAACAAGTTTTTTTAAAATTAATTATGCATAATAATAACGACAGTTATTCTGCTTGTGTGGGTAGCGTATACGTTCATGCGTTTCCTTTAATTTGTTTCAAATATCAAACCGAACAACAGAATAACGCGACTAATGCCAATAGAATTTCGCGAATTAGTTGAAATTTGAGTTTTACGCACGCGTATGGGTCTCGTTTTTATAATATTTATAGATACGGAAACCGAAGGAGAAAATAATATTATCGTTAACGCGATTAAATATCAGTACTACGTTGTAATATGATAATACAAATGCCCGTATTATATTTTCTCCACAATACATTTGTCAGGAATAATATGGCTGACAAAAAAGTTTGTTTTTTCTCCCTCACTCACGCTGCAAAGTTGTATGAAAAAAAGAGCATTGATGAGGAAGAATTACATGTATAAAAGCTCAGTACAATAGCGAGATTTGCATTGTTTTGAAATTTACCAACAACGAAAACGAAATGAAAAAATATAATATTGTAATAATTCGCGACAGCCACATATTATTTTTTGACAAACTTCAACTGCTGAAATATAGTGACGAGTAGGTAATATAAATCGGAATGCTTTCAACAAAAAATTATTTCGTTGAATCAAAACGTCCAAACCTATTTATAAAATTGCGGAAATAAAATATAATTTTGAAAAATGTGCCGTTCGTTTCATAAGTTTAATTTTATTTTTAGATAATCATTTTTCCGTTAAAAATGAACACAATAAGTTTCTATGAGCATTTTAGACAACAATTAGATTATTTAATATCCATATGGATGTGAAATTGTTGTTTACCAGTTTATGAACAGTGCAAATTTTGTTCTGCACGAACGTCCGACGTGGTAAAAAATTTATTTTTGCTTAGGGAATATTGCAATATTATTATTCTTACCTATTGTACGTGACAATTATACTATAATTTTTACTGTTTCACTTGGATGAAAAATTACCTGACTGGTATAAATGTAGGTTTTTTTTAGCGAAGAAGCTTAAGGTTTTACAAAGATGGTTTAATTTTCTTTTTATCTGTGTGCAAATGTTCTATCAGAAATCTTACTCCAATTTTAAAGTGTAGCACCTTTTTTGAAAAAATCGATCTAGAGATGTACTTTAAAGAGGTCATTTTTCGATATTGTCAAGAGTTTTATAATCAAATATGAAAAATCCAAAAAAAATTAGGAAGACCAGGCAAATGTACGAAATATATTACTAAAATATTACGATTTTTTTTTCCTGTGCACACATTTTCTACCAATAATTATGCTTCAATTTACAATAACAGCACTTTTTTTTTAATGACATTTTACTGGATAAGTACTTATAAGGGAGGTCAATTATTGATTTTCTCAAAAGTTTCCTCAATATACTGGAAAACCAGATGAAACGGTGGAAAACGGGAGAAGGGGAAAATAGGTACGATATTAAATAATTATTATTAAAAAAAATGTTTAATGCATATACAATTATTTAACCATCATACGACATATCTATTGTTGAAAAAGCAATACTATCAACTGAACTCCGCTTAGAATCGTTTTTTCGTTGCCAATGGTTTATCGTTGCTTACATTAAATTTCCATTTGTATCCTACCTTTTCAACTACCCACCTACAATAGTGGCTGCACCCACATACAGGAACACATTAAATTTACGTCTGTGTTCTATCTTCCTAATTTTTTACTTACAACAGTGAGTATACCCACGTGCGCAGTATGTCCGTCTTTTTTGTTACTATCCAGCCATTTTTATGGAGAAATTAAGGTCACTTCAATTTCTATAAAATCAATTATCAATGTAGGCATGTTTTGGACTCTTTTCAATATTATTTTAAAATTTGTACTACTCCTTATGAAATGCATATTTTTTAAAAAAAATTACTAATGTTGGTGATTTCTTACCACCGAATATTTTCCGATACATTTTCCTAAAATTTAATTGTGTAATAAAACAGTAACAATGCAAATACTATGTCTTTAACTATCAAATTTAAAAATCGTTCGAAATTGAATGATAAGGATAAGAATAACTAATAAAACAGTTACAAATAATTGTGTGCTTCAATCTGAACCATGTGTTGGTCCTTTTTTCAATATTTCATGAGTTTGATAACGAAATTTTTAATTTTACGGAACATAATATTTCTAAAATTTAAATAATATTTTTACACGCAAAAATGTAAGCTTTATTAAAAAAAATAAATAAATAAAAATAAAAAATGTCCTTAGAAATTTCTTAAATCTAAAATGTTGAAAATATTAAAACACTATTAAATGCTTTAATGAGTTTTAAAAATTTAGGTTGATTTTAAAGCTTAAAAACTCGCTTCGATAATTAAAAAAAAAGTTTCTATTTGCTCAAGATAAGCTAAAAGGAAACTGACAATGAAAAGTAGGGCAAAATATTTTTCACATGAAATTTGTTCGGTAAGGTTAGGTTATTCAAAAAGAAAAAAAATTATGCAATACGGGATAAGGGTACAATTTAAAAAAAAAAAAATGTCCCTAATTAAATCATTAAAAAAAACTATAATATAACGTTATCATTATAATATTATAATGATCGAAAACATTAAAATTTATTTCACTAGAAATCTCCGTATTTTTAGATAATAATCACTGGATTATGATAAATTTTATTATTTTTTTGTTTAAATTAACCTATATACATGTAGCGCGCACTGTGCACACACAGTTGTGTAGGTAGGTACTCCGTTATAAAACGTAATCGTAAAACGTCTTCATTGGGGTAAATTTTACGACAGACGTGGCACTCGGTATGTGCTAACGTGGTATATATATTATATAGGACATAGTTTTATACCCCGGTATGGCGGTTAATAACTTGTGACCGGCTAGTGAAGAGTGTGTATAACCGTCTTTATTATATTGTTATTATTTATTGTTTCGGCGGGTGTTTTGACGACTGTTATATCCGTCCGAAATGATCGATGGATCGTTATTTTGCACTCGTCGCGTCGGGTCTTTCATTATAATTTACATAGGTATTATTATTTATTAACATCGTCCCGGACCCACAGTATATTATACGGAACGTGGAAATTCATCGGATTACAATATTATTATTATTATTATGTTGTATAATGCCGCGATCGAACCTGCCAAAATTACGGAAACGTATCCGTTCCGACCGTCGTGCGTCGTCGTCGTCAGCGCGGTGTTCACATCGCGTTTTATTGTATTCCATCAACGGCGTTATTATCCGAATGCCGATCCCGAGTTTCTTTTTACGTTGTAATTTGGTCGGATACAATATGCATGGATCCTGCGCAGAGCAAGAAACGATCGATGGACCTACCCATTGGTTGCACTATGATGACGTGTGCGCACTTGTGTGCGAGTAGTTGGGTGTTTTTCCCCCATCACACGATATCGATCAATCCTAAAATGCGTCGAATGAGGAATGTTCGACAGCGTTTTTGATCTAGTTGCGGCAAGTCTAGGTACTAATAGACAAATCAATAGCCATGAAAAAAAAAAAAACCGTATTTTAACAGATTAAAATACGAAATATTACAGAAATAACTAGATAAAAGTACGACTAGAGAAGTATTTAACTATTCGAAATTAATATAATATAATAATAAATTATAATATAATATATGATGGTAATAATAGCAATAATAAATTATAATAATGACCGTTTTGACATATGGCAATTTTTACGTTGCTAATTTTGATTTGGCTACATGATTATCGATTCTCAGCTTTAGTATATTGGGTTTTTTTTTTTAATTCCCTACTCCAACTTTGTTTCAAAATAATATACTTACATTTGTATCGAATAATATAGATAAAAAAACTGACATCATAATCTGGAATTTTAAAAATGGCGTATAGGAGAACAGACGGGTGGACACATTCGCCGACGCATCGTCTTCGTTTCGAGTCATTTCTATAGAAACAGTTTCATAGCAGCTGATACGGACAAAAGTGAAGGAAAATAATAGTACGGCATTATTGGACGTGATAGATGTACTATACGTGGCTTTCGGAAAACAGTCGAAAAAAAAATGTGAACAAAAGTTCACCGACATATGACTTTTGCCGTGGAGTAAACTTTGTATACATATTATAATACTTTCGACTTTAAACTCGTGTTCGTGGACACCACCGCGAAACTTAATATGGTGCCCACCAGTGAAAACGATTACACGTAAACTCTCCACGGCGGCGATTGGCGATGCGAATAAATCACCGCGACCTTTTCTCGCGTCTTCCGGAATGTTTTGCGCAGAAACGCGTTTAAAAGTTTACGATTCGACGTAGCATTCCGGTCTATTTAGTCCGTAAAACATCACAGTGGACCAGTGTTGAGACGTAGATAAGTGAAATTTATCTAGATATAAGATATAAACGATAACGATTGCTCTGAAATCATCTAGACGTATCGATGAAAATAACAAAAATATTAAATATTATCTCAGATGTGAAGCTAATAAAAAATACAGTTTTTTTTTTTATTGTTAATTATTGAGTAAATATTATTATTATAATATTCTGAAAACTGAAAGAGTGTACTCCAGTAGCTATCTGTATAATATAATATAATATTATGTAGTAACTTTGGATTTTTAACTAAAAGGAAAACGTATACAGTTATTTAATAGTTCTAATAGTTTTAATAATAATAAAATGTTTAAAATATTTAGGTAATATACTTGTATATAATATACAATATTATTAATTTATCTTCAAAATCTCCCGCAGATTTACATAACGCTAAGTGTTGGTCAAAGTAATTTTGAAAACACCAAGAAAAAAGAAAATATTTGATTTAATGATAGCATCAATTTAATATTAAATAATTATTTAGATAAATGCATCTATAGTTTAAAAAATATATATCTAACGTAGGACTATAATACAGAAAATAAAAACCATATTTTCATCTCGATACGGTAAATAATGACTAAATAATTATCTAAATAAGCCTCGAAATTGCGTAGGTATAACTATGCCACTACAAAAAGTAAAAAGCGTCGGTATTTGTTTTCATCTCGGGTTTACAGTTTTCACACTAAATCGGCCGGAGAGAGATTATATCCCCTTTTCTTCTTGTTACCGCCACAACACCATTCGTCGACTACAGTGATCAAAAGTTTTTTATTTTAATCATCTCAAACAGTTGAAATACCGATAAAGGCCGTTCATAATCGGGAAGATTAAAATTAAACGAATAAATTGAAAAAAAAAACATCTCAGTCATTTAAAAAGCCGAATAAAAAACGACTGTCGTCTTTAAACACTAAACTGCAGCTGTATAGCGTGTTATAAGCAATCCGAAACAGGAATTGAACTATTCCTTGTAAAATAAATATATATCTACCGAGTACCTGTTTGAATTGTTTTTAAACTTTAAATTTACCGATAAACGAATGTATCAAAAAAGTATTGAATATTCCAGAGATTTGTTTCAAAAAAGAAGTTTTAAAGTGTTTTTTATAATGTTAATAATATTATTGTATTGCGTGTTATACTTATAAATATACCTATGTAATACATATACTTTTTTGTAAGTCATAACAATAAAATCACATCAAAGCTACATCGATTAAATAAAGAACCCCTAATTTAAAAAAAAAAAAATATTAAAAATACGATCGCCATCAAGTAGAACGTATGTAATATGTATAAAATACATTGTATATAAATATATTTATATATGTACACGAGTAAAATAACTATATAAATTAATTTTTCAAAGTCACATATTTGATATTTAATATCATGGCTTGTGTCTGGTACAATTATGAAGAGAAACTCTTTTGAACAGTAGGTTTATTAAATACCTATGTGATAAGAAACCGTCATATTAATCGATGGTATTATTGCAATGAAAACTAAACTTAGTATTAATTAATTCAATACAAATAATAGTATGTAGGTGAATAGTTAATAATAATGAATAACAATAGTAGCTATGTCATTGACTGGAATAACCCAGTTGTAAGAAAAATTACGAGGGAATTGTTGTAGTTGAACGAGGCCTGCAGGAACACTTAAGGCAAACAAATAATCCATTAAGTCCTAACCTGTCACTGTTTTGAGAAAGTTAGTAAACATTTAAAACCTAAAACCTTTAGTTGTTAAAAATCTATGCCCTGTACATAAATCTGTAGACAAAAAAGGGGGATGAGGTCATAAGGTCATAAGTTGACGCAGAGAAGTCACGAGCTAGAGCGATAATTCATAGATAGAAAATTATGATATTTTGGAAGAGAATAGTAGTGTATTCTACTAGAGTAGGCAACAGTGAAGTATAATTATAATATAAATATAAATGTATAGATTTCTGCAGTTTGAACAAATTTACATATTTATATGTTTCTCTCCGGGTTTCCAAATATCCAATAGCTAAATGATATTATACCTACCTAGGAAATTCAAGTAAAGGACTACACTCAATATTTCGAAAATTATTGCCTTTTTTCAAAAATTTATTTTTTGAAGATTTAAGGAACAAGGTACTTTTAGTAGATTATTCTATATATAAATATTAGATACAATTTGTCAATAAAAAAAAACGTTGAACTTACCTGAATTATATCTATATAAAAAAAAAAAAGACCGACGGCCTCCTTATGGTGGTCGGAGGATAAACGCGAGGATATAACCGGGTCAACACATTTACACACGTCAGCGGATGGTGTTCTCCGTGGCTATATTTTCCTCCTTTTTTTTTTTTTTTTTTTTTGTTTTTTTTTTTTTTTTTTTGCTGCACGACCGTCTTCTATTACGAAATCTCCGCAAGACCGTAGTCATCGTTATAGTCCATACACAGACACAGACACACAGAAACACAGACACAGACACACACACACACACACACACAAGTATAAAAATCCAAACCGAATGACGGGAATACGCGCGTGGATGAATATATGTCTATATACGTATTGAGTATTGGCAATCTTATATTCTCCCCGTCATTCGAAAACAAACGGGCGAAAAAACCAACTTCACCTAAAAATGATGATGTACAACATCACTGGCGGTGATTTATGATCGTGTTTTTTCTACGTGGCACGTGCCAAAGGTTTATTGATATAATAATATTTAAAACAAATATATATATATATATATATATCATATTCGAGTAGGTATTCGGTAAAATATAATACTATGTATTCAGAAAGTTTTGTCCGGAGACTTATCTCGAGTATATTATAATATATAATACGTCGACTTTGTAAATCGTATTCAATCGACGATCATTGGTGTTTAATGGCCCGCGTTTAAGGTTTATATCTCATATAATAATATCCGTAAAAAAAAATAAAAATCTAAATATATAAATGTATACACGTCGAAGGTAATTTATCAATCCGACATTTTACAAGTCAACACATTTACGCGTACATATACGTATACATGTACGTATTATGGCGATTTATCCACTTATATTTATACACATATTAAACGTGTCGATGTCAACTTGGAAAAATCCTCAAATATAAGCAGCCACTTTAAAAACTCCAAAAAATAATATAAAAGAGCATGCTTGAAATGTGAATTTACGATAATATTCACTACACAGTTGGCCTATTTCGTTACGCTGTATTTCTGCAAATAGATTATTATCTATAATCAAATAATACGTTTATTGTGCCATAACGATGAATCTCATTTGAAATATCAAAGTTGGTATCGCCACAGAAGATACTCATTAGATGTTGTGAAAAATCTCATTTAAGAATATCGGATTTAACTGCACTTAAAAGTTCCAAAAATCAGAATTAGAATATATGTAAAATTTAACCCAAAAAATGGGATGAGTACGCTTAGTGAATCACTCTGTATAAGTTATTTTTCAGGATATTTTTTTTTTTTTGACTTTAACAGTTTAAATGCCCACGTAACAGTTTTCATTTATCCCGTTAAAACAAGACACGTAGCTGAAAATCTCGAGATGTCATATACAACTTTGTTCTGCATATTATAATTTGACATATCACTAGATCGCTTAATAACTGTACCCGGGCTTCTAGTCGGTCTTTGAAGTCGTATAGGTATACGGAATTATAATTATAAAAAACGGCGTTAACCACAGAGCTTTAAATATTATTTTAAGATTCTAATTTTAACGAAGAAGCTATTTGCAACTTAATTTTATTTTCTCATACTTTTCCAGATAGTAAAAATGTTCTAAATTGTTTACAATTTACCTTATAGATTCTGACCAATATCGTTTTTGTTCCACGTCCATTGTAACTTTTTAGCTAATACCTAACATATCCAATAAGTTGTAAGTGTCGGTATCGACACTTATTGTACGTTTAATTTTTACAACGAAAATTAATTATTAAGTTTCATCTATTGTGTTATTTTTGTATAACAATAAACCTGCCAGATTTACAACCAACCTATTGCTTTTGTCTTTAATTAGACCAACTTTTTTCACTACAATTTAAATATGAGTTAAGTATATGGTAAATACATACTAGAAAACATTGAAATTAGGTACTAAAATATAATAACTAAGAATTAAACAATTTCATATCAACCATTTAAAATTAAGAGTTAATTTGTTAAGGTTTTAATAAACATAAACATAATATACGTAATTATTATTTAAAATAGGTTCGGAAACTGGGAACTTTGCACGTTTGCAGTTTTCCTATAATTTTTTTGAAAAATATCCGTATTTGACTTTTCCTGTATACCTTGTAACTTATCGCGTTAAGTTATTCAAAATATATCTTAATACTTAAAAAAAAATATCTGCGGTATTTGTACCAAACAAATGCCGTTACATAAAATTCGTGTTTTACTGAGAGTTCCGACACGCTGCCACCATCGATCAAAACTATTCTGAACAATATGTATTTTATATATGTATTTACTATATTATATACTTTCGTTATAAATACTTTCACTCCGTTTATCGATACATTTTCTCATACCTCCGTTCTAAATATATATATACAGGGAGGGGGAGCGTATCGTAGCAGCTTTTGTTTCGACGATAACTTATATATGTATACCTATGATGCGGGGGATGTATTTAACGTTCAAAACGGTTTTCGAAAGTTTCACACCGATCCTTCAACTCGTATCTGACAATTTAACTTTCTCATTAAACGTCTAAGTCCGTTCAATTTGTGTTTCTTTCGGGATACACCAACTAGAAGTAATTAATTTTTGCGATACCGCATAACTCTTCGGATGTTATTGCGCTCCTCGTGTAATGCTTATAGTACACGCCGTTACGTAGATAAATTGATTATGTTTATAAGGTTCGATGAGAATTCCCCATAGCTATCCATCGACGGTAAACACAAGATAAACTCTCAATGTTTGCAATTTTGTTGTTTTTCAATCGCACGTATAAATATACGACCATTATTATGTGAGCGTTTTTTTGATACAGCGTTGTTTTTTTTTTATTTTAAAACTTAAATATTAACACAGGTTTTCCCTTGAAATTTGAAGTAAAATAAATATCCTGAGTAATAAGATACCTGTTTCGGATAGACCATAAATCAAGTAGATTAGATAAAGATAGGTAGATAGGCAGATAGATTATACAAGAAATGATATTTTTCAAAAAAACTTCTCAAAAATACAAACACTTTTCAATTTCTATATCTAGTGTATTATAGCTTATAAATATTAATACTTTTGTCAGATTTTATAATATATACCGAACAAAATAAGTTAAGTTTATATGTTGAAAAAAAACATATTACTGTATAGATACTGATTTTTTTTTTTTACACTCAAATATTAAATAATCGAGGGCATAAAAAAGACAGACCTTTTTCGAATTTCATCCGAAAATATAGACGATTGCACTGTATTGTGACTGATGTTTAAATATATATTTAATTATATTCTCTGCTACTTTTGTACACTTTTATATTCTAGTAGCTATCTCTCTGGACCAAATGAGCTTAAACTTGGAAATCAGAGTTATTTTCTATGGGTAAACGAAGTGCTAAAATTGAACATACAGGAACGGATGCACTCTTATTCTAATTAACTTTTAGACAAACCCAACGGTATTCGTATAATAGATGTGTAGTCATGTGGTGGGCATTAGGGTCACTGGGTATAGGAAGATAAGAATGAAGGAAATACTATGAAGAGACATTTTTGCTCAAGCTCAATCATTAGGCTCATCAAGAGTGTCATTATAATACTATCACTATGACAGTAAATATTAGAATATTATGTATGTGTCGTCAATGAGAATGGCGGCAAGCGTTTTTTTAGTTTTCATCTTTTAACTGCTGTCGCTATCATGTACAAGCTAAAACATCACCCAATTTTTTTTTTTTTTTAAATTTTTAGTATGTATAAAATATAAAATAAACGAAGGAAAATTTGATTGTATATTGCAGAGCTCTACTGTTCATGCGTCTTTCTTTTAATTATAATTAAATTAAGTCAATTTTCATCGTTTTGTTTTATAATTTTTGTCAAGACGACTACGACAACGCTCGGTACTCTGGTAATAAATTAAATAAATTTAAAAAATTCACGCCAATATAAGATTTACCAAAAAATTAAAATAGAATTTCAGAGCATATTATGATCATAAAATTATTTTAATTTGTTTACGTCCACTCGTTCTGAAATAATTATACGGAAAAGTTCTTAAATATAATATATCGTTCTTTCTAATTATTTATAATTTTAGTCGTGCCAATATTTAAAAATAAGACAATTTCAATAAATATACACCAACTGTAATAGTTATTAATGAACTGACATGGCATCAGTGCTGATATTACTATGATATCGACGACGTTTGGTAAGTCTACGTGCATACAAAATTAAACAAAGACAAACGTACCCTATTTAAATTATTACCCGTGGTTAAGCTATAGTTGCGGGTCTCGTACAATGCTTGTTTTTCAAAACCGCATTGAATTTAGAAAATAAATTGAAAACACCGAGTATGTAAACTGCCGCATTATATGGATAAACTTGACAGCAATAATACACTTACAAAATAAATTATTATAATATAACATTTTACGAGAAATTCGCATTGGCTGTTTTCATTCCGTATAACAGATTTATTTGTTCAAAATATCGTTTTTTTCTCGGAACACACAAAATAGGTATGACCTAGATTTGGGATTGATCATGTTTATCTTACATAGTCTGCTCAATTCGTTAATGGATTTAGAAATTGCAGATCTTGTGAGAAAAATCAGATTAAACAGAATATTGACAGTTTTTTTTTTTCAAAATGCAGGTTATATTGGAAGAAGAATGCCTGCGATGATGAAGAATATGAAACAAATCACGATATACGTGGATATGGATAGTTCAAAAGAGTTAGGCAAACCAATTAAACGGTTGAAGATAAAGAGAAAAGAATATACATTAGATCTCGGAAACAATGAATTTGGAAACGATGTGTGGTTTTGTTTCAGGTGTAACTTTGGTGATAACATAAATTTCATAGTTTGACTGCCCAAATAAGTTTTAATTTGTACAATATTAATTATAGAACACTGCCAAATTAATTTTTGTAACAAGATAAAGATAGTAGATGTCCAAAATTTAATTAATAATGTTACAATGTCATCCAATTCAAAGTATTAGAAATATTATGCAATTAACCTAGACTGTTGTGCCTACAATCAATAATAATTAAAACTGTTAGAAATCTAATATTTAATGAAATATTATATTTATATTTTAAAAAGCAGCCAAGTAGATTCCCGATCTTTTTTATTTATTTTAGACGTGTTTATTTTATTTTTTTTTATCTTAATAGATAGTCAAAAAAAATATTTTTTAAAAAATAGACATAAAATAGATAAAATTATTTACCTTATGTGTTATATTTGTTTTTATTTTTATTTAAGTACTAGTACTTATTGTGTTTGACAGGGTTTATTTTACAAAAATTATATTGTTATAATATTTAAATACTTATTCAGATTGCCGTAGTTGATAATTTGTATAGTACAATTTATATTAGAATATACAATATACATAAAGAATTTATTATATTTTGCACACGCGTTGCTGTCAGTGTGTAATTGTGTACCTACTGTAACGAACACACGAATAATATTGTATTATTATTTTATACAGACTGGTTTAGATTAAAAAACGAACGTGAAATTTATTTAAGGACGAAATATATAGGTCGTGTTGTGTACTGTTGACCTAAAAAAAAAAAAAAAGAGGAAAACAGAGAAAAAACGAGTAAATAAAAACCCGAGTAAATAATTACATTTATAATAAATTTTAATTAATGGCCCATAGGATATTATATCCATTTTGGTAATAATATAATATGATATGATTATACAATGAAAATATAGATGTTCTCAAATTACATTCCGATTTTGATTATAAAGTTGGCAACTCTTTAGGCCTTAGGGACATGATATAATAATATAATTTTATGTATATAGGTTTTTTTTTTTTTTACATATACGGTACATATATTCAAATATTTGGTTTACAATTACTTCTGTAGGTATTATATTATTTCCTTGGTTCATAATATGCAGGGTATACGGTTATTCGATTTAAATGAAATTAGGTGGATAGAATAAAGAAAAAAAACATTTCAAATTGTATATGTAACTCAAAGGAAAATAATGTTATTCTTAACATATTATATTTATTTGGTGAAAAACAAATATTATTATTTTTAAAAAGAGTATTTGATCGTAAAAAATGATTGATAATGTGTAGTACAATAAAACTATGTAAATGTATAAAACACTATAAACTTATGTATAATTTTGTATATTAATTAATATGTTTGTTTAGTAACAAAATTATAAACTCGATAATTCTTTGAAGAAATCTACCTTTAGTTTTGGCCTTATGTGATATTATTTTCAGGTTACAAACTGAATATACAAAAAAAATACGAACATACTTCGTATTATGGGTGGACCACTGTTGTAGGTGAGAATTTTGGAAGGTAATATATAGAGGGGAATTTAATGTATATCTGTATGCAATGATTAATCTTATCTAACGAAAAACATTTAAAATTCGGTAACATATATTTTTAAAGGCCATAATATTTAAAATAAAACATTTCGTAAAATCTTTCCACTTTTTCTACGTTTATTCCCGGGTTTTTCTATTTATCATGAGAGGTTTTAGAAAAATTAAAACATAAATTCTCTAAAGTACCACTCCAGTCAGAATCATTTTCATAAAAAGTGCTACACTTTAAAATCGGAGAAAAATTGCTGGTAGAAAAGTTAACCACAGAACATAAAATAAACATCATTGTAAAATCAATATATTCCTCGCTCTACTTAGAATCTTAAATGAATATATCGATAATAGTATAAATATACGTTAAGAATTTATCAACAATCAATGTATAAAAAGTTAACAAAAATGTATATTATAATGCATATATTTTTATTTAAAAAAACTCTGATACATTTTACGTCTAACTTTTTCCTCTGTGCATGTACAACTTTTTATGAATTTCTTGTTAAGTTTTTGTGCATTTTTGTCCGGCCGAAATGATTTTATTTGTATAAAATCTAATATAAAAATTAAAGAAATTTGAAAATTTAAAACATCAACTCCGGCTCAAGTGGTACGTAAAAACTCAACTCGTTGTGGTTTTTATCAACTAGGTTATAGGTTTAAACCAACTTCCAAGGAATACTATCGAATGTAAATTAACAGATAGGTTTATTTTTCCATTTCTCATATACTCTATCTAACTCATGGTAGCATTTCATTGATTACGTAGTGAGTTTCAGATTTATACTTAGGAAATTAGCTGTGTTCTTTTAATAGAGCCACATGTGTCTCTTTAACATGCAATCTCTGGCTCTTAGGAAAATACATCAATATTTAGATATTCTAGATTTTGAGTTAGACACATAAAATATAAATTAAAAAACGATTTGTACAAATAATAATAGTAATAATTTAAAAATGCGTAATAATAATATATTAATTAAATTAGTTTTAAAAAAGTTTTTATAAATATACGACGTATTATTGTTTTAGTTCCCAACGAAATTGCTTAGTAAAATATATTAGTCGATTTTTGTACAATGGTATGTTTTTTTTTATCTTAACTATCATGGTTTTGCATTTTTTTTAAAAAATGGCTCATTTACACGAAAAAGTTTCCAACGTCATTTAGTGGAATTAATTTTCGTATATGAATACAAGTAGTTTAAGAATATTTAATTTTTCATCCGGTTACGGAAATATATAAAAATATGAGGGCCCCGTTATATTTTATAAACCTCAAACGAATATGTATTCATGTTTTTATTAACGTACTAACTTAATTCTTCCTTATCTTAATTGGATGAAAAATAGAAATAAAATCGAAATAGATACGGTCCGGGAGGGTTAGCGAGAATTATCTAACTATCGCCTCAGTCCTCTCCCCTCTCCCATCCATAAAACCACCACTGCGTCACGCCGTTTCTTGGATCACTGTTGTATTTTGTGCGCGTACAAGCAAGTAAATCCCGTTCCGACTATGGCCGTCAAACATGATCGTGTACCTATACGTGTATCGAAATCGAGTGCTATAAATTTGTTTTCGTGACAGGGAAAATCGAGGGTTTTTTACATTTTTGTACCGTGTATAGTTATACGGGTATTATGTGCGGGTGTCACACGTGTTTATTGTCAATGCTTATACGAGTGTCGAGATAACGCAAGCACACATTCACACACACACACACACACACATACTCACACTAATGTTCCGCGAATACTCTTGACAAAAAACGTAAAAAGTTTTCTATTCTCCCACCGATATTTTACATTTTTTACATATTATATTATTTATAGGCAAGGGTAACGCGAACGATGTAAACGTTTCCGAGGTGGCGATTGGGGATATCGGGAAACTCGTTCGTGACGTTTTGCATTTTAATAATATAATATTCGAATACTATCACCTATAATAATAAATAATAATAGTATTCGTAATACTAACGGTAGGTCTGCTAGTGATTTTAACTTTTGTCTACAAAAAAATTATTTGTTTTGACACGGAAATATTATACCTACTTACGCGGTTATTCACAAACTTTTTCCAGGATTGGAGTAGTGTTAAAAAAAATGAATTATGATTTTTAATCACTTATAACATTTTTTACAAACGTTTTTTAATTAAAACTTAAGGGGAGAATTGTCTTGTTTTGTTTATACTCTTCTTGAGACACCAATGATCATACAATTTATGTAGGTAGATATTAGAGTTTTAGCACTTAATAATATTATAAATCCTTGTGCATAGCATTATATATAATGACACTGCGTGGAACGGTAGTATATACAACAGCAAAGTTTAGAAAACCAAAATCTGAAATGGATTTGTTTCTCATAAGAAAATCTGTCTAAAATACTTCAGATTACCAAATGAATGAAAAACAAGTTCTCAAAAGTTAATCTTTTCTAAACATGTAAAACAAACAATTTTGAATAATTAAAAATAGCATAGTTTTCAAAATTTTCTATATTGCATAAAGCGAATAAATTACTGTAGTCTGCACAACTTTTGAATCGAGTTAAACAGCATATTGAAAATTGGTTGTTTTGTGCATAAAGGAGCACAATTCCAAAATTTGTCTTTTAATTGATGCATTTAATTAATATTAAATCGATGCCCAAAGGGGGGGGGGAGTTAAATCCTCTTGATCCCTCCGTAAATCTACCACTCTTAAAGTGGATGAATTTTTGAGAAAATATGTTCTTTTCATTTGGAAGAGAATTTCGAATTATTTAAGAAAAAGTAACGGAAAAAAAGAGTCGTGACAGATTTGCTGTTCTAATTTTGTTTTCATTGTAGTTTGGATATTTCAAATTTTGTTAGTTAAATTTTAAAATTTAATTTATACAAAATTGTTCCATTTACATTATTATGTTCCAGATATTTCTATTTCAAATACTGCCATTCCATTATTTGTAGACATTCTATATAATGGTGCTCTCATATAGTATAAAAAAAACGATCTATAAATGAATCTACAGGTCATCTGATTCGATTTATATTGTTTTAATATCATATGGCTTCAAAAACGTAATGCCGCCAAAAAATTCTCCCAAAATTAAAGATTGCAATTGAAAAATTAATAAAACAAAAAAAATTCAAGTCTTTTTTTTTTTTTTTAATTTAGCTGATATTTAAGATTATAATAATTGTATTAATATATTATTATTGTTGTATAAAACGTGCGTGCTGTCGTCATTTCTCGTCCAATTAAATAGCAATTTTTATTTTTAGTCTAATAATAATTCTTTGACTGCCAATTTCGGCGTACTCGATGATGTATATTGCGACATTGAAAAAATCATATAATAATAATATGCATATAAATATATAACTGACTAATCAAAGAATTGCAGTTGTTTTATATAGTGACTAACGTGCGATTAAAATTGTGAATGTAAACAATAGAGAACAAATATATAGGTAGTATAAGGTGATAGGAAAAAAATCACATTCTTCACGTCGTAATTTCGGTGGTAGTATTGGTTGGCTATCGAGTGCCATGGTCTTGTTGTTTGAACGAAAGTCGATAGTAAAATAAATTTGGGCATATTTCGACTTTTTGGAGCGATACATCTCCTCAATAGCACTAATATAACCATATGCGTAGCTATTTCATTTTAATTTCCGCACTGGGCAAAGTGATCGGAAATGCTATCCTATAGCTGTATAAAATAGAAGAATTATTAGATTAAAATAATTAATATTTAATAGAAGATAAGGAACTATCGTACTGATTGTTATTCTTTATCACGTGACGTATTATTGGAAACAATTCATTTTCAATAAGCCATATTAAAATTACATAACTACGAAACTATTAATCGGATATGAATGTAAGATACATACAAATGTCTATAACAATATATTTTACAAAATGGCTATTTTGAAAATTTTAAAATGTAAATAAAACATTTTTTTTTTTCAGTCATTAAAGGATAAAAATAAAGAGGTCATCAAACATAACTATACGTCAGTAGGTATATTATAGTTATTATTCTACAACTTCTTAGCTTTTGAATGATATAATTATTGATTGTGTTGAGTTGCGTTTGTATCTATGACAGATTGATAATTTAGTAAAATATAATATGTTTCTAATCGCGTATTTATAATACTTTAACGCCTTTAATTTTTAATATATTATATTAAAATCAGAATTTTTTTTTTCCAAGGGGAAAACTGTTTATAAGATTTTATTATGAGTGGTGCACACAAAAGGAGTTAAGGAGTCATAACCCATTCATTTCTTTTATTACAATTATATTCAAATATTTAATCAGAACATGATAGATTCATATGGCGTGTATTCTATTTCATCACACATTCCTATAATCTCACTCTAAAAAATATTTACGCTGCTGTCCATTTTTCTCAATTTTAAATATTTTCAAATTTGGTGGTTTAACGTTCATTATTGTAAATTTCGGTTGGTTATGCATGTGCTTGTATCATGGAATCCTTACATTTTTAGTCTAAAAAACGTCATTTAATTATCTAAATTAAATCAAATTCCTTTGACGATGATATAAGACAGTTAATGTTAATTGCAGTAGATAGATTATTGATAGCGAGAGTGAACATGATGACAGTGAATCAGAATAATAATAATACAGTTATTATGTAGATATAGTAATTGAAAATTAAAATCCTTTCCAAATAATGTAATAATATTGTATACCTATACATTTAACAATGTTATAATTTCACACATTTAATATAATCAACATAAGGAACACATATTTAAAATAGAATCATTTTGTTCAGAATTACATTTTGAACTACTTTGCAGCGTACGAATTAAAATATTATAATTTATGTATACATACTGTTAACCGACGGACCTGGTATGTAGGTTAGGTATAATACTTTGTAGGTGCTATCAAATATGATTGGTAGTAAAATAAGTTTTCGTAATTATATAATGGTTTAGATAAAAGAAAAAAAAAATGAGCTGATACTGGGGACAGAGCGACCACTGTTGTAGGTGAGTAGATAGAAATGTGGGATACATAAAGTTATTTAATTTATACCTGTAACTTACAATGAAACATTGATAACAAAAAACAATTTGGGGTTACACATGTTTTGAAAGGCCGTGATATTTACAATTTTCGTCAGTTTGTTTAAAAAAAAAAAATAATAAAACATTACTTTAAACAAAATTACATTTGTACAAGTTATAATAAACGTGTTTTATAAATTTTCAAGTATTTTCGTTGAGCCTAATAATTTATCTACTAGAGTACCCACTAAATAAAAATTACATAAAAAATCGCAAAATTAAAATGTCTATAAATAGCTCAATAATTGCTCAAATGTTCTGAATGTTTTTCATTATTGTCGTAAAATTTCTATGTATTTTTCGGCGTTTCTCAATTATTTAAAAATCTACAAAGAAAATCGATAAACAACATTTTTGGTCATCAACTAGATTGAAATTTCTACAAACAAGATCTCTTGATGTTTTTTTATTGCAGCAATACTTATAATAGATAACATAAGCCGTAAACACTTAATAACTGTTGTGCAGTAATTTTAAAGAAATCGTATACATACATGTATTGTCCTTTTTGGATTTTTCCAATTAGTATGAACAATACCTTAGATATTAAAAAATGACTCTATCAGTGGATATGTGTTAAAAAGAAAAAAATCGATCTCGTGTTATTTTAAGTAATATTTCTGATAGAAAATTTATGTACAACACAATGAAGACATTGAAAACGGTAACGCCGCGGCGCGCCGTAAATATGTTCCGTTTTATCTATAATTTACTTCCGATTTTCCCAATTATTCAGATAATCCCTTGGAAAATCAATAAATGAACTCCTCAGTGCAACAGCTAAAGAAAATTACCTTTTAGAAAAAAATGCTTTAGCCTATAAGCTGGAGCAAGTTTTCTGATAGAAACATTTTTCATCGACAGACAAAAAAAAAACCACACACCGTAGTAAAACCAGTAGATCTCCCGCTACGTTCCGAATCTAAAACATAGACCGCTGTCCATTCTTAACTTTAAATTCTTATTATCTCCCGGTGAACACTAACAAAATCTACAATACTAAAATAAAGCTCTCCTATAGTTTTTTTTTTTTTTGATTTGCAACAAAGCTGTTTGGTAGAAAAGTAGTTTAGACTAAACAAAATTTGTATGAAAAATGCACACATCATAGTGAAACCAATGCAATTTTCTCCCGGACGACGATGAGAGAAGTGGTGTATTATAGCGCGTCGCTCTCGCTCGATGGCAAATATAATAAGGACTACCAACCGTAATAGAAATCTCGGATGGAATTTCAACTAGTCCCGCACAAACTATGTATATCAGTCGACGAATACCTACAATAATAATATAATAAACGTGTATAGTATTATCATAACGATTCAGCGAATTTCAGGGTATTACCAAACAATATACAGGGTGAATCATCTTATCTAGCTTAATAATCCAGCGATTTTCTTACAAGTATCATAGATTTAGATTATACGTGCAGTTTATGATTTCTGGTTTTTTTGTTCCCGAATCCGTATGGAATTGTCTATAATCATTATCTTAACACTATTTTTAAATTATTGGTGTCCTGACACCTCATTAAATACAGAAAAATTGAGTTGGTAAATTAAATTTTGATCAACCGCAATCCCCTATTCCTCTTTTTCGTTTTCAAAGATTTTTTTTTTAAAACTATTTATATGCATATATTACACAGGTATAAAACATTCATGTATCGTATATTGAGACCGGGTGATTAGGGGTGGATTGTAAATTCATATTATCCATTTCTAGATGATTACACTTCTCTACGCCTTCGAACTGAATTTCGCTTTGAAATGGATAGTAGTATTTCAAAAAAAAAAAATATAGTATTTACAACGGAATATATATGTTCATGGAATGAGAGTAAAATTTTGAAAATATTATAAATAAATTAAATATCCGTGTAGATAACCGCTGGATCGTGATGAAAAATGACCATATAAAAAATAACGTTTACCTACAACGTTTATTGTTGCAGTATGTCCACACTATATAATCAGTTATCGGTATACACTGTTATTGTTTTACGAATCCATTTCGTCAGCGTGACACGTTTTATCATGACTATTGTTGGACCATTGTTTCGTATTATAACATCTCTTGCATGTTTGCAGTGATGTATGTATTATGGCTAAGACTTTACAAATTGAGTGAAATATCGTAATTGTATATTTAGATAACAGCTCTCTAAAAACAAAAACAAATTTTATACTGATACTGATATCAGAAATTCATTTATAAATGAGTATTTATAACATAATGAGTAATAATAACTATAATTTTATAATGCGTTACTCTACCTATACCAATAATATCTATATAAAATAAAACCATTTTTCATGACGTACAAAGGAATTTAAATAAAAGTGTTGATATTTATTTTTCGGGGTCCCCATGAAATATCTCTATTTTTATTTTTATAAAACCTTATTTAGTCAATTTGTGTGATTCTTTCCTGAAAAATAGTTTTTAGGCTTGTAAAAATGATCCAATATCCGCATACTATATCTCAAAGGATGCGGAATTTTTAAGCGGCGATAATTTATTTGAGATATTCATCGACATGTTCAATTGTAAAATTTCTTGATCCTTTTTTATTTATTTTATTTTTGTTGTTTTCCGGATTCCCTTAGCCTTAATTATAAAACTACGACTCAAATGTTATAATCCTGAGTATAACACTGTTGGTTAACTACTCTCCTCAAGTTCTTGTTTCTTGTACATGTGTATATTTTTTTTATTTACGCTCATATGCTTATTGTAACCATTATTATACATTTTATATTTTCTAATAAACGATAAAAAAAATAAAAAAATACTACGCTCAGGATCGTTTTTCGTTTGCAATGATTTATCGTTGCATATATTATAGGTACTAAAAATTTAACTACCCTGTATAATATTTTACCTATTCAACAGTGTAAACTTTTTTAAATACAGTAACTGAATGTGTGCAGAAAATTTAAGTGTCGATTAAATTTTCCTGCGACTCATAACATACCAAAACGCGTGACGCGGTTTTCGGTTTGCGAAAATAAAACCAAACATCCCGTTGCAAATGAATTTTGTTTACTGATGAGCCGCCGAACCAAAATAAACGGAAATGAATGTAAAATCTCTAGTGATTTTCGGGCTGCCTAAAAATGTATAATTTCTCGGGGGTTGGCGTCCGCCAGGATATAACCGGACTCGTCGGTATTTATTTTAAATCGAAATAACGATCCGCGTAATATAATTTCAACAGTTCTTCATCCCAATATTATGCAGTCCGTCATTTCATACGAAACATTATCGAATTAAATATTGTAATAAACACTGCACTGTGATCGAATTTCATTTTGGACTTTCCGAAAGCGTCGCGATGCGCATTTTCAGTGGTAATATTTGTGTTCGCCCGTCATGTTATACGAATTATAATTAAAATCGATTCTGGTGTCGGTGCAGCGCGACGTTTTATACCATTCGGTCGGTGCATAATAATAATAATACTGAAGAGCGTTTTTTTTTTAGATTTTGAGCACAAATTGGATGTGTTTTATTTTTATTTATTTTAATTGTTAACAATTTCTCTATTGGTAATTTTTCTCTAATCTTTAATTTTATTACATCTGTTATACATAAAAAATGTTGCTTCATTATTGAAAAAAACCAAGAAAAAACGTTTAGAACTTCTTCTCTAAATGTGGTAAAATGTTCAAAATATTCTTGCGATTTTTGAGTTCTTTATAGTCATTTAAATTTACGTGTTGTAAAATTTTTATGTGGATAAAATGTTTTGTCTGAATAAAAATGGTTGAATATATTTTAACACTCCGTTCACCAGAAGTTGTAATTAATGATAAAAAAAAAAATGAGCTTCACGTAGTAGAAATTTTTTTCTAAGCATTATTGAGTTCAAATTTCAAAAAAATAATATTATGTTTAACCTAACTTCACCCAGAGTCATGTTTTGTGTGTAAAAATATTTATTTTTTTTTTTTAAATTCAATTCGGCATTATAAACATGGAATCTTTTGTATATGCGTATAACGTAGTATTATAGCAACTGCATATAACAGCAGCATGACATACCGTAAGATGATATTGCTTTGGATATCATTATGTTAGAAGGTAGGTAGGTATATTATGCGTTTTTATAGTTGTAATAATATATCGCCATAAATATATTCGTCTAATATACGAGCATTTGTAAGTATCATTTATATTTTTCTCAATTTTTATGACAAAAAAATAAAACTTGGACAAATTCGTTCATATATACATAAAGTCTTTACTACGGAGTTTTATGGCCTACGATTCAGATATATATATATATATACATAGATTCATATAATACAGATCCATCGATCTTTTTGGAAGATTTTAAGTAAAATTGATTTTGGTTTTTTTTTTCAGTTATTTTAAAATCGTTTAACTTTCTTATATATACATAGATAGCATCACCAGTTTACCATTATTCCGTTCACCATAAACACATAATATTAAATTTTCGTTTCAAATAATAACCACTTCTATCACGTATCATTTACAAATATATTTTATTACTCTTTGCTACTCCAATACGGTCTAAAATGCATAAAGTCAACAAAAAGAGCACTCATACACTTCATTATAAACACTGAAACAAGTATTTAAAAAATATTATAATAGTCAAACAAAAAATTTCAAAAATAGTACTCCCTCTAATTAAAAAAGTAAGATTTTCTAGTAAATCTAGTAACCTGTTTTTAGAATATCACCTTTATTCCATTTGATTGTTTATAAAATTTTAAAAAGAAAAAATAGCGAAAAGAATTTAATTTTATGACTAAATAATATTAATATAATATTTGTTAGTATAAAAAGGTGATACATCAAAAGAATTATACTCAAAATCGTGTTCAAAACGTAAACTTCACAATTAATTGTAAAAATAAATTATTTATTCGTTATTGCATCCTGACTTATTTGTATTAAGGGTAATACTAGCTAGTGTAAACTGATTTAATGTTATTTTATGTAACACTGTGATTGGCAAACGTTAGTAGTTTTTGTTATGAACATGTTATAAAACAAAAATAGGTAGTAGTATTCTGAGACCTTATAGAGAAAATCTGGAGCTTAAAGGAGGAAAGGAAACTATAGGAAACCAACAATTCCAGACTATTTATTTATAACACTTTCATTTGTTCCAAAAATCAAGTCATGCTCATTGTAAAATTCGCTCATCTTCCCATCTTTTATTTTCAGCCCTAGGTAGTATATAGATAGTCTCCACGAAATATATGGTAATGCTGTGGTGCAGGTAAAATTATTGTCTTTGATGCAAGTTTTTTTAATCCGATCCTGGTTCCAGGAATGTTTTTAGAGAATGATTTGAATGGGAAAGTCAACTTTTAAAAAATAGAACATACGCAGGAAATTTATCCTTGAACATTAAAAAATTGCACATTTTTCAGTCTATTACTACTGGTCTCCGTTGGTTACATGGGTGAACAAATAATTAAATTATTATTTAGAAATTAGAATAGACAAGAATTACAAACGTTAAACTAATGTGGTAGTGCGGACCATTTTAAAATATTATTACGAAAATACGGAATATAGGTCAATGTAGATATATTTTGTGAGTTCCTATTTAGTTGAACTTTCTGTATAGATAACTAATACAAACCGAACTTTATTGTATCAATACTAGTACAATATTTTATAATTCTACCGGTACCAATGCGTTTATTTCGGGTTATTTACAAGAGAAAAATTACTTTTTCCCGAATTATTATCATTGCGGATCGATTGGCACATTCGTTTTAAAGCGCGTGGTTTAGATTATTGTGTAGTCATTATTTGTATAATTTATACGCGTAAGCTTATTTCATAACTATTCATGGGATTTTTGCAGGATAATAAAAACAAAAATACAGAACTTCCGGTAGGACTCGCGTAACATTGGTTCAGTCTAGTGGTATACGAATCATATAAATACGGCGCTGATAATGCCGATAAATATCGTCGTCGTTGACGATAACGCAATATACAAAATATTATACTTTTTTATAATGTTAATGATAATTAAAAACCAGAACAAATTTCCCTTTGGTCAAAACTGCAGAAATTATTGAATATATATTTTAATCGTGCCCGCGTCATATTAGGTACACCGCAATACAATATTAATCTTCCGAATAAACTCGTTTATTTGCCCAAAAAAAAAAAATAATAATAATAATAATATCCGTTTGATTTGAAATGCCGACATTTTTTTTTTTTTTTTTTTTAACGTTCCTTTGTTGTGTGCATATACGCAATATTATAAATATTTGTACATTATACTATACAGCTATGAACAAAATTCATATATTTTATAACAATAGTGATATTCTTATATATCTGCATCAGCAGCAGAGGAACATCCCGGAATTATTGGAATGACATTTTAAAACCGGAAATAATTTCATTTTTATTTTTTTACACTACATCTTTACGCCATTTATCGGAGAGTCGAAAAAAAAATCGGTTTCTATTATTTCAAGTTTTTGTCAGAATGTACCCAACGGTTTTGCACCGTGTAAATTACCGGTCACCGGCTTAATTGTCACACTATGAATTTTTTTTTTCATTATGACTGTATAACAATAATACTAACTATATTGTTTAATATTGCGAAAAAATATCTGATTTAATCTGTGTAACACTTGACGATTTCCTCAGCGGTGTATAGCGCCGGTGTTAACATTAATGGCGTGCATTGATGCATGTATAAAATAGGTCATCTCCCGGTTTCATTTAGGGAATCTGTTGTGGTGTATAAACACAATCTGCCCACAAAAACAGGGTTAAATGTACATTGAAATTTAATATAATTCCAAACGCTTCAATCTGTCTACAAAACAACTGTACTTTTCGAGGTTGAGCTTATTTGGTCCTCAGATAATCTCTATGAATGTCCAAAATTATTGGGGGAAACGTGTCTAAAAAAAATATACCTATAACAGACACAACACAGTGCATACATTTCATTTTACAGAAAAAAAAATCGATGAAATCACGTACGCAAGTACAAAGTCGGATTCGAAAAACGGATGGGTTAAAAAAAAATGTACAATTATGTCATAGTCAATATTTTTGGCAAATCAATTGGTTTTTTGTATACTATCATTGTTTATCGTCACGCGTGTAGATATTCACGTGATATAAATAAAACCTGCTGGTAAATTCATCCGAACGTTTTTCGAAAACTTACATAGATATATAATACATACTTTTTTTTTTTTTGAATTTAGATTTGTCATATTTTTTTTATTTTTTTGAATTATAACAACTCTAGCAACTATACTAAAAATGTATAAGTACTCGTACATAATTTTTTCGACACTATTTGAATGAAATTTGTTGAAAAACACAAATAAAATATAATAAATAGAATGCTGTGTATACAAAACAAATTATATTGTTTAAAACAGTGGACTCAAAACATTAACTACACAGATATTTTGAAAAACAAAAAAATACAAAAATCGATTTAACTAAACTATATGAATAAATTAAATTAATTTTTTAAATAATTATCTAATTGTATACTTTCATAAATTAGTCAATATCTGCATTATGTTTTTTTTTCTCGATTGTAATTTATTTACTCTTTTTGTGAGGTTTTCGCACGTTTATGAAATGTTTATTTGTTTTATTCATCCGGAAGAAAGAAATATATTTTATAATAAAAGTCGTACTTATAATTATTTTTCTCTTTTGTTTTCCGACTGTGGAAACAAAAATGTGCGCTTTTTTCGGTACAGCATAAGTTCGTTCCGTTTTTGTGAAGGAGACGAATTTTAGTTTTATTTTTTTTAATCAGATCGAAAAATGTTTTCGAATAAAAGTACCAATTAGAATAGTACCTAACCACAACAACGGAAAAAGTTTCCATTAAAATTTCCCATCGCTTACATAATACTACTACGTTATATAATATCGTATAGTTACCACCATTAAAAGTTTTTATGGATAGGCAACGAAAAAAAAATACAACTGAACAGAGCGGACGATAATATAATATAAAATCATTGTCGCCTTCGATAAAAATGTAATTAAACATAAAATAATAATTCTTCTTAACTGTAAAAAGTTTCAATAAACAGTCAATTGTTGATTTTAAAATGAATTCTCGTTTTCCGTTTTATTTTGTGCTTATTTACTTGTACCCACCACCCACTTATAAGTATTTTATATATTATGCATTTTAATTTCTCTTACCCGGTCCACGGCAATACTTTGCCAGAGCTCTCGAAACTCGAGCTCCTCACGTCATACTTGTGACTCTTGAATCCGATTTGATTGTGCAGGTCCACGCCGAGTCTCCGAGGTGGAATGTCCGGCGGGACAGCCGCCGCGGCAGGCCTGATGTTCCTCTGGTTTCTATTACTGCCACTGTTGGACTTCATCGGTGTACCGGTTTTCGGGGTTCGCGAAGGCACACTTTTCCTTACGATTTACATGTTTCGGATATCGCGCGTCGGTCGGTAATGCGAGTGCTCTCGGGTCGACAGATACGACGCGGCGGATAGCCAAAGACGTTCACAGACACAGACGGCCACAGAAATAATAGAATTTATCACCGCGAACGGACGGTAAAAATTATAATTATTATCGTTATTTTATTTATTTATTATTATTATTTTTTTTTTTTTTTTTTGCAGACGATGAAAACCCGGTCCTTTTGTGGACGGTGACGGCGACGGCGAGAGGAGATCGAGTTCGGCAAAAGCCGGTCGCGACACTGAACCCGTCGAGCGCGCGGCACACTTGTTGTGTGCGAACGTCGTCGTCGTCGGCGAAAACGCTGCGCGCTTGCGTTCACACATACAGACACGATCGCTGCGGCCGTTCCACGATGACGAGCCTGGATTTTTTTTTCGTACGGTTTTTTCGCGCACGTACTTATAGCCTAACGTTTCGGAGGGCATAGTACAATGTCCAAGAGTACTATCGCTATACTTACGGTAAGTATAGTAATATTATAAATAACTATAGTTGTATACGTGATTTAGAACTATTAGAGCATTTGCTTGTGTTTTTGGCTCGAAGATAAATCTATTAGAGTCCTATGGAAATGTAGGTAATTTTAATCTAACCTCATCTACAAAAAGCACAAATATGAAAATTTAAAGTGTGTTTTATTTCGGTTGTTTAAAAGAAAAAAAAATGATGTGTTATGTCTAAAATGCTATGATTTTTTTATGCATATTTTCTATTTTATGATTAAGTAAGCCATTAACATAATAATCAACAATTGTAGTTTTAAAAAGATTCAAGAATAAATCTAATATGAAATTTAAATGATTAGTATCGCTTATTTTAGCACTTAAAAGGCTTATAATACCAGTTTTCAACACTCATTATTCGGAAAGGTTTAAGTTTCATAATAATAGCCTTTACGCAAAATATAATAGATTAAAATAAAGGAAATATAATTTTAAATGTAATTATGTTTGTCCCACCCCTCCCTCCCAACGTTTATAACATACTAGAGGTGTTATACTTCACAGTGTTTTCGTCCAGATCATTATATCGATGATGAAAACAATGTTTATACTCTTCATTTTTAACTTCGCTACGATAATGGTTATCATTTAAAATGAATAAAAGTTGGACTATATTTAATTATGGTAAGTATGTATTCATCTTCTTATATAGACAATTACCAGGGGTGTATATTTAGACCCCCTCTCTCTCTCAAAAATAATCTTTATCTACGTATCTAGTGGTCATTTTTGATCATCGTCATTTTGATGAATTCATGTTTACGTATCGTCCGTTACACTGTTAGATTTTAATTCTATGACGACGATATTTTTATTTAAAACGATTTTTAAGATAACGCCAATTATTTTTTCCAAATGTTAAATTAAATAAGAGGTACGCAGCTTTATTATTTTTATGATTACTATGCATATTATTAGCGTCACGATAAAACCCACGATACAAAATGTCGTGAAACTACGGTTAAAATCACTTTAATGGCGATTAGGCAGTGACTGTCTTTAGAGTAATTTGTGATAATTATTTAATTGGATTTCAAGTGCCCTTATACCCTGCATTTGGACGCATTGCCGGTGACATAATGGAGTTCTTCTATTGTCCCTTTAAAATACACTCGGTTAGAACAGTCGGCCCTATTATTAATTGGTGTGCGAGAGACGGTCATCCGGAGGACGGTTCTTATCGTCTTCCATTTGTAGACCATCTCTCCTGCTGTAGACGGTTCACAGTCGAGTCATAACAATATTATTGTTGATACTTATTTTCATAAGGTTATTGACTTATACAATTATTTCTATTTTAATACAATAATATTCTTTTGTAAAAGCTGAAAATCTTCGCACCGTCTATAGGCCATTGTTGTATAGGTTTGAAGTGAAAATAGTCCGCTAGGATACTTTATAGTTTATATCTATACGCAACAATAAAACGTTCGATTTAAACGAACAAAGATTCTGAACAGACCTCGATAAATTAATATTGTTTTTTTCTCGTGTTTTTCCTCAAAGTAACAGAAAAATGTATAAAAACAAAACCAATACATTGACAATTATTATCAGTATTGTTAATATTTTTTTATATTTTATAGAAGTACGATGCGCCCAATAGTTAGGAAAATAATTATGTTAGTTTTCTAGCCACTAAAAAATCTGTAAAAAAACTAAAAAAGACTATTGGGGGATATAAGCTTCAAAATTTTAATTTTATAAAATCTTTTTTTAATGAAACTTTCAAATGTAATTCGAAATTATCTTGTTATTATATTTAATTTTGTGGTATTAAAATGTTTATAATAATTGTTATCGTTAAAATAACTGCATCCTAGGTGAATGTCAAATTGGTGACTATCAGTAATCATTTGTTGTGTCTCGTCACTGTAAAATGTTTATAAAATATTTTTTGTTTCAACTGTTCAGACTGTTTAAATGTAATACACTTATACTAATATAAATTAATGATTTAAAATGTTTGAATTTTCGTGCAAATTTCCAGTTACAATAATTTTCATAAAAAATGGAATGTTCAAATTTATATGACGTCATTTCGATATATTTCACTGACTACGCATGATAATACGTAGTTTGGTAGATTGTTGGTACAGCTCATTGTATTCAGTTTTTATAACACAACATTGAACATACGTACATTATGACAATAAATTGACTTTGAAAAAACATCTCGGTAAAATTCGACGTCGTGGCAATTACTTAACACTCGGTCTGCTGCTGTTATTCCCGGAACTGTCAGGTATACGTTAGAGCCATACACTGCAGTAGTTCCGGTTCAGTGATTTTTATGATATTATTGTTGATGTCTATAGATTTTATGTTTCTGACAATCTAAGGTTATAAACTATTTTTCAAAATGAAATCGTCACTTTTTTAAACGCGGAAAATATAAATTTACAGGTTTTTCACTTAAAGTGAAATTTTTATCGGATTTCGTATTAGCTTTTATTTCGTTGATTTTGAATGCTGTATAAATCCCGAACCTTCATAAAATAATAATACGTATGATTATAAACAGGGTCATGGAGAGAAAAATAGGGTTCCAGACAGTGACATACAGGCCCTCTTTTTTTGTCCCATATTTTGCATGGTCGATATATTCAATTAAAAATTAAAACGTAACTTTATTTAAAATCGTATTTTTATTTACGAGTATCTACTAGTCACCATAAAATAAAAAACAAACCAAATATAAAATATATCAAATATATAGCACCGTCCTCCAACGTCTGTTATCTTATTCATCCGATCTGTGACGTAAAAATAATTCTTGCAATTATTTTAAACTTATTACATGCTACGGACACTGTCGCACGAGTTATAAATATAGCCTATAAGAACTTAACACTAATATTTTTTTGAAACACTCAGAATACTTTGCACGTCGTGTAAAATCATAGGCCGCAGTCTATTTTTGTTCAAAAATCCAAATAATACAATTATTTTGCACAATATCTTTACGAGATACTCGTGGGGGGCCGGATTTTATAAAATTCCGTTAACACTTATTTTATTTTGCTCTCTAAGTTTACATACCGGGTTCCCATGAAAATCTCCCTCTCTCGTCGGGCCTGATTATAATACAACATATTATTCTTCCACATTACAATTTCCTTTTAGAAAATATTATCTTTTAATGAAAACCAGAGCCGGATATAGGTGTATTGAGTGGGTATCATCTTCCTTCATACTTATAAATTGAGAATATACTTAGTCGACAAACGAACGATAATTATTTGAATTGAAATTCGGTGAAATTAATGATTTCTTACTGTTACGTTAAGTGTTTTAAGATGGGATTGTACCGTAAAATTAATTATTTAATAACAGACAAAATAATTGGCAAAAAAAGTTTTTGAAACCGATAAATTTGATATTTGAAGTAAATTTATATATAATTATATCACTTAGTCGATTTTCACTAACGCCATCTCACTATAATATGATTAAAAACGTTTGAAAACTGTCTGTGACGCAGAAAGTCACCGACAAAAATACTACGGCAAACGGTTTATAGGTTTATACCCGACATTATATACGAGTATTTACTACGACGTTTCCATCCGTCGAAAAATCGCGCATAATATATTTCCCGTCGGCGATATAACAACATAAGTGTTTACGTATTTTTTATTTTATTTATATATATATATATATATGTATGTATGTACACCTATATTTAAAGGGGTGGCCTGAAAAATCGCCGCACTAAATTATCAGGCGCGGACGACAAAAAAAAAATTACCCCGTACCCCGTTTTTCGATAGCGTATTTTGGGTTTCGTCCGGTGTGGCGGTGAAGATCCGTTGTATATACGGATTTATACGCTGATGTGATTTTTTTTTGCTTTATTTTTGTCTCGATAAAAAACTTTTTAAGGTCGTAAACACACCCGAGAAAAGTTTCGTCCAGCAGAAATCGTGGTGTACGGATAATATTTATAGTGGTATATTAGTATCTGAACACAGGCGGTAACGTTAAAGACAAAACTATTTTTAGACAAATTTATTTTGACCGCTGTGGTACAACGAGAAATACGATCGAAATAAGGTTATAAGGTGTTTAATATTATTAAAGTATGGGTTTTGAAGTACTCGCAAACTAAGTAGTTTTAGAAAAATAATATAAACCAAACGAAGAAGCTTTAAAAACCCTTTAAAAAAAACTAAAAATATATTATTTTGGGTTTAAAAAGAAAGAAATAGTTAATAAAAAAAAAGTTGGAACTATTGTTATAGTATACTAAAAATTGGTAAAATCGTTTAAAATAACTACAATTTAAAAAAAAAATATATATATATATAATCCTAAATCGCTTATAAATTTATTTTATAACAAATTCACACAGCTTTCTTTTTATTGTTATCAAAAAAGTCTTAAATTACTAATATTTGAATAGTAGACAATTTTTAATGTGACTAATTTTATCACATGCCGGTTTAGACATTTTGAAAATCCTACAAATTGGTAAATAATCAAATGTGATATGCTCTGATTTTTTTTTTTCAAATTCTTCGATTTGCATCGGTTCTTATTTCCTAAAGAAAC